CATTTCAGTTTTAAACCCAAATGTCCCAAAACTAAAAAAAAATCCATACCCGCAGTCATCAAAATTTCCAAGTTTTGGCCCAAAAATCCAAAATCACGAAATTCAGTCAAATGTTCACACGAGGTGGGTAGAGGCCAGAAATGAATCCCCTGAAGATTTCAGCTCACTACAGCTAGGATCCAGGGAGGAAAAAAACATTTCAGTTTTTTACCCAAATGTCCCAAAACTAAAAAAAAATCCATATCCGCGGTCATCAAAATTTCAAGTTTTGGCCCAAAAATCCAACTTCACAAAATTCAGTCAAATGTTCACACAAGGTGGGTAGAGGCCAGAAATGAATCCCCTGAAGATTTCAGCTCACTACAGCTAGGATCCAGGGAGGAAAAAAACATTTCAATTTTTTACCCAAATGTCCCAAAACCAAAAAAAAATCCATATCCGCGGTCATCAAAAATTCCAAGTTTTGGCCCCAAAATCCAACTTCACGAAATTCAGTCAAATGTTCACACAAGGTGGGTAGAGGCCAGAAATGAATCCCCTGAAGATTTCAGCTCACTACAGCTAGGATCCAGGGAGGAAAAAAACATTGCAGTTTTTTACCCAAATGTCCCAAAACTCAAAAAAAATCCATACCCGCGGTCATCAAAATTTCCAAGTTTTGGCCCAAAAATCCCAAATCACGAAATTCAGTCAAATGTTCACACGAGGTGGGTAGAGGCCAGAAATGAATCCCCTGAAGATTTCAGCTCACTACAGCTAGGATCCAGGGAGGAAAAAAACATTTCAGGTTTTTACCCAAATGTCCAAAAACCAAAAAAAAATCCATATCCGCGGTCATCAAAAATTCCAAGTTTTGGCCCAAAAATCCAACTTCACCAAATTCGGTCAAATGTTCACACAAGGTGGGTAGAGGCCAGAAATGAATCCCCTGAAGATTTCAGCTCACTACAGCTAGGATCCAGGGAGGAAAAAAACATTTCAGTTTTTTACCCAAATGTCCCAAAACTAAAAAAAAATCCATATCCGCGGTCATCAAAAATTCCAAGTTTTGGCCCAAAAATCCAACTTCACGAAATTCAGTCAAATGTTCACACAAGGTGGGTAGAGGCCAGAAATGAATCCCCTGAAGATTTCAGCTCACTACAGCTAGGATCCAGGGAGGAAAAAAACATTGCAGTTTTTTACCCAAATGTCCCAAAACTCAAAAAAAATCCATATCCGCGGTCATCAAAAATTCCAAGTTTTGGCCCAAAAATCCAACTTCACAAAATTCAGTCAAATGTTCACACAAGGTGGGTAGAGGCCAGAAATGAATCCCCTGAAGATTTCAGCTCACTACAGCTAGGATCCAGGGAGGAAAAAAACATTTCAGGTTTTTACCCAAATGTCCAAAAACTCAAAAAAAATCCATATCCGCGGTCATCAAAAATTCCAAGTTTTGGCCCAAAAATCCAACTTCACGAAATTCAGTCAAATGTTCACACAAGGTGGGTAGAGGCCAGAAATGAATCCCCTGAAGATTTCAGCTCACTACAGCTAGGATCCAGGGAGGAAAAAAACATTTCAATTTTTTACCCAAATGTCCCAAAACAAAAAAAAATCCATATCCGCGGTCATCTAAAATTCCAAGTTTTGGCCCAAAAATCCAACTTCACGAAATTCAGTCAAATGTTCACACAAGGTGGGTAGAGGCCAGAAATGAATCCCGTGAAGATTTCAGCTCACTACAGCTAGGATCCAGGGAGGAAAAAAACATTTCAGTTTTAAACCCAAATGTCCCAAAACTCAAAAAAAATCCATACCCGCGGTCATCAAAATTTCCAAGTTTTGGCCCAAAAATCCAAAATCACGAAATTCAGTCAAATGTTCACACGAGGTGGGTAGAGGCCAGAAATGAATCCCCTGAAGATTTCAGCTCACTACAGCTAGGATCCAGGGAGGAAAAAAACATTTCAGTTTTTTACCCAAATGTCCCAAAACTAAAAAAAATCCATATCCGCGGTCATCAAAAATTTCAAGTTTTGGCCCAAAAATCCAACTTCACAAAATTCAGTCAAATGTTCACACAAGGTGGGTAGAGGCCAGAAATGAATCCCCTGAAGATTTCAGCTCACTACAGCTAGGATCCAGGGAGGAAAAAAACATTTCAATTTTTTACCCAAATGTCCCAAAACCAAAAAAAAATCCATATCCACGGTCATCAAAAATTCCAAGTTTTGGCCCCAAAATCCAACTTCACGAAATTCAGTCAAATGTTCACACAAGGTGGGTAGAGGCCAGAAATGAATCCCCTGAAGATTTCAGCTCACTACAGCTAGGATCCAGGGAGGAAAAAAACATTGCAGTTTTTTACCCAAATGTCCCAAAACTCAAAAAAAATCCATACCCGTGGTCATCAAAATTTCCAAGTTTTGGCCCAAAAATCCAAAATCACGAAATTCAGTCAAATGTTCACACGAGGTGGGTAGAGGCCAGAAATGAATCCCCTGAAGATTTCAGCTCACTACAGCTAGGATCCAGGGAGGAAAAAAACAATTCAGTTTTTTACCCAAATGTCCCCAAACCAAAAAAAAATCCATATCCGCGGTCATCAAAAAATTCCAAGTTTTGGCCCAAAAATCCAACTTCACAAAATTCAGTCAAATGTTCACACAAGGTGGGTAGAGGCCAGAAATGAATTCCCTGAAGATTTCAGCTCACTACAGCTAGGATCCAGGGAGGAAAAAAACATTTCAGTTTTTTACCCAAATGTCCCAAAACTCAAAAAAAATCCATACCCGCGGTCATCAAAATTTCCAAGTTTTGGCCCAAAAATCCAAAATCACGAAATTCAGTCAAATGTTCACACGAGGTGGGTAGAGGCCAGAAATGAATCCCCTGAAGATTTCAGCTCACTACAGCTAGGATCCAGGGAGGAAAAAAACATTTCAGGTTTTTACCCAAATGTCCAAAAACCAAAAAAAAATCCATATCCGCGGTCATCAAAAATTCCAAGTTTTGGCCCAAAAATCCAACTTCACCAAATTCAGTCAAATGTTCACACAAGGTGGGTAGAGGCCAGAAATGAATCCCCTGAAGATTTCAGCTCACTACAGCTAGGATCCAGGGAGGAAAAAAACATTTCAGTTTTTTACCCAAATGTCCCAAAACTAAAAAAAAATCCATATCCGCGGTCATCAAAAATTCCAAGTTTTGGCCCAAAAATCCAACTTCACAAAATTCAGTCAAATGTTCACACAAGGTGGGTAGAGGCCAGAAATGAACCGCCTGAAGATTTCAGCTCACTACGGCTAGGATCCAGGGAGGAAAAAAAACATTTCAGTTTTTTACCCAAATGTCCCAAAACTAAAAAAAAATCCATATCCGCGGTCATCAAAAATTCCAAGTTTTGGCCCAAATATCCAACTTCATGAAATTCAGTCAAATGTTCACACAAGGTGAATAGAGGCCAGAAATGAATCCCCTGAAGATTTCAGCTCACTACAGCTAGGATCCAGGGAGGAAAAAAACATTTCAGTTTTTTACCCAAATGTCCCAAAACTAAAAAAAAATCCATATCCGCGGTCATCAAAAATTTCAAGTTTTGGCCCAAAAATCCAACTTCACAAAATTCAGTCAAATGTTCACACAAGGTGGGTAGAGGCCAGAAATGAATCCCTGAAGATTTCAGCTCACTACAGCTAGGATCCAGGGAGGAAAAAAACATTTCAATTTTTTACCCAAATGTCCCAAAACCAAAAAAAAATCCATATCCGCGGTCATCAAAAATTCCAAGTTTTGGCCCCAAAATCCAACTTCACGAAATTCAGTCAAATGTTCACACAAGGTGGGTAGAGGCCAGAAATGAATCCCCTGAAGATTTCAGCTCACTACAGCTAGGATCCAGGGAGGAAAAAAAACATTTCAGGTTTTTACCCAAATGTCCAAAAACCAAAAAAAAATCCATATCCGCGGTCATCAAAAATTCCAAGTTTTGGCCCAAAAATTCCAACTTCACGAAATTCAGTCAAATGTTCACACAAGGTGGGTAGAGGCCAGAAATGAACCCCCTGAAGATTTCGGCTCACTACAGCTAGGATCCATGGAAGAAAAAAACATTGCAGTTTTTTACCCAAATGTCCCTAAACCAAAAAAAATCATATTCGCGGTCATCAAAAATTCCAAGTTTTGCCCCAAAAATCCAACTTCACGAAATTGAGTCAAATGTTCACACAAGGTGGGTAGAGGCCAGAAATGAATCCCCTGAAGATTACTCCCCAGCTAATGCTGGTACCTGCTCATAATTCGGGTGGAGAGAGGCAAGTGGGAGTGAAGTGGCTTTCCCAAGGACACAACATATGACTAGCAGCTGAATTCAAACCCCTGACCCTCTGATCACAAGTTACAAATCCTCACCACCCTAGGCCACACTCCCCCTATTTACTGAGTTGGCTCCTTAACAACTGTATGCTTTTATAGGATGGCAGGCTTTGTATTATTATTATTATTTATTCGACCATCACACAAACAAAACAAAACAAAATTGAGTAAAACGAGCATAAAACAACGAACAACAATTACAGTAAGACGGTAGCGGGGACCTGGGACGAAAATCCGAATACATGACAAGACAAATGACAGTTATGTGGGTCAGGGATCGCAAAAGTAAAATAAACTACTATTACCCGCGGGTATGCAGCCCCGTATCAATACAGTTTTTGTTAGCAGTTACACCATGTGGTATACAGATACAGCATGGTTCGAGGGGATGTAGTGGGAATTACTGGTCCCTCAGTGTAGGTCAGCTTGACTACCTCCCTCTGCAAATTTTCCAGAAATAAACCATGCTGTATTTGTTTTACTACACCTCATAAATATTTAGTAGCCTCACTGCCTTGTAGTAGTCTCACTGCCTTGTTGATACATCCCGGCCAATGACGTGCTCCGATTTGATCATGAATATTTACGAGGTGTAGTAATGATACCCACTGTCGCTAGTAGAGTTACTTCTGAGTGTATGCTTTGCACTCACCCATCAGCTGTTACATCTTGCACACTGCTGACGTGTAGCAAGTCCCTGTACCGACACTGCGCTGTTTGCAGTTGCTGCAGATTGTGTTCTGGTAACGAACTCTCCTGACGAAGAAAAAAAATGATAAAGAAGCAACAAAGTGTGACTTTAGATCACATATTTGGGGTGCTACACATGGAAATACAATTGGAGACATTGATTGGAAAAAATTTGCAATTTGGAAAAAAAAAATCTTAAAGAAAACAAACTTAAAAGACTGTTAGCCTAAATTCTGCCGTGTTGTTTAACCACATCCCCATAGTTTTTCTAATAAAATGTTGGTTATGTACCCACCTATCAATGCTACACAAATCAAAGAATAGGTGTTGCGTATGCAATGTGCCATTTTTCTCACGACGGGTGTGAACCACGCCGTGGGTTTGAGCTGCTTATGTTGATTTGTTGGTTGGTGGGTGGGTGAATTTGCTTCTGCATTCAATAGGGACGTTGAACAATAGACAATAGGGTCCCCAATGCCTGAGAGGTCCCCAATTTGGATTTGTGTACAAAACATGAGGGAGGTCTTCCTAAAAGGCAAGAGTAAAACAAAAGAGGGACAATAGAGGGTCCCTGATTGCAGGCAAATACACACACTTGGATGGGTTGGTTAGCGGACAGTTTACTCAGCCATATATTGTATTCATGCAACTGGAGTATTACAGCTTTGCTTCCGAAGGCGGGTTTTGATAACACTGATGCGCATAACTCTAATTTGCATATTTTTGCATACATGTATTGGATCACGCCCCATTCGTTTTTGTTTTCTGTACTCTCAAGGTTCCGGTGTGGCCGTAAGCCGTCTCCACACATTACCCAGGCGCCGTGGGTTGTACTTGTTTAATCAGAAGGTAATAAATTTAAACAAAAATCAAAAATAAATATATATGCAAAATTAGCATCCACTTGCAACAACGAAAGCTAAATATTGACAAATCTGAGCACACTGTCGTGAAGCATACCTTGATTTGGTCCAGTGTAGCACCGTGTGATGCAGTCAGGAAGGTGTCATGGTCCTCAGACTTCAGCTGGTCAGAGGACAAGGATGTCATGCTAAGGAACTCTTGCTGTGAGGAAAAACAAGGACAAGATCCAAAAACGAACTTTAATCAGTTTCAAATGTGACAGAACACCCAGAAGAATGTTGTCCTTGTAAAAACATAAATAATGCAATTTCAAAATTGACCTGGCAATTCGGGCGATTCACAATGCAGTGCGCCACCAAGAGTTTGCCGTGGAGAGTCCATATTCCAGGTTTACAGTCGACAAAACATGGCCCATTAAAACGAGTGTCAGTAGACAACTTGAGCTAAAGTTGTAGATTGCAGCATAGTGTTCTTTTTGGTTTGAAGCAACAAAAGTGCTCAAATTCTGAAGATGGGTGCCTAACAACTAACTTGATGATGTTTCAGCTCAGTGAATGCTGTATATTCTGAGAAATCAATATTCTGGGTTCTCGATCCCAATTCAAAGTTGCCGAGTCATGTTTTGAACTGTGCCTGAACTCAGCATCAGGTACACGTTCTCATTCAGCCGATTGCAGCTACGCGATTTCACGCATCAAACCGAAGAATAATGTCAACCGCGCCCGCATGTGCATCATGTCAATACTTGCGTGCAGCTATTCATGGATTCGCTGCATTACAAACCAACTACTAATGGAAATTTTCCAAAATGCGTCACTTGACACATCTTTGGAAATTGCCTTCTTTTGACAGCATGCCAGACATAATAATTTCACAGGGAGTGTATTGCCACTACTATCTTTAAACCAAGTAACTTTTTCAACAATAATTTTGTCAGTTACTTCTTCATTAGCTGCAGGTAATACCTTTAATGGATCAGTCCGTTGTGGCAAATTTTCACAGAAAACGAAGAGCAACAAATCCAATCTAACCTTACTGACTGCACGGACTTCTCCTTTCATCCTGAAAACAAAGCCAGGGTGTAGTGTGTGGTACCACCTCACTGAGTCTCCCTCAAAACTCACAAGTACAGGCCTCGTTAATGGATACTCATGGCCCACTTCCCTAGCAAGTGCTCCACTCTCCTCTGAGGAGAATCGGTGCAGGAAGGCTACTTGGAAGATGAAAAGGAGGGAACCTCTCGCACTGTTCAGGAGTTGACTTTTTGTGAGAAGTAAGAAGAGATTGTCTTTGGAATAGTAACAAAGACAATCTGTTTGTAAGGCTGGTTTGATATTAGCCTTCACAGTTGAGGTATTGCTTGGTGAGCTGTTTGTTGAAGAGCTCTGAATTCTACAATGATGATCACAGCTTGAAATTGTTGAGGCAGTGCAAGTCCTCACTTCATCTTCATTTTGAATTTTGTCCTGGAGTTCCTTGGCAAGATTGCTGCTACTTCTGACACTGTTTGAACAATTTAAGCACTCTACAGTCTGCATGCTGAATGACACAAACTCATGGTGTCCCCTCAAAGAGTCGAACTCTCTCTTGTTATTTGTATGACTAGTTTGACTAGGTTTAAGAGGTCTTCCACCGCAACTCAGCGGCAAGGCTTCCTGGACAATCAGGAAACCTTCAACACGGATGAGATGTCCTAGACACCAGGTGTGAATGTGAGGACAAGTGGAAAGGGAACACTTCCTCTCCGTGGGCGGAGCTACCTCTGATGGACAGTCTTTTGGTGGGCGGCATTCATTTGGATGTCTCGCATCCAGGGATGGCGTGGGGTGTGTGAGGGTGTCCGTGGGCCTGAGTGACTTGCAGATGTTTGCGATGACACAATCCACTGTGCCTGTCTGATCTCTGAGCTGTACCTGTCCTGTGGCTGGACTGAGGCGTAGATAGCCAACAAGTATCTGGAGAATAACAATTGGTATTACACTCAGTGAATTTTTCACTATGGTTATGATTAAAATCCAACACCAATGAAATTGACATTATGAAACAGTGGCATCCCTAAAAACTTTCCAATAACTGTTCCTGACATCATTAAGTATTGAAGTACAAGGGAGAGTATGAACAATTCAACTAAATGAATTCATTTGTCACAAGTGAACCAAATCAACTATGTTCACAGAGAATCCTGTTCAGTTCAAGGTTTACCAGAAGGTCAAAGTTGGGTGAATTAAAAACAGACAAAGCTTGATCAGTGCGGTCTATTCCACGCAAGCAGTCGATATGGCAAAGCCTCGTGATATATAATGGCTAAGTATAACGTATGCACATGTGCAAATGGATTGTAAGAAAAGCAGGAGAATTTTCAGGTGCTTTTGTGTGGTTTGGTTTAAATATAGAAGGGATACGGAAAAAACATCGGACCAATGCTATTTCATTTGCACTGGTAATATATTTACCATAGGTGGACTGAGATTGGTTGACTCTACAACACCGCTGTGCCACTCACTAGGACCCAAGATGCTACTGCTACTAGTCTCTACCATGCATCTTGGTTTGCTTGGCTGCTCCAGACACTTTTTGACGGATGAAAACAGTTCTGCCATCACTGGAAACTGCCAAGGTGGAGGCTTGGTTGTCAACAGAAGAAAAACAGCAATTAAACAATTAAAAAAATCTATATTCCTTGGAATTGTTATGAATTAAATTGGTACATAAACTTATTCAGCGAACAAAATTAGAAGCTATTTTTGTGGTGGAACCACGTTAGTGCACATGACGCACGCATTCTTAAAGACAAGGCGTGGGCATTTTGGTTACCCTGTTGGTGGAAGGAGCCCGGAGTGCATGCGTACTACATGAGGGCGATTTGCGCCTGCCTGGTGCCACCTCAGAAAATGGCTGTTGGCGAATTAGTCTGTAGACACTCATATTAGCATGCACTTATACTCCCATTGTACGTCAATCAATTAAGCTTTTTGGATATTCTAAAATGTTTTAATAATCAATCCTGATTCTGGCCAGGAGTTGCAGTTCTTTTCAGGATCAACTTTGAATTTCTGTGGCATAAAATGGAGGAAATGTCTTCAATAAATTCTATTGAATATTTAAACGCAGAGTCATTGTAAGAGGTTAATCAATCTTTCAAACATGATATTTTTACGACCCAAATTTGTTTGGAAGTTGCTGTTTTCTCAGACAAAGCTGAACTGAATCTGTACCTCTCAAGAGTCTGTGCCAAATCTTTCAAACCTCATGTTGAGGTCGGCCCATCTTAAGAATTCTCAGGTGCTGCCTAGAATTAAAGAAATTGACTCCTCAAAAATAAAAGGGCGAGTCATGATTCAGAGTTGGGAATAAGCCAGTTGGGCATTTCAATTGCGCATGCGCACAATGATATGGGTGAAAGGTCATTCGGGATAATCAAACGCTCATCGAAGGCGCATGAACGCAAAAGGAGAGGGTCACTTGACACTCACGCTTTAATTATGAGCAGAATGGGCAATCGCGTAACATCGCGTAACATCGCGTAACATCGCGTAACATCGCGTAACATCACGTCAGCGATTTTAACCCGATGGACCTTTGACCTGGACTACCTCATTGAGATACAAAACTGGCTTATTTAGTTTGCTGGATTCTGGTGCTGCGTCACCCAAGCCTATAGCAGCATCCAAATTACTTATGGCCATGGCTTGCAATTACACATGCGCCTATGGAAGCAAGTAAAGCCACTTCCCATAGAATGTGTAACTGTTAGCCATACATGTAGCCAATTAATTCAGGCATTTCACAATGCAGTGCGCCACCAAGAGTTTGCCACAGAGAGTTTATTTTTCCCAGTTCATTGTGGGACATGGTCAACAAATTCACTATTTGAAATTATATAATCGACATACATATCGTTGTCATTTGATTGGTGGAACTCACATAACGTGACATTTGTTATTACTGCCATTCACGCCGGGGCTCAAAAAGTACTATCCGCCCATGGGGAATGGGAAATACTATTGAACAGTTAGGATCATTCTGTTCCATGACGCGGTATTTGTGTGCAAATGCATGCTGGTGTGTGCGTTCAGCATTGCACATAGCGCGTATTGTTCGACAGAGCCAGCGCTACAGCGTTGGGTTCAAACATTTTCGTGAAGGGGTGGTTTGGAAGAGAGAAATACATTTTCCTCCAGTTTTTATTGAAATAAAAGTTCAAATAAATCAAATGACAAGGATCTATATCTCAGTATATAAAACAAATATTGAGTGGCTTTAAATTGTGAAATGGGAAGAATATTATAGCTCAGTAAAATCTGGACTTTTCCATTTCGCCTCGTGAAATGGAAAAATCCAGATTTAACCTTGCGATAATATTCCTCCCATTTCACTCTGAGCCACTCAATATTTGTATACTGTTAGTTTGTCCGGTCAGTAGTTTCGTAAGCATATGATTCGTGTATCTGTTTTACCTTTTCTTTTTGTCAATATGGTTTTTTTTGTAAGGCTGCCATATCCTTAACAAATTAGCTCAAGTTGTCTACTGATACTCGTTCAAATGGGCCATGTTTTGTCGACCGTAAACTTAAAATGAACTCTCCGTGGCAAACTCTTGGTGACACACTGCATTGTGAATCGCCCGAATTCAGACGTGGACCCATCCACAATATTGTCAAATTTTACCTGTTCATCACCGGACCCCTTCGATGCCAGGCAGGAATGAGATGGCCTCAGGAACTCTTCATAGATGTTCCTTTTTCTTCCAGAGAGCAGGGGCTTCTTGGAGATTACAGACGGCGTGGTGAAGAGCCTTAACAGGATGGCGTGGAGAGACTTCTGCCTGATACGATAAAGTTCGTGGAAACCGTGATTGAGACAACATCCCGTATTCTAACAATTGTGCAAAGCACCTCTGACCACCCAGCTCACAAAATTCTTCAGATTTTCATTTGCAAAGTTAAGATTCATAGCATTTGACATATGAAATTTGAGGCTCTAAGTTAAAAAAAAAAAAAAATCATTAAGATTTTAACAGTGTATGGATACGTTGAATGGAATTCATCCAAGTTTTTTTTAGTTACGTTAAATAAACAATGATGGTTGCTAAGATGGTTTCGATAAACGGATCAAATTTTTTGATCCGACAAAAACCTTGAAACAATCTGGCAAAGTGCTGCTAAAAGAAGCCTGTGATAGACACACTCGGCTGTCATTGCCTGACACACTTAAATGCAGGAATTCACTTCTTCATCGGTGTAAGCAACTTATAAGATGAATTCAATTTCAGTCCAAATAAAAAGAAATATTTTGTCTAATTTTGTTAACAAACAAAACTTTATCCGAATATTCCACAAATTTCCACAAATTCCACAAACTGTCCACAAATTCTTTTCAGAGTCATTTTCAACATTACTGAACACAATTTGCTCTATAAATTTGATTATTTCAAGGGAATTGACAATTTACAAAAATTCATGAGAATATTTCAGCTATACCTGATGAAGGTTGGCGTGAATTTCCTTTCCAGCTGGGTGAAGACAGACGACAGCCAGTCTAACTGGCTGATAGTCAAGTTGTACTTCAAGAGAAGTCTGACCATCCCAGACAAGGATGGAGTTAGACTCTGAAATAAGAAAGACACAACAGCAAACTGAACAATTACGGAAAGGTCTTGGATTTGTTCACAATCATTGGACAAAAAAATACTGCATATATCGTTGGGTGCTTGGAAGAAGGTCGTACATTAGGGTGAAAAATGGGTCTAAAGGTCAACTTCGGATTTTTCGGGTAATCGATAGAGCTTGGAAATATCTTTTATTTGATATACATATTGTCTCAAGGGGCTACGTTATTCTGACGTAATTAACAGTAAACAAAAGACGGAAGGAGATTTTTCATTATTTGCGCCCAGCAAAAGGCTGTAAGCATGTTCCAAGCGCGCTAACATCCCACTCAAGTGGATACGCAAAGCCAATTTTGTTCCCAGCAAAAGGTGGTAAGGATTTAACATGCCGCTTAAGCGTACGTTTAAGGCTTGGGAAGTTCCTGGTAAAAGGTAGTTAGCATAAAAATTGAAATAACTTCACAATTAAGTAATATTTTGACATGAAAATGCACGATATTTTTTTATTTATTAACAACTTTTATCAGTCGAAAATTCAACCTTATGTGATTTTTCATCTAGAAATGGCAGCACAAAATCTTTCAACTCAATCATCTCCAAAAGTACTTTCTGCGTTCTTGGGCTGCTTACGACCTTTTCTTGTCACACGATGATATGTGACCCTCCAGCACAAACTAGTTTTAAGTCGCACAGCCGTAATTTGAGATACAGCCTATAATATATTGTACCGGCAAGAAAATATTGAAATTCAGACGAACTCCTTGAAAGCTCTCCCTTCCAAAATGTTCATACATACCTTTTGACTTGCTCCGTCTTGTGGTATGATCCCTAGTTTGTCACTCGGGAAAACTAATTCTCATTCATGGATATGTAACTGATTGCAAACTAATCTAAATTTGGTCAATTGGGGCCAGTATTTGAATAAAAAACAGCTGTTTTCTTTGCAATTGTTAGGTATGAACCATCGCAAGGAAATTAGGGTAATTCCTCTTTTCTTGAAAGTGACAGCATACTAGACGCATTGATTTCACAGGATGTATGATCCTATTATTTACTTACAAAACAGTAGGATATTTCATGTTATATAACTGACATATAGATCCTTGTAATTTGATTGGTGGAACTCACATCACGTGACATTCATTATTGCTCCTATTCCCACTGGGGCTCAAAAAGTCCCATTCGCCCATGGGGAATGGGATTTACTATTCAACAGATAGGATCATCCTTGTTCCATGGCACGGTATTTGTGTGCTAATGCATGCTGGTGTGCGCTTTGAGCGTTGCGTTTAGCGCGTATTGTTTCCAAGAGCCAGCGCTACAAAGTTGGGCTCAAACATTTTGTGAAGGGGTGGTTTGGAAGAGAGAAATACATTTCCCACCAATGTTGTATTGAAACAGAAGTTCATTTTAACTGTAAATCAAATGACAAGGATCTATATGTCAATTAAATAAAACAAATATTGAGTGGATTCAAACTGTGAAATGGGAGGAACATTATCGCTTGGTAAAATCTGGACTTTTCCATTTTCGCCTGTGAAATAAGAAGTCCAGATTATACCTTGCGATAATATTCCTCCCATTCTACTCTAAGCCACTCAATATTTGTATACTATTTTGGTAGTTTCGTCTTTGAATGATTGCAAAATGTGTCCATTACATTTAAATTAAACGTATGGAATAATCTCATGAATTAGGTACCTTCTTTGGGCCAGTATCTAGAGGCGAGAATGTCTGTACAGTGAGTGTACTTTGCATACAGCAGACCACGCAGGGCATTGTGGGCTACAAGAAGAAAGAAGGAAAAGAAATGTATGTAATAACAGTAAAGTTGGGGTGTCGTGGCCTTGTGGTCTGGACCACTGAATTTGCAGGTTGTGGGTTCGAGTCCAGCCTGGGGTTGTGCTGCATGTGCCCTTGGGCAAGGCACTTTGTCACTCATTGCTTCTCCCCACCCAGGAGTAAATGGGGTACCTGTGAGGGCAGAGATGGTTACTGTGATTGACTTTAGATGCTTTGCGCCAAAATGGCATCATCGAGCTGTATACTCCCCACAGAGCTGAGATGGTATTTGAAACGTTTCATTGGCCCAATGAGCATGGTAATAATGTGGAAACGTGGAATATAATATAATAGTAATGTGGAAACGTGCACTTTATAAATATGTATTATTATAACAGCACCATATTAAAAAAAAGAAAAAAAGAAGTTCCTACTTTGATGAATATTACTTGAGCACTCATAATTTAAGAGTTCCGTGCAAAAAGATACTTTTTTTTTCCAAAGTTGATTTCGACTACTACAGAATGTTCACAAAGTATTGAACATACAATGCATTTCAATTTGCCCATCATAAAATTACCTTTCCCATTCGTAGTTGATGGTGAGCGTTGTGGATTGTGACAACACAGCCCACCCTCAGTACTTGATAGGATGCAGTGTCGTCCATCTGATAACACAGGTACAACCTACAAAGAGTAACATTAGGTACATGAGAAAAAAGGGCAAGGCAACACTAATAAGGCTGGGCCTGAAGGGCACAAAATTCCACTCAATCAATTCAGAATGATCAAAAAGTTTGTTTTAAACCAGAATGTTTAAGATTAACTTTTGTGCATAGCTTTATTTGCACTTCGAGTAATTTCTAAAACTAGCTTTTGTTAACACTCTGGGCCTCAATTTGCAAATTTAAAATTGGTAATATTTACCTGTACAATCTGAACTTAGGAACATGTATATATAAATATATGAATAGCGCATTACCTGCTTGTTTTAACCCCTGTTTTACACTAACTTGAAACATCTATTACCCGCAGTACTACTAGGAAAAATCTTTATGTTAATTATAGTAGAACCTAATTGTCCAAAAAAATGTGTTGTCCAACGTGGCACTCTATATTGGAATAGTCTGGATGACTCTTTTATATCATCACTTACTCTCTCTATTTTTGCTACAAAACTAAAAACTCATTTTCTTAATTGCATACTGAAGCAATGTAATAGGGACAATAACAGCCTTGATTACTGTCACACCGGTGTCTGTGCTCTGTCTTTTCATGTATGTCTGTCACTTGTCTGTCTGTCCATAGGCTATGGAACAAAAGCTGATGCTTCACCCCGGACCTAGATGTTGCCATAATAGTTAATGTTCACTGTTATATCAATAGTAAAAATATATGTAAATGTATTATGTAACATTATGTATCATCCTTTATGGCAGCATTGAAATAAAAACATCTAATTAGTAAAATGTGTGTAAATATTTGTATAAAGCCTACTTGTGTTTGTAAGTATTAGTGTTCACAGTCTGTTTCACATCAGCACTTTTCTTTGTAAATTTTACTTTGCTTAGTTTTAAACTGTTTGGGCATATCCTGGGTAAGAAATTTAATAAATGAATAAACAAAAAAATGGTATTGCCAAGTACCTAGCCTGTGAAACTCACCGCATTTTCCCATCCAATTCATAGATTCCTGAGGTTGCATCAATACACTTAGTAACAGTTCCCTACAAAAAAAAAAAATTCATTAGGATAAGCATTCAGAACTAGCACTATGCACATGGGCTTGGAAAGGAACTGTATTTGAAATGCATTCAAATATTTTTGGCCTTATCAGTACAGCTGTTATTCCAGGGAGGGACCTGTACATCAAATATAAATGTAATGAAATGCATTTTCACAATGTCGTCTCGCCTATCCATGTTAAAAGCAACAAGGGTCTATTGAAATGAAACCAGGTCCCATGGAACACAGGTAGGCAAGGCAGGTGAAGTGCTGTGGTCCAATGGTTACGGTGTTCGACTCACGTGCCGTTGTACGTGGGTTCAACCCTTACGGGGAACATGGTGCTTGTGGTCTTGGGCAAGACACTTAACTACAATTGCTTCTCTCCACCCAGGAGTATAAATGGGTACCTGTAAAGGTAGAGACCAGAATGCACTATCTCGAGCTGCTGCTAAAACTGGTCTCAAGGCCCGATGAACAGGGGTAATAATTGTGAAGCGCTTTGAGACCTTTGGTATAAAGCGCTTTATAAGCACCACATTATTATTATTATTATTTTTATACCATGCTGGTGTGTACATGGCTCAGTTGTAGATTTTAGGATTGTCTACCCGGTTACAGCCTCTTAACCCTGGTTCCAACCAGGCTTGGATTTTAACCATGTAGAGCGCCAGACTTGTGGAGAAGCCGTATTGGATTCTTGCTCTGTGCTGAAGGGTCCCAAAATCTCTATGCTGGACCCAGCAACATGGAGAATTTGGGGAGTATGAAAGGCCTATATATGACTTTATTTCGACACGGTTTGAACTAAAGTAATAATTACACATTCTATCCTGTGTCAACCATTTTGACGATTTGAAAATGGGATAAGGGTAGTGCTTGATTCGTTATGGAGAAGCTTTCACTTACAGTAATGCTGTTCTTATGTTGACAATCACCACAATTCCTTTGCACGTCAAATACTGCAGTTTCCTTTCTGCACAAGAAGACATGATATGGTTTCCTTGTGCCCTGAACATCCAAATATAAAAAAATATAGAAATAGCTAAAACTGTGCGAAATAAATTTCCTGATACTAATCTGAAAAATAAATGCGGCCTGTCGTTGCAAACTTAACAAGCCCTTCTTTGGAGGCAAAATGACAGTGGTACAAGAAACAAACATGCAGGGACTCACAAGCACACAGGGCTGGGAGGAGATACACAAATGGGATTAATTTCCTACTACTAAATAGATTTTAGAAAATAGAATGTTTTTTATTTTTTTATTTATTTATTTATTTATTTATGATTATTCGGTAAAATGATATTCTAGGGAAAACCCGCAGAATCAGGCAAGGACTGAAAACCCAATCCACATATTGGCCCAGGCGGGAATGGAACCCGCGTCACAGCGAGTAAAAGTACTGCTTCACCAACCTGATCCCCCACTTTGAACACGATTAATATTGCAGCCTCCTTTGGACTCTTAACCAGTTCGCGCCGGGATTATTTTGACAAGAATGGAACGAGGCACGGGATTACTTTTCACTCGACCTCAAGCCTGGCGGGTTGAAGCCATCACCCTCGGGCAGCACACTCATATTTCCGGCCCCGCTCGCTGCGAGCGGGTTGCAGACAGATATTTCCGGCCTCGCTCCCTGCGTGTTTATCTGTCATACGTTCCGAATACCGCAAAACCTTTGCGTATATACATGTCATCCGGCGCGAACTGATTAAGATTGTATTCACTATGATAGTTTGGAAAGATTTTACTATCACAAGTACTTTCAACCATTGTTTAATGATTGATTTTATTAGTTGTCAAAATCGCATCATGGAAATTTATTTTAGCTTCATCTTTCATAATGGATTTAATTATCCATATCTATGTTTGATGCATTAAATTTTTCCGTATTGTTTCATTTGTATCCATCCTTTTATTAGCACTTGCGCTGTTGTATAATACTTGGACAAAAAAATCAAAACAAAACTAGGGTCTCCAAGTTGAGCTGGACCAAAAGCCTCATTTACGGACAACATTTAAACTGAGTGACTTGGTCAGTCGGTCAATGACTCAGTCAGTCAGAAGACAACAGGCTAGCCCTTCAGCTCCAATTAAAATATTCAAAATTGTCATGGAATAACAGAAGCTATGACAAACTAAAAACTTATTTCAGGCAAACCATGCTCATGATTTGAGTTAAATTTGCGTAAAGTACAAAAGTATGAACAAGACAAAGTAATGGGCTGGTGGAGAGGTTTAATTTTGTACCTTTAGGATTGTAGTAGGGGTAAGATGAGACACGGAACATGTGGAGTACATCGGCAGAGCGGAGTACAAGAAAGCGAGGTTGCTACCCTATTGAAGAGAATAAAAATGAATAATTTTAATAACATTGTAGCAAATTCAGACTGATGCAGTGACATTATCCATATATGAGCAATTCGGTTGAGGACCATTCGTGTGGAGTGCCGTGGCCTCATGGTCTGGAGCACTGAACTCGTGGTTTGTGGGTAATTCTGCAGGTTGTTGTTTCGAGTCCAGCCTGGGGTTATGGTGTGTGTGCCCTTGGGCAAGGCACTTTGTCACTCATTGCTTCTCCACCCAGGAGTAAATGGGTACCTGTGAGGGCAGAGATGGTTATTGTGATTGATTTCAGCTGCCTTGCATTGAAATGGTTGCGTCGAGCTGTATACTCCCCAGGGAGCTGAGATGGTATTTGGAATGTTTCAATGGCCAAATGATCAGGGGTAATAATAATGTAAAGTGCTTTGATCTTAATTTAAAGGGCAATATAAGTACATTTATACGTGTAAAGGTACCATTACGGAGACACGTTATCGTAATTTCTTCGCACGATGGGAGACATTGGTCATTAGGGAGACATTTTCATGTCTCCCTAATGACACAGCCCCCCTTTAGAGGCAAAATTTTACCGACGCAATTAGATTATATTTGTTGCTCGTGGTCTAATTAGTAAACATACCAAAATTCATGGAAAAAGGACAAGGGAATATTGGGTTAGGGCACATTTAAGTTTGAAAAATTTTGTGCACAAGTCTATGGGGATGTCTCCCAAATGTCCAATCCAGGGTAATATTTATTATCATAATTATTATCATTAGTCGACTAGTGGTTGATTTGTGTCATAAAAAATCAATGTGGTGGATTTGTGAGGATTTGTGATCTGCCACAAGTGCCTTGACCGCAAGACTAATACATACTTAATTTGATAGTTTTCCTGTCAAATGAATACTAGTTCTTCTTTATGAACTATCCAAGCACTTATGATAAAAAAGGTATATACCTTGGCTAGTAACGACACACTACTTGATCCAGAAACATCACAAGCCAGCTTGAAGAAGAACAGCGGTTTGTTGTGGATGCTGTCTCAGGATAATTCAAATAAAAAATAAAGTCATTGAGATTATGAAAGAACTTGCAAAAACTCAAAAAAATTACTTCAACAATTTCAAGATTGGTACTCACCTTATGATTGGACTCTTACAAACCACTGTGCCTGTTATGGTGATTTGGTTAACTCTTCCCTTAGAACTGCATGGTAAAGAAAATGATACGTTGTTGCCAAAATTATTTAAGGACATGTAAGTATGTTGTTTCGTAGTTCATTTTTTTTTGCATTATCACGTATAGGGCCAATATTTCTAATTAGTTCAGAGCCAACAGCCAATGGTTGAGCAGAGGGACTAACAAATGTTCAGGGTGAAGTGGTTGCAGAAAAGTGTCTTGCTGAAGAACACAAGGACTTAATAAGCCTTTGACAGATTGACATGAAGTAGGATGTTTACACTTGGGTTTTCACATCAAACCATTGGCCAAATTCATTGGCTAAATTCCATTGGCCGATCCAAAAGATGGGTAGAAATGGTAATTTCTATGAAAACTGGCACCTACATATATTTATTTCTTTGGTAGTGTTGAGTAGAACTAAATTAAATTTACGTAGAATTCATTTTGCCAGTGTCCTATGCACTGCTTCATGACTCATTAGCTGTAACGAAGGATCAAATGTTCAGTAGTGCTGTTTTGAATGCCCTTTTATTTCTTTTTTTTTCAAGTTTCCGTTGACATATGAAAACTTTTGTCACAGTCTTGGCAGTCATGCCTTTTGAAACTCCGCAGTCAAACTTTACAATATACAGCCATATTTCGGTGTGAATGCAGGCACTTTAATGTCATTTTCAGGGCTACAGCATATGAAATATCCTGTTTGTTGAAGTGTTTTAGCAGTTTTACTTCAATCTAAAAGGTAAAAATTGTAAATAAAATACTGCAACTTTCAATTTTAGTGAATAACCTGGGAGTCATGTCTGGTTGCACCCCAAAAAAAAAACGATGCAGCAACTGAACCCTAATTCAGTCAGAAATACAGCCTATTGATGTCAAGATTTTCAACTGTACCTGTCATGACTGTGAAGCAGCTGTGCTGCTGCAGCTACCGATTTTGTCTGCTGTTGCTGAGGCACTGTGTGAGGTTCTGGGCTGACACTGGAGATGACCACGGGGGTACAGCGTGGGCAGATTTCAACCGATCTCTGCACCCTTGCATCCGCGCCTTGGAACAAAAAAAATACCAGTTACTGAAAAAATAAAACGACACCGTAAACTTGTCTGATTTTGACCAGATCCTCCCTCCTCCCCAAAAAAGAAGACATTTTGTTGCTCCTAGCCTAGCGTCCTCTTTGTACCTATCTCAGTGACTGACTGACTGACTGCCACTTGTGACTTTAATAGACTGGTGAAGAGAACTGGGCAGTACTGTTGAATAGAATTACCCATAACGCCAATAAATTGGACTAATACCAGCCCATTATGTACACCAAGATGCATGATGCACTTCCAGTCAATCGCCATTCTGAATCAATTGAAGAAAATTTTGTGGACTCTGGTACCAGCTTTACTTGTCTTGCCTCGTCTTCGACATTTCCCTCTGGATAAATAAACTACATGCAAATATGTGGGCTGATGGAACGATTGTATGTCTTCATGCGTCAGTCACAGATACAATCGGATTCAATTAATTCATGAAATATTCTTGATATAATGTATCCCACTAGAAAGGGACTTTCCAAAAGCAACTAACTTAATGAAGGAAATGTTTGTTAACATGTATCATACCTGGTATAACATTCCAACAAGGAATCAACAAAGCCTGGTTGAGCCAATCCCAATGACAAACTGCAACCTGCAAGGAAAGAATCAACATACAGGGGAGCAAAAAAGAAAGTAACCAAATTAGAATTTTTTGTTTAAATGTGGCTTGCTCTGTTTCATAAAAAAAACAAAATAATCAAAAAGTGCCCTTTATAAAAAAGTGCCCTTCCCCAAAAAATATCTTGTAAAGACTGCCCTTAGGCTTTTCCATTCTAATGCCCTTTTTCACCAGCGCTCAACTAATCTTGCAATCCTGCAAAATCCTGCAATTGCCACCATGTAAAATTTGGACTCAGCCTCAATCCTACAAAATCAACCGTTATTTCTTGAATTTGTTCCGCTGAGGGGTGCCCATTGCCTCAATCCTTCAAAATCACTGTTAATGGGTTGAGGCAGTGCCCATGACATTCAGAAGCAGTGCAGATGATATCGAGCATAACGCAGAGCTCAATTATGCGTATCTGAACAGAAACAACGCCGGGTACAGCCTATGAACTCGACACAATACATTCTCCAAAATCAACCGACACTTTTTGCCATTCAGCCTTAAAAAATCCACCAAAATGGCCTGGAGGATTTTGGAAGATTTTAGAGGATTGAGGGTCAGGGTAAAAGACATATACCTGGCACTGCACAGTTCCGGTGTCATCCTCGAGGTACAGTTTATCCTCTCCGGTCGTTGGAACATGTCTCTTGCCTTCTTCATCCTTACATGGGAGGATGGGTGATGTAGTCAACCAGGCCACAAGAAAGGATTTGGCATTTGTCGTTGGTTTCAAGCCTAAGCGAAACAAAATATAAATGCTTCACATCAAAAGGTATGCAAAATTTGAGTAACAAAAAAACACAGCTGGAAATGACTCTCATATTGGAGGGTTAATAATGTTAGTAACAGGTCTAGGCAGGGTGGTTTGGGGTGGTACCCTAGAGATATATTAAATTACTAGAGCGCTAACTTCGTGTACAAAGTAATGCCTGATGGGCGCATCCATGTTTGTGCACAAACCTATGGAGACCTAGAAATTTTGCACGGTTTTTGTACGGCTATTTGCATATCTGAATTTGTATTCCAAACCGGTGCGGTATTGAAGCCAAAACACCCAAAACCGAAATGCACGATCAGCAAATGAGCGTGTCATTTTGCTCTACGCAAACAGTACAACGCGTGCGCGTATTTGCTGCAGATGCTTTTTGCCATTACGTTTTTTTTTTTAACCGTCAATGACACCCTTAAGTTGTTTGCGTATGTTCTACTTGCGCGTTGCACGTACAGTACACTTTCAAAATCCATCTAATTTCATTATGTTCTACAAACACGCACATGAATTCAAAATGTCTGCGCCCAGGACGGCTTTAAAGCGTCTCCACGCGCAGAACGACGAGTTAGCGCTGTAGTAATTTAATATAGCTCTTAGGGTGGTACGTGAAGTAATAGGCAGGGCAGTTACGGGTGGTACAGGGAGTAACAAGCAGGCGGTTTGGGCAGTTCAGGGAGTAACAGGCAGGATGGTTTGGGGCGATACAGGGAATAACGGGAAGTGTGGTTCGGGGCAGTGCAGGGCTAAGGCAAAGAAAATACCTGTTTTCCCAACAAGATTCCGAGGAGTAGAATGCTGCTGAAGACATCTGGCATTCTTCGTGTGACTGTGGCCAACTTGTGTATAACCTTCAAGCTCTTTTACTGTGATGCACTTCTGGCTGGATACAGAGGGCTCATTCAACCAAGAACCTTGTTTTGCAAGGAAAACAAATAACCAAAATACCCCATTTAACCAACGATACCAAGGTCATGATTTGAAAACTCAAAATTGGTATTTTGGCAGCTTTGGAAGTAGACATTATGCATCATGGCAGACTCAGAGGGCAATGGTTTTGTATTTCCTAGATAGGCACGACTAAACCTTTGGTGCGTTTAAAGGCAAGATACAACATTTGCAAACATCCAAAAACGAAATAATCACATTAACACGAAATACCTTACTGGGTTGTTAGGGAATGACAGTCTAAAGCATCCTGTAAAAGCGTGGCTCCTGGTGTGTTGACATCTTCAAGAAAAATTGTATTTTTCCAATGCAGGCCGGGCGACCAGCCATAGAAAAGGAAGGGGACATATTCTCCCTATCCCCCCCCCCTCGATTTACGCCCATGCTAGAAGGTAGTCGCAGCAAAATCGGAAAAGGAGGGCTAGATACCATATGATATAAATGGGAACAATCTTCAAAGCAGGCAACCTTCAATTTGTTTTTTTTAATATTGGTTAAAAGGAGCAGGGGAAAACTACACACCATCCCCCCCCCCCTCTCCAACTCCATAAACAGCAATGTCTACCTTCGAGCAGGCCTTTGATTTGTGTTGGGTGTAGCTTGCTGGTTTCATTTGAAGACTCCTGCTTGTTACCGACAGCCAAATGATTCAGCGCATGTTCAGCTACTGTCTCCCACACACTATGACGGTGCTCCATCTGAGGAAAATGACAAACAAAATATTGCACCAATGACAGCTAATTGAAAATAAAGTCAACAATATACTTGAAATGAATGTGCATCCAACTTCTCACTTTTATACATGACCAGATGACCTATGGATTTCTTTACTAGTTCAATTTTTTTGTTTTGAAGATTTAAAGAATTGGAGGGGATATTCACTGTCAAATAGGTTAACTTAAAATTGAATACCTGGCTTAACAATAATTAACATTACCAACAGAAACTGAAAGTGGACAGTCTGGTTCCCTTACCTTAATACTCATATTATTCAACTTCAGGATCCTTGGACTCTTGGAACCAGACTTTTTGATAGGCGCATTACTAGCTTGAGTCTAAATGTGATAAGCATTATAGCTGGAGTTAAGCGCCTATCAATTGTTTCCCCCACCCCTCCCCTCCCGGGCTGCCCCACCCAAGACGTGGGGATTGTCACTTTTGAAGTGACAAAATCCCCACCCCTCGGGCAAAATTTAAGTGACAATCCCCGACCATGCCCCGACTTACATACGTGGGGCGCACTAGTGATTGCCTTTCCATTAGTACGCCACTGTTAACAATGTAATTTGAGTGACCAAAATCCCCACCCTAGGGCATGAAAAACGTGACCAAATCCCGACATCGGACCTGGCGTAGCGCGGGGTGGGAGGGGTGGGGGAAACATTTGATAGGCGCATTACTCAAGCTAGAGAGAAAAAAATCGGCAGTTTAGGTTGAAAAAGTCTTTTTTTTTAACGATAAAATAAAACCACCCTCGACTCTTATTTGACCAAAACTAAAGAGGAGGGGGCCCTACGTATACACTACACGATCGCCCAAAGTTTTATTTTAGGTTAGCATATTGCACGGCAATGCCGATGGGCAATGCCATACACATGATACATGCATTTATACTAGCTGGAGTTACCCAGCCCTGAGTTTTATCATTGGGTTGTCTAATAGACAACCCAATGATAAAACTCAGGGCCCAGCCCTGAGTTTTATCATTGGGTTGTCTAATAGACAACCCAATGATAAAACTCAGGGCTGGGTAACTCCAGCTACATTTATACGAATACGAAGTGTCCGAAAACTGGACAAATAGACCTAAGGCCCTATTTTCATTAAGCAAACAGTTTATTGGTTCAAAATAATTGTATCTAACAAATGCACTAAAAAAAAACAGTTCCAGAAGTGTTTGAATTTATCCTTAACCATGCTAAAAACCTGTGAAATCAATTTAGTAGCGGGCAGACGACACTTCGTGTCTTCAAGCGGAGCGCCATTATGTGGTCTGGTTTCGGAGCTTCTCGTGCATTCGCGAATGCAGTGATGAGGCAGCAACCAGACAATCAGCTATTGCGCTGAGTTTGGTTTAGTTTAGGGGCGGGGTGATATCTGCATTGGGGGAGGATACATTTGTCAAGAAAAACCTAAAAGAAATTCTTAAAATTTAAACTGACGTAAATTAGACAAAGAAATATTGTAAATTTGTTTGTACATTGCCAATGAGGCAATGACCCTCTATCTTATTCAACATTTTATGTAAACTACCCCCGGAATTTGTTCAACACCAAACCCTTTCTTTGTCATCTTGGCAGGAGTTCATCACCCCAAAAACTTAGTAGGGCCTTGACCTAAAATCAGTGGTAACCCCACAGAAATGCGCCTATGGCCAACGGGCGCCAAGCAGTGTAAACATAGAATAACAAAATCATGTGAAACAATCGATTAAAACAAACTACATTGCGATTTAGATTTACATTCTATTTATTTATTCAGCCAATGATTAAAAACAATTGCGGGAATTTGTAACGATGGACTCGAATAAAATGACTAATAAATAAAAAATACAATAAACAATGAATACGTACATTTTGTACAGTTTCAGGGCAAATCCATGGAGTTGCACCGTTAGCTGTTCATTTTACCTCTTAGGGGGTACGGCAATTATTACATGAGCAACTTCACTGAGGCCCATTAGGTTACTTACTGGAATGACATTTGGGGATAAATAATATCTAGCTTTTGTGGGATTAAAATCTTCCGCGAAATCGAAATTTTGACCGACTTTTAGACTCCGGCTCCATCGGGGCGCTGTTGATTTCTACGAGGCTCCCAGTACTGATAGGCCTACATGACACTGATGTCGAGACCTCTTCTTTTCTGATCCTCACCCACGTGAGAAAGCATCAAGGCTTCCGTTTTCTATATCAATTTGAAATTCCTCTCAATACCCTGTTGTCTAAATAAGAGATCAGGGGCTATCAGCTATTTGGACGGACCAAGTATCATTTACGATGGAGAATCATTCGTCCTTTTTAGCCTGGGCTCCCAACGAATGTCTAGTCCTTGAAGTAGGTTGAAATTACACTTTCTTAGTGGATCTGCAAATCTTTAATTGCGAAGCAATGCTTTCAACTACTTGTTCCTGTCGCATGGACAGGACGTGACTTGGTTTGTGGTCGAAATTATATGAGGCCTTCATCAATTTAAAAAAAAATGAAAAAAAGTATATGGATTTGTTGGGAAATTGCGTAGACTGACGTTGATTCTCATTTTTATGTTAAAAGCAAACTGACACGATGCACAATGTGTATAGTCAACCTCAAATCAATATGATTTTTTTTTAATGAACTTTTTCAGGGTAATTTATGAAGTGTTAAGCAGCAGCAGGCCATGCCAGTATACGCGTGTGGGTAGTCAGCTAATTCCGACCACTCGCCCGTTTCCACGTCGAAGCACTCGGCGGACTCAAGCCATGCTTTCCGCTCCCAGCAGTACCCGCCCAGGACGTAGATCCGGCTCCCTACCACGCAGCTAGCTGCCTCGGCCCTGGGGTGCCTCATCGGCGCTGGCATGGTAGTCCACGCATCCGTACCCGGGTCGTACCGCTCAATCTCCGGTACGCACTGGACTCCTCGGGCTGGCGGGGCGCTCATAACCGTGGCTCCGCCAGCAAGGTACAGGTGGTCTCCCACGGAGGACAGCGATGCGAAGAAGCGAGGAGTTTCTAGGTCTTGCTTCTGCTCCCAGGTATCGGAGGCCAAGATATAGCATTCGACTTTGTTGGAGATTTTCTGGTTTCCTGCATTCGTGACAAGGTTTGAAGTAGCATTGTGAAACAAAATGCACAAAGTTTTCTTTCACTACCAGTAGGTCAGTTGCTACAGATACCAACTTTCAAAAAAATTCCGTGCACATAAAAAAAAAAATACGGAACAATTTGCTAAATTAAAAGCAAAGCAACACTTACCTCAACAGCTCAAACACCACTTGATATATTTAAAACGTGAGGGGCCTATACAGTTTTGCCAAAGTCAGGGAAACGTTTGATATAAAACTATCTTTTCTTTTTTGTAGCTGAATGAAATTGGCCCAGATATTTACACACAAGACGAACGATTATTTAAAGAGGATATTTTTACCTGAACCACCAACTGCATATAATTTCCCGTCATGCACGGCAACTGCAACGCACCGTCTAGGAGCACCAAGTGGCGCTCTCTCCTCCCATTGGTCAGTACTTGGATTGTAACGTTCGACAGCAGCCAATGAGGTTTCATTACTCTGACGCCCTCCTGAAGAAAAAAATATGAATGGACGGTATCCTTCGCGTTTTCGTTTGTAACTCTCCTTTAATTATTCACTCTACCATTTTTGTTTTCGTTTTGTGTGCAAGGTCTTCTGGAAAATTACTTTTCTTGGATGCTCCACTAACCTACCTGGATCAGTTTATTGTAAAATGTCTCATAATGTCTCAGTCAAAATTGAGCCTTTGTATTACCTGCAAAGTGGCAAGTATATAAAACAAATCTACTTAAAATCCATTTTTGTGGGTGAAACTTGAAAATAGCACGGAGATTGGTTAGAAGGACAATCGACTATCGTGACCTACCGACGGCGTAAATCATTCCATCCAGGACTCCCATCTGAAAGCTCTCCCGTGCGTTCTTCATGTCAGCGATTTGGATCCAGGAGTCCGTTCGGGGGTCGTACCTGTGGGCCGACTGCATGGGGCCGTCTGGGCTGTTCACAAGCTCCCTACCTCCCGCGACATAGAGGAATCCACCGAGCATGGCAGCTGAAAAGACAAGACAATTGTGTTCAAGCAGAGCTATTTGGCCGATAATTCCTCCACCTCTTAGACTAGACAGTTAGCTTCATTGTATTCTCGGACTGTTTTCCCCCAGGCTTCAGAGCTACAGTGTCTGTATGTTGTGAAGTATCCTTCGTTATTATAACAGGAAAGATTTAAAATATCCTCAGACACAAAACGAGGATGAGCTTAATCTTACCAGCATGGTGGTGTCTAGGCTGAATCATTTTCGTCAAAGTTCCCCACTCATTGGTTTCCGAGTTGTAGTACGTTAGCACGTCCCCGACGGAATCCTTAGCCTTCCTCGGTTGGCCACCCAATGCCACTACGGTTGTGAGTCGCCTCGTTGACCGTGGAGATGTGCGTCTAGACTGGAGAATGCTCTGTCTGAGTGGCAGGCAGTAGTAGTGGAGCGCCTCTCTGACTAGAGCCTCGCACGGCGGTATCTCCATCAGGTACTCCACGTTCTCCACGTGGTCCACGAGGTCCGAAGGTTTGATCATTGGCAGGCGGACGTTCTCCAGTAGAGCAGCGGCGTGGGTCAGCCGTGTCTCCCGGTCCACCTCGATCCATCGCAGGACCGCCGCGAATACATTCAGCTCCGAGTCCACCACCAGATCGTCGCGGGATATGAGCGTCATCATGGGTTTCTCCGGCAACTCCAAGAACTCCTGAGTGTCGGAGATGTCGCCAAAGTTTCTCGATGCCATTTTGGAGGCCTCCTCCATCACGTGGGTCAAGCCGAATACTGTAGCCAGTCCGAGTGTCCTGAGGCAAGTGGATGTCTCCATGTTCTCGATCATGTAATCGCAGCAGGTCTTCAGGGCTGAGGAGAGTTTGAGGTAGACGGAAGCCGCGAGAATCTCCTCCAGTCTTGAGGAATCTATCGGGAGTTTGCCGGTGTACATTGACTCTAGGAGCAACTTCAAAGTGTCGAAGGAGATGCCATGGAGCTTGTAGACGAACTCATCGCTTTCGGCGCTCTCTTCCCTCGTGAACAGCTCTGAGAAATACCCGCTGCATGCAGCCAGGACCAGCTTGTGGGTCCCGACTCGATGGGGTCCGATGGCCAGCACCACGTCGTTCAGCTGCTTCTTCCTCCACAGTGAAGTCATCGCAACGAGGACGTGCTCAGCGTGAGGGGCGTCCGGAAACGGCAGTGCTACGTTCGGATGAGACACCTCAAGCAGAGTGCTGAGCCTTGACTGTCTGCCCGGAAGCTCCAGCAGGACCACCCCGACTGTCTTCGGTGATTCCGTAGGCGGTGTCTCGGTCTCGGACTTTGTCTTTAGCAAGTCTGCATCCGGCTCACGGGCCTCTGCGGGTTCTTCTTCTGCCTGAATGGGTGGTTGCACAACTTTCTTCTTTAAATTCGTTACCTTCTTTCCTGCGGGTGCTTGGGCTCTCTTTTTCCTGGTTTTCCACCGCAACATCTTAATGATGGGAGTAACTCTTCTTCAAAAATTATCAGGGATGATAAATGTACGCAACTACACGTGCCGTTATTGATTCGAGAGTGAATAAAGTGTACAAGTCGATTGTTGTCAAAGCATTAAAAAAACTCAACAAACAATGCACATGCGTGCGCGTAACACTGCAACAGACGCGCTCCATTACGTAATAATGATAATCGTATTCCGGTTCGTTAGTGACCATAGATATAGAATAAAATTCTATATCTATGTTAGTGACTTCGTCCATACGCGCGCACGAACCACTGATGCAAGCGCTCGAGATGCGTTACTTTTCTAATAATGCTACTTAATGTGCAGTGGGCGTGGTTTAATGACGTCACACTAACGAACCATTGTGTTACATTGTGTAACATCTTGTTACACAATGCAGTGGCAATACTTTTCCAACACAACTACATGAAAATGATCAAAAGTAAAACAGTAAAAGCACTGTCTAGCGCGATTTACAACGCGCGAAACACAAAACCACAAGGCACAGTCACCAAAACATCGGTAAAACTTAATCTTCTTAATGTTCTGACGAAACAACGACACGAAAAAAAAAATAACATATCAAAAGAAAAAAAACTTCAAATGTGAAAATGTTACAACACAAAAGTGACAACATTGTAAAAAAAAAATTACGAAACAGAAGTAACTTTGCAAATCACACTACAAGAAGTAGATTAAAATTTTAAAATTCTGACAACTTAAGAACTTACAATTTTTTTTAATAACATCTCTCCCTATATATGTTATGTCGCAAAACAGACATAACCACGACACCTGCTTATATAAGCCAGACTTTTTTGTGCTGAGCAATTGTTTGTGCTTAGCAGCGCCGTGAAATTGAGCCCAGCTGGTCATCATCAGTAGGGGCATTTCCCAAATCTCGGCATCGTCCCCGACATTGGCTCCATCTACGGCTCCAGAATCATTTTGAACGTGTGACGTGGTCAGAACCAACAAAATAAACTCCAAACTTTGGCCTCACACTTTGTTGTATTATTGAAAGCCCAGGCTAAAAATATTTTTAAAAGAACCGGTTTGGCGCAGAAAAATTGACGCGGTTCCGAAATATTTTCCCGCCAAAAGAAAGAGGACACATTTTTATTTGGATTATGTCATTATTTTATTCTGTACATTTTTACTCTTTGAAAAAAAATCAGCATGAAATGAAAAAAAAACAGCACATGTATTGCTATTTATGCACGACTCGTTATGAGTAACAACAGTTGGTTAAAATAGATAATGCAATGTCGTTAATGTTATTGATATCAACATAAACAATTTAATTAAAAGTTTACAAGACATAAACAAAAATATTTCAAAAGTGTTTATTATGATTTGGAACGTCGAGTTAATCCAACAGGTTATCTTCAGAACCACCCATACTCACAAAAGAGATATTTCCACAAGGTGTTACCGCAAACCTCTCACTTATTGATCTTTCCTCCATGCAAACCCTCAAGTCTCATATGATTTGAAGGTTTGCATGGTGAAGTGTAAGCAACATGTGACATATCTCTTAAGAGTACAAGCATTACTTTCACTGAGCAAAAGAGGTCCACAAAAGAGGTCCACATAAACCAGGTAGCAGCGACGTTGTGTGGATTTGCCCACATCCACAGTGTTTCTCCTTCTCATGGGAAACAGGTTTAGAGGCATTTTGAATCAGGTTTATCCGTGGCAAAATGAAGAGAAACACTAAAGGGAATCATAGGAAAAAAAAATTGGTTGCAAGGATTTTCACAGTGTGAGTAAAATGAGTTTTTTTCACAGGTTTTTCTTAACTACACGAAAACAAAGGAATGTCCACACTACGTATGCAACGTAAACAGGCGTGAGTTTGTAAGGGTGTTTGTGTGCTACATGCACCCCGAGGACAGACGGACAAAGGTTGTCCTCGAGCGTGTATCTTTTGTTGAAACGGTCCTCGACGTGTGGGTTCATGTGCTTAGTCTATGAAAGAGTGTTATATAATTACAGAGACAAAAGGAAAGACAATGCATTGTCCTCGAGAGTTATGTAAAATATGACTGTGCGTTTTCACGAGTTCTTTGATGTGTATACACCTCTTTTGATTTGATTTATCAAATGACAGAAAATATGATAATGATGTACAAAATTAGAGATCATCACATCCCACAAAAAATGGCCAGTCTGGGCCATAAAATGTAATAACTCAATTGAAAATTGAATAATTCAATTGCAAGGCGCAAAACAAAGGATGAGGTAATAAACAAGGTCCAAATAACCGGTACCTGTATAGAGAAAGAATGTACTCTTGGATAATATAATTTGTTAGGTTTTAAAAATGTGTAATAAAATAAATGTATACAATAGCCTGTCTAAATCTAAGGGAAAGTCATATTAATTTGTTCGACCAAAATTTACAAACATTATAATTAAAATACAATCATAGGCCTATTATCGGTATTAAAAAAGTAGTTAAAAAACCGCAATATTAAAAAACCGCAATAACAAAATACATTTATTCAATCGGCTTTCAATTCGTGAACCCCCCTCAAGATTGAACTTCCAGATATATAACGCAAACAGATTCAGAGTAAAATGATGGAAAGGCATTTTAAGTGCATTGTGACCTCTAATGATCTCAAAGTGCGTGACATTTGACCTGTATATTTGAAGAGCCGAAATAAATATTCAGGTGTTCATCAGAGTGGCTAATTTTCGTGAAAAGGAGATTTAATGCAGTGATAACATTTCTAATTATAATTAGAAGGGACAAAAAAAACCCAGGATAGGCCTTTATTATTCGTATTTATAAAACAAAAAAAGAACATCTAGGCCTTCACATGGATGCTTCGTTCATGGTTGATTTTGAAGATTCTTTGCAAGAACACGGATACGAGAATTGACCTCGTCCCATTCCATGTACCCAACTTCAAGATGGCGGCTACCTTGGAAGGCGCTGCGGCCATGTAGGGCTCGTTGGTTGTTGAGAGTCATGATTTCTCCTGAGTGCAGTTATACAAAAGAAACGATGTGAACATGAACATGAAACCTTAGACAATAACATGTAGTTAACCTTGTTAAGTTATTTTAACAGAACATTATTTATAACATACAATAAAAAAGTACATGTACTTGTAATTATACAGGCTGAGTAAAAAAAAACCCGAGATGAGACATTCTGCAATTATTGCGCACAAAAAAAAATGAAGCGTTAATTAAATCCAACTATATAAATGATAAACTCAACACTTGCTATGTGTTCGGTCAGTGGCCAAACTTTAAAAGTTGATTCAACACTTTCCAAAGTGTTACGAATTCCAACACTTTTAGAAAGTTACAAAAGGTGTGGGGCCCTTTTGCAATACTTTTCCAAGTGTTTAACCATTTTATCACCCTTTTTACCAATTTGACAGTGTAGGAAAGTGTTGGATCTAACCCTTTTAAAATGTTAAAACAACTATTCAGTTACACTTTTACCCAATGCCAAGCGTTAAGAAAGTGTTGATATCCAACCCTTTGAAACTGTTGAAACAACTAATTGTTGCTCTTTAAATAAAAGCAGAGAATGCCATCGATAGTAAGGGCTCCAATACGGCGTTGTGTTCTTCGTAAATTTTTGTCCTACATCGACCAACATCGCTGACCATCCCGATATAACCAGATAAGTAAAAAGGTGAGATTTTTTTTTTTTACTGAGAAACGTATAAGGAACACTGCACATTTTGATGTTAATACTGCTTTTATATCGTACGAAAATGACGGATATGTTTAGACCTTATACCTAACGGACGAGTGTCGCTATTCATACGTTCATTCGTGCATTTGATTTGTGTGATGTATCGATACATGGTCCTCATATGGCAATATTATTATACACGTTACTGAAATTGTAAAGATTCAAGATTGGCCATGCTTCTGCCGTTTGTAAGATACGTACTGTAACATGTATCGATATACATCACGTAAATCAAATGCACGTATGCACGTACGTACAATGTATAGCGACACCCATCTGCTATACGTTTAAGGTCTAAAATTATCCGTTAATATTTCGTACAATATAAAAGCAGTATTAACATCAAAATGTGCAGTGTTCCTACATTAATATCTCAGTATAAAATCTCACCTTTACTCAACTGATTAAATCAGGATGGTCGGCGATGTTAGTCGATGTAGGAAGCTAGTTTATGAAGAACGCAACGCCATATTGGAGCTTGGGCAGGGTATAGTGCGCGCGGCGCGCTGAACTCACTATCCAATCAAATTGCCCACTTTCGCCTGATACAATGATGCACATGCGCTATGCGGGAAAGCTCACAACACTTCTAAAATGTTAACAGCCACATCGTGAAGTTGGTTGAATTTAACATTACTAAGAGTCGGAGTAACCTTTTGCAACATTTGAAAGGTTGTTTTGGTAGTAACAGTCATAGTCCAAAATGTTAAAATTCAACACTATTATATTAGTATCCAGTCAAACAGGGAGTGAGTTAGTCAATGAGATGGGCACCAAGAGCACTGTAAGTAAGCGCTATTGGACCAGCAATAACCGTGAGGGCATCATAGTTACAATCACGCACCTGCTTTAAGTTTGTACTTGAGGCAGTTTTCCGAAGCAAGGAGCATGTCGTAAAACTTGCTGAGGGCCCGGTATATCGGCAGGACCTTGTTAACGGGAACACGAAGCATGGCATCCCGGCTGTGATCGCTGAATGCCACGGCCTCAATTTCACCACGGTCGTCAAGCCTGAGGTATGCGAGGTAATTAAACAGACACGACATGAAATAAATAGAGTTAAGTTGAACTTTACTTTTGGGGAAGTCGAAGGCAGCAAATGGATGCACACAAGTCCGTGTATAGAAACAGTTTAGGGTGCTGTGATGACCTCAAATGTTATCATCAATCCGAACACGCTATCACTACGGAGGCCCCCTTCAATGGCGGAATCGTTGTACCAGCTATAGTTCAGATAGTTCGTCACGGGGTGGTTCCTTTGCGCAATAGACCTTTACCATGCTGCAACCATTTCAGTCATTTTCCCTGTATCCAATAACGGTACTGAACGATAATTTTTTTGGTGAAAAAAGGAACCAGACTATTTTTTCCTTCTAGCCTCGCTTTGGTTTATACGTTGATTTGAACGGGGAAAACATCATGATGGCCGCAACATGATAATGGTCTATAGCTGACACAGTGCTTTGCAATATGGAAAGGATCATCCGTGAATGCACATGTATACAGGGATAACGTTCTCATTGAAATTTGACAGTGGGCAAAAACTTGAGCAAACATTCCACAAATTACTTTTCATTCTTACTTGATGGTTTTGTGTCGAGCGTGTGTATGGAATTCACCATGGTCTTCTCTCCCAGTGTCGAAGAATTCGAACTGGTATTTGGAGAGGAGCTGAAATGCCTCCGGGTCGGCCCGTTTAAGGTCCAAGGCAACTTTGAAACCATCGGAGATGAGACTCTCCCCATCCGTTCCCTCGGCCTCTTGTATGCAGTGCAGCATCACGATCTTTGAAACAGAACAGCGGAGTGAATGTGCAAAATGCAGTCACGTTTGTATAGAAAAAAAAACACACGAATGCCAGACATTTCCTTGTTCTCCACAAGTTCAACGGAATTCCTACCACGTTAACAGCTGAAGATACTGCGGAAACCTGATCAAATCCACGTTCAACCCGTAATCTATACATTTCCGTGAAAAAAACTTTGCTTGGGTATCAAATTATTATTGTTGATAAATAATGAACTTTTTTGGCGTGGTATAGCTTCGATTGTAATCTCTCTTCCTGGAATAGTGTCATAATATAGCAACATTGCATATCTCCCTTCAAATAGCTAGGTCTGTGTGTAGCCGCCTTCCACACTGTTATTTCGGTTGTGTACTATATAAACCTAGCAACCAGTTGTGTAAAAAAAATTGAACAAGTTGTGTAATATTTAACACAAGTTGTGTAAACAACAGTTTACACAACGGGTTGCTAGGTTCATATAGTACACAACCGTTTGATTTTTACACAACCGAAATAACAGTGCACCCCCTACAAAAGATCATGCATTGTACAACCGTCAGCCACACCTTTAATAGTAAAAATACCGATTGCCTCACTGAATAATAAGCCTAGACATAATGATGGGAGGTTTGCAGTAACACCATGTGAATGAAAAATATCTCTTAGCCTGGTTGTGTGGTTCTGAGAAGAATCAGTGTTGGTTTAACTCGACGTTTCGAACAGTATGCTCTGTTCGTCATTAGGCCTGATGACGAGCAGAGCATACTATTCGCCGAAACGTCGAGTAAAACCAACTGGTTCTTCTCAGAACCACGCAACTCACTAAGAGATAGCTTTCATTCACATGGTGTTACCGCAAACCTCCCATTCATTGATCATGTCCACCATGCAAAACCTTAAGTCTTACTTACCCCTGCTTCACGCATGTAGTAAGCAATGTCCGTATGCATTGCCATGGGAACGGTAGTGTAGGCACTGTGCAGAGGATTCGGATTCGGCGATTTCACGTGGCAAGTCAGTCTATATCACATTTGTAGGGGGGGGGGGAGTCATACAACAATTAAATGCAAGTACAATATTTACGGATCATGTATATCACTTTAAAAAAATATATATTATTTCACGAACATTGGTTTGACAATGTGTTTTTTTTCCAAACTTATCTGGTAATAATGCACGTACCCATAAACAAATGGCCGGATGAAAGCTACTCTCGCAGCAAGTTTCTGCAGCTGGCCGAGTTCACGTGGAGCGTCCTTCACTACCGCGATGCCTAGAGTCACCAGCTCCGTCAGCCAGTCGTAGAGGGCCCCATCATCGGCAAGCAGATCGCCAAAATCAAACCTCCGGAAGTCAACGTCAGACCCCCAAAACTGAACTTTGGGATTGAGAAGCCGGTCGTCATGTGAATCCTCGAAGCGATACAGGAGCAGCCAGTTGGACGGGAATTGGCTTTGGTGACCATCCCCTTCCCAATGGATTGTCAGGGTCTTGCCGTTGGGGGAGATGTCAACTGATTTAGCCACGACATCCACGTCAATCTGGTGAAGTTGTATCAAGCGATTTAAGGCTTCGGGGTGGAAACACTCGCTGCATCGGCAGTTGTCGCGAAGCCAGACGAAGGGATAGATCTGGGTTTTTCCGTTTGTCCAGGACACGAGGAGCTGCTTGTTGTCGATGTCCACTTTGATATCGTCCATCTTCACATCATTTAACTTGAAGCCATAGTCGTCAAGCAACGCCTCCTTTCTCTTTAGTGTAGGCGGGGCGAAGTAGGCAGTGGTAGACTGGGTTGAACACGTACGTGAAAACAAACTGAAACTGGGCAACATTGAGCGGTTTTTGTAAGGAGCTACACCCAGCGATGTTGGATTTATCCCACCAGGACCCGCAGTTGAGACACGCACGGTGCTTCTGGCAAATGATGTCCTGCTTCGGATGGGTGAAAGAAACTTGCAAAAGGTGGAACTCATCATTCTGAATGGCATTTTTATTTCTCCTGAAACAACACTGAAAAAGGTGGCCATCCACCCGGAAACGTGACCAGCGTTAGCCTGCACAAAAGATTTTTGACCTCAAATTGGACGTGTACGTGACCTCGTGTGGCCGGGACCGTACGGGCTGCGATTAATGGGGCATTGACAACCCTCACTGCAGGAGATACCATTGTCCAGTATCGAATAATAGTGGGCTGTGAAGGTCAAATATCGCCGCGGTGGGTTATCGCGTATTAAACCAATACCATACAACGTCTAGCCCCTACTTTTGGCCATGCCATGCAACGTTTTCTCCGTAGATTTTGTACTATAATCGATCAATTTCGGTTTTTATCAAGGACCTTTGAAACTAAACTAAAAAGTGTTTCTATAAATATAACACGTACATGTACTATATACTATTGGGTGACTCGGACCGAATTAGCAGGCCGATAGTAATTAAAAGGCAATCTTGGCTAACGCATAACTTATGGTTTCCCTCAAAGGCTCGCATAGCTAATTTATTATTATAGATACCTATCTTTGGACAATTATAGTTTTAAGTAATTTCATAACTGTAATGTAACAACAATTATCTGAGAAGTCAAAATATCGTATGTGTAGGGCAGCAAGCGTCTGAGTTCGCTGTGCCGTTACATCAGCCAATAAGCTAACCAATTGTTTTGCTAAGGTTGAGTTGCGAAAGATCTTTATTATCAGGTAAATTGAGATGTGATCTAATAGAGTAGATACTTTCCACATTTTTTTATATTTTGGTTTTGGTGGTGTGGAATTAAAAATCCCTTTTAGTTGGCGAACAATGAAAGGGTGTTGCCCAACAGGATGATTTCCAGCTAAAGGCAGTCGTTGATAATGCTGACCTGTACAAATTTAAGGTTGAGTAAGACTTTCCTTCTGAATGTTCGTGAGCCAGAAAATTAACAATATCTAGAACAGATGACGCAAATGGATCAATTTTTCTTCCACTGCAACAGCTAACCCAACATTTCCTGGCAGACTCATATACTGTTCTTATGTGCCCTGTCTCGGAACTTGAGATGAGCTTGGTAGCGTCACTCGAAAGTCCCTCTACTTTCCATTGTTAGTGCCGGCTGAGATGGTCTAAGCGGCTAATTTTAGGTTGGCAGAGGTTGGATTTGCTGAGGTTGGTTTAGAGCTGTCTGTTGGAGTTGGATTAGTAGGCTTCGTTGCAGTAGATGGTGGATCTCTGTTGCCATGTAGATCGCCCACGGCTGCGTTGGGGAATATTCGAACCCCGAGGAGATGAATGCCAGAAGCGTCCAGGCTGTCTCCAGTGGGTCCGCTGTAGTTTGCGGACAAGCCTTTGCCTGCTCTCTACCTGTTTCAGTGTATTGTTCATATCTTTCCCGAACAACATTTCTGAGACGGGAGTATTGCGGGAACACAAACCGCGATACATGGGGGTTGAGTTGTTTCAGTTCCTCTCGACGTCTCATACTTAGTTCATAAGAGGCGTTCCCTGCAAGGGTAATGCCATCTAAAGCAAGTTCCTTTAACTTGTCAATGTTCACAACTTGGCCTGACTTTGTCGCATCACGCAACTCAGACAACATGTTGCAGTAAGGAAGCAAACCAGTGATAACTTGTTTTTGGATTTTTTGTAAGACCACGTCCTTGGATCTAGCTGAGGCGGGGATGGTTCCCCAAAGTTCACTGCTATTCCGGGTGCCGACACGGCTACCGATTTGACGGTGTAACGTATTTTTTTCTGCATTTTTTTTGCATGCGTCTCTCTCTTGATTGGCAAAGTTACCGCTTTTATAGCTCTTCTGCTAGGTTGCTAAATATCTCGGGCCTTTAGCCTCACTGTTACTGTAAATATCTTCACTTGGAAGAACGTCAAAATCAGCTTGCGCTGTAATGGCTTGGTTATCCGCCAGTACACTGGTCAGATCCAACTCAGATTGAGCTGGGTCATATGCCAGAGCTTCCTGGCTTAGTGGGCCTTATTCACGAGTCGGCCATGAATCTTAATTTTTTGAATTTGCGCAGAGAAATGAAAGCAACTTAATTTATAATCAATTCCAGTCTGCCTCAATAAATAATTTTAAATCTGTTATTAAACATTCCCTATAATGTTTAAAGCCATATTAAATAAAAAATGACAGTAAAATAAGGCTGCATTGTGCCTGCATAAATATACTGGCGCCACCCCATTCAACAGTTAACAATTAATGAAATACATTCAGGGAACTCGACAAAAATGGCCAACTCGTGAATAAGGCCCATAGCTCGTCTACAAACTCCTCGTCGTATTGAGCCGAGTCTTCAAACTGGGGTGGACTACCCGAGGGGCCGGCGTACTTCGCACGTCCGGATGACAAGTCACGGGAATGTGCAGTGACGCCAGAAATAGCAGAAATTCTAACCCAAACAATAATTGGTTATAGAACAACCCAGGTTTGGGTAGTTCCGGTTTTCACCCTTTCTTTGGTAAAATTAACCCAGGCAATTTTCAGTGCTCATTTGAATAATCATAGATTTTTTGAATGTTTTGTGTGATCCGCATGCCTGACACCTGAAAGGAATACATACCCTCTGAAGACTAGACTTGCACGAAGTGTTATGTAATAGAATTGGGAAATTGAAGAGATATGGCAATGAACCTCTAACCCGGACTTGGGGCTTCCAATTCTGAGCATTTTGGATGCAATTGGGCTCGAAAGTGGCACTATTTTGCCATGTTGTGGAGGGATCGTTTTTTTCAAGATGGCTACTTTTCCGCTTTTGGAAAAATAGGGGTCGTCTTAATCTTCTTTGGGTGAGAATTTCTCGAAAAGTTAATGGTCAACCCGCCAAACAATGAAAAGAAAATGAAAGATGACATGTTGATCATCAATTTTCTGTGCAGCTTAAATACCTGTGAGAATTCCGAGTATTTTAAAAAGAATTTTGAAGTATGGGCATTTAGCACTAGTGTATATGGGAATTTTAATACAGGTTTGCACCCGGGGGGGGGGGGAGCTGGTACCATCCGTCGATGGGGGCGCTGTTCAAAACTGACGATTAGGCACACTAACGGAAAATTATATGCTTTTCAGGGCAATAAATGCGCGAAATTAAAAAAAAAGGCACCCGTAATTAACGGCCGATGGCACAAAAGGCCGCTTTGAAAAGGGCACTTGATCAGGGAAAAAGACACTTCTTAGGCTAAATCTTTCACAAATATTTAGGGTGGAAGCGCTGGTGAAAAAAATGGCATTTTCGACTGGAAAAGGGCAGTCTTTACAAAATATTAGTGGGGGGAGGGGGCCCCTTAGCCCCGGCTCCCTCCCCCTCCCCGCTGGCTACGCCAATGCATTGTCTCCACACTGGGGAAAACTAAAACTTCAAGTCTGACTTGAAAAAATGTAGTCGACCATTCCTCTAGTAAGTATTTAGGAGGAGGAAGAAGATCCAAGATCCAATGAATGTCTACAAGAGCACGAGTAAACCTTGGTGCATTCATTGCCATTGTTACTTGATGAAGATAACAAAGAACACCCTCGGCCTCTGAGATACCTGTAACGCATTTAGGTCGAATTCACGTGAACGAAATTGAAATTCTATGTGCAAAAACGTTTTTTTACGAAAGCCCATTAGCGCCACTGCAAGTATATATGTTGCGGATTATTTAATTCGTTATTACGGATTATTAATTCGTTATTACGGATTACTAATTCGTTTATTACGGATTATTAATTCGTTATTACGGATTATTTAATTCGTTATTACGGATTACTAATTCGTTATAACGGATTATTTAATTCGTTATTACGGATTATTAATTCGTTATTACGGATTATTAATTCGTTATTACGGATTATTAATTCGTTATTACGGATTATTTAATTCGTTATTACGGATTACTAATTCGTTATACCGGATTATTTAATTCGTTATTACGGATTATTAACTCGTTATTACGGATTATTAATTCGTTATTACGGATTATTTAATTCGTTATTACGGATTACTCATACGTTCTGAGTCATTACTCGGCAAGTATGGCACAGGAGTGCAAACGTTGTATGCAAAGATAGCGCCGCCTAGCGGCGCTATATACACAGGCCCCTGGTCACGTGCTCTCCACGTGTGAGAACATCAGACCTAATTCGTAATAACGAATTAATAATCCGTAATAACGAATTAAATAATCCGTTATAACGAATTAATAATCCGTATTAACGAATTAGTAATCCGTAATAACGAATTAATAATCCGTAATAACGAATTAATAATCCGTAATAACGAATTAAATAATCCATTATAACGAATTAATAATCCGTAATAACGAATTACATAATCTGTAACATATATACTTGCAGTGGCGCTAATGGGCTTTCGTAGTTTTTCATCTCTGGCACTTTTTTGTTTTTATTGGCGGCCGGGGTCTAATAACGAGGTTGTAAATAAAGACTCTGAGAACGAGGTCGCTATCGCGGAGTCATTTAGTCGGGCTCCCTGTGTTCTTTGCATACTTTATTTACGTAGAGGTATCAGTTACCAGTGAGCTCGAGGAAGTGCACTGAGCTGATTCTGAAACGTCAGCTAAACAACGAGTGGCGAGGATTTCCCCCTCAAAATACATCAAAATGACCCGTAAGTAATGCCGCTCTTGTCCTAGATTTATTTACTCACATCTCAGAAAGTTAACTCAAAACATGGTTGAATTTTGGGGGAAATGATTCAAGAAATAGTAATCGGAGGAAGGAAAACAGATACGTGACAAATTCAACGACGTCATGCTCATGAAGATGACACAACACTCAACAGCTGCAATGTGACACTGATATTGTGATAAACACAATACTAGTTTCCCAAGTAGGCCTAACAATAAATTCGGGAAGAATTTAGTATCCTGCGTCCTCTGATCGCTGATTTTCATTGACCTCTCACTCAGTAGCGAAGTCATTGGCTTCTTTGCTAAAGACATTTGTAAGAACTTGAAATGAAGTTGTCGGTTGTTTTCAGTGATTGTCATCTGGTCATGAATGATTGTATGTTTTTTAGGAACCACATTTGAGTCATTGTCATTGACGAAAAAATAAGATAGTGGATATTTTGCCGGAGGTAATGACGGCAAACTAACGATTACTAAAGGTTTGCCAGCGGCAATCCATATCAACAGAGGGCGCTGTACTCTTTAAAATAGGGCTGAATTATAAGATGTATTAAATTCCCACAAAAAGTTGTGTAGCACGTTCGGTGTAATGGTTAAGCAAAGGCTCTAGTAAGCGGGATGACTCGCGTTCGATTCCGACCGCACCAGATTTTTAAGTTTTTTTTTCTCATCCCCAAATAAATAAGAATATTCTTCTTTTATTATTTTAACATGTCTCAAACATTTTTTGCAGAGTATGACATTTTCTTTTTCAGATTTGTGGCTCTGGAGGATTTTTTTTAAAAGGGAAATAAAGTCCGAAATTATAAAATGGTCTGAATCCCATCTTGTGAATACGAGGTAACAATGATAATTTCGGCATGGAGCCAGACAAAAACTTGTCACCGGAAAATGTTAGAGTAAAAAAAAACAGTAACTGCGCATGTTCAGTGCATATCCGGCAAACTAACGTTTACTAAAGGTTTGCCGTCTCCGGCAAAATATACACTGCCAAAAAATAAAGATAAAGACATAAAATTTAGGGAGTGGATATTTGGCCGGTTGCCGGTTTTCTTTGAGTAAGCATCTTCACAGAGGCCTTCCCTGATTGGCTCATATATAATAACATCCAATTATCTGCGCAGGCTTTCGTTTTGCAAACGCTAGTTTGTCGGAGGAATCAAAGACAACCTCTGGCAAACTAACAGCGTGGCCGTTTCCTACCTCCATGATCCAATGTGACGTAATTGTCAATGAACCAATCAGAGAAAGCCTCCGTAAATATGTTTCCCAAAAGAAAACCAGCGCCGGCCGAATATACACTGCCTTAAATTGATGCACGTGTTAAAAAGGAAAAACAGGTAGCGAAAAATAAATCAAATTTATGACATGCATGTCAAACAGATAACAGTTTGAGATATTCACATAAGGCATATATCAAAGTAAACTATTGACGCTTTTTGCCACACCTAATTCCCATCCCATGACAAAGTGCTGATGATCAGTACACAGTGATGTTGCCTTTGTAATGACAAGATAACTTGATTTCCAAATTTCGACTTAACAGGCGGTAACCAGCGAGAACTTGCGAGGGCCAAAAACCAGAAGAAGTTACAAGAACAGCAGAAGAAGAAAGCGGCCAAAGAGTCGGGAGCAAATTCGGGTTCAAATCTGGAGAACCGACGCCACAGGTAAACAGTTAAGCATTTAATAACTGCCAGGGTGTGAAATACAGTACACTGTAAAAGTTGCCAGGGTTGGACTGTCATGTGAAACTCTACTAGACAACAGGGCTTGTATTGTTGTAGCTACTAGAACCGAGGTTTTTTTTATTTTTTTTTTAATTTCAACTAAACCAGCACACAGTTGGAGTATGTAGCAAGATTTGTGGCAGAGGGACCATCCCCCCCCCCCCTCTTTTGTGTTGGTTATTGTGTTCTCAGAATCTCGGTAATAATTCTGAGATATCTAGGGGGGCATGCGTAAGGTGACAATGGGCTCCATGCGCCAACGAAAGAAGGCGCCCTTTTACCTAGCTAAGACGTCCCATGGGTGGGACATTTAGCTGGTTGACACGCACCGTTCCTTGTGTGTGATGCACGTACACCAGGAGATTTGTACTACATGTATGTACACGCAGTGGTACGGCCGTGAGTCGCGTCAAAATTGTAGTCAGGCAAGATGGCGTCGGTCGGTCACCCCCCAACTGTTCTTTCTATGCCGGTGAGGGGGTACTTGTGAACGAAGCGGATAGTATAGTATAGTGTGTATAGGGTAGAGGGACATGGGTGGGGGTACCCCTGTGTCACAAATCCTGCAGGGTACATGTATATCCCCACTGCTCTGTACAAGGTTGCTAGTAACCGCTATTTACAATCCCTTTCACAAAATCATGTGAAGGAAATACAGGTGTCGCAAAGCATTGCAGGGAGATCCATTTGGAGCAAGGTGTGCGATGGGGGAACCCCCCCCCCCCCAACTGTTTTATGTTCCCAGAATCTCAGCAATTTTTTCGATATATGGGGACGAGACAGGGAGGGGAAGGAAGGAGAGGAGGCTTATGATGGGGAGGGGCTGGGGGATATGTTAGGTAACAACAGTCTTAGAGTATGTACAGGTTACATGTACATACATGTATGGGGTATGAGACACTGTGTGTACTCCTCTGTCTCAAACTGTGCACTGCATAGGGAGATCAAATGAAAGCATGTGCATTTCAATGTAAATGGGTCATGCACACAAGTAGGTGCTGACCCCAAGTCACTTTGCTTTATTTACAAAAAAGTATCCGATGAGAGCTCAAAAGAAATTAGAGGTCATCAACTCTTGTTTAGGGTGGTGGGGTGAGCAAATAGAGCTGAGGGTACTTGGTTGGTTCTTCTCCTAAATACTCGGCAGGGGAGTTTTTTAACAGGAGGCCAGAAACACCGGGGCAAACCCCTTCTCTTAGTGCTGTTACTGGGTTCTTTTACGTGCATTGCACTACACAACACACGGGACCTACGGCTTTACGTCCCATCCGAAGGACGAAGCAATAATGGTTAAGTGCCTTGCTTAAGGGCACAAGTGTCCAGACCTGGGCTTGAACCCACATTCTGCTGCCTCTGAAACACCAGAGCATGAGTCCGATACGGTGCTCTTAACCTCTAGGCCATGACACACCAAGAGGGAGTTTAGTTAGAGTAAAGAAACTTCTATCTCTCTTTTTAACCAGGGATGCCGAGGCGATGCGTTTGAAGCAGCAGAAGGCAGAGGAAAAGAAACTGGCAGAGGCAGCGGGGGGCAGCTCGAAGTAACCCCGGCCCTTCCGGAGGACGTCTCAGGCCAAGGAGAAATGGAAATTAAACATCATGGCATCCCATTCCTCTCGGAGGCTTACTTATAAATACTGGCCAAGGCACTTGTAGATAAGGCGACAGAAAGATGAACAGATGAAATATTTTTTTCCCCACTACCCTTTTCTTATTATTAAAAAACAGATTCATTGAGCTGGAAGAAGTAATACTCCAAGTTTCATAATTATTGTAAATTTTTGTCGTGTCATTTAAAATCTTGTTTTTGCAAAGTAACAGATTTTTTTTCTGCATTGCATTCCTTTTTTTTTCCTGATTGTGTATCACAAATAAAAAGTTAGAAATTACATGTAGGAGTGTGTTTATCACCCATTGTAATGTGTGAATTTTTTTCAGCTTATTTTGTAAGACTGTATGTTATTTACAAACATAATGTTATTAATTTGCATGCTAGCCTTTTGAAAAGGATCACTCACTCTTACATTTGGCACAAAATATTTTGACCGTGGAAATATTGGATGCACATGAAAACAAAAGCTACGACATTCACTCATAAAATTGAAGACAAGTACACGCTGATTGTCAAAGTTTTCGTTTTCTTGATTGTCAAAGTGTTGATAAATTTATGTGTATTGTAAGGTCATAAATCGCCTGAATAATATCCACAGAAAGCTCCTTTTGACTTGTCAGTACAAATAACCACATATTCACATACATCTCAAATTGTTCTCTTGCAGGCAAGTTTATTACAAAAGAATTGATGCAGAAATAAAAGCAACAGCATTTTTGAACTTTACAGATAAACATAACTGTTTTGTGTTTATTTTCAGTTGGTGAATAACAATTGGGGTATGTAGCAAGAATTTAGACTCCAGATTTTGGTAGAGAAGGTTAAACAGAAGAACAAACAGTATAGAATTAATGTTGCTACTGTGAGTGCGTTCGGTAAAAAACTCGTCTAAAAACTTGGAATGTGAAAAATGGTGTCGACAACTGAGCAATTCAAATTGCAAAAAGCTGTGTTCCTAAAAAAAAGGTTTGGAGCGCTTTGAAACATGAGTTTTCAAAATTATCCCGAGTTGTGTGAACTTTGTTATCACAGACTGCAGTTTTTATTTTGTTTAATTTTTTTTTGGGGGGGGGGGGGTCAGTCATCTAGTTGAGTCCATATCTGAAATTCACAGCACAAAATCATTGGGGAGCAGTAGTTGGGGGTTGACTGATGGGGGCACTATTGGGAGGGGATTTGGGGCACGCTTGGAAGGGCAAAAGCCCTCCCCTGGAAAAGGGAAGATACACAAATGTTTTGAACTTGGGCCTGGAGTTGATGAGTCTGTATGCAAGTCTAAGACCATTAAGAGTGCAGACCTGTAAATCGACTCCCATAGACCCCAATGGTAATTACACGTACATCCAAAAATTATATAAAATACTCCCAACTCTCCAAAGTGTTTGAGACACCCATCAAATTAAAGCTTATTTCATCATCTTCCAATTTTTGTTAATTTTTTTTTGGGGGGGGGGGGTTTAACCGATGACTTTTGGGAGAAAATTCCATCAAAGATGATCACCCCTAAAAGCAGTTCTGAAGCCCATCGCCATTTTCAAAATGGACGCCTACACTCCATTACAAAATAGAGCCATTTAAGGGCCTAATTTCATCCACATTTCACAGAAATACAAGCTCGCAGTCCTCTGCACGGCTTCCACCCTTTTTGTTTTTTACAAATCCACAAATTCACGGCCCTCAAAATGCTCCTATACCTGAGAATTTGAGGGCACACCGTGATTTGGCCCACGTAGGCAATTCTGGGCCCATTTACTGATCTGCACCCTTATGACCTTAAACAAGTAGGATGGAGTCAGGGGTCAAGTTTGGACAAGAAAAAAAATTGAGCCAATTTGTCCAGTTTCTAACTTTTTACTATTGGCCACAAGTGACAACACACACTCTCAAATTTGTATCCTTGTGGAGACATTTCTTTGTTCTCGTGTAGTAAAGTTTTCCATTTTGAAAGTGAAGTTTTAAAATGCTCTTATTTTAACCAGAATGCTCTTATTTTAACCGGACTTAATATCCCTTTTTAAAACTCTTCCATTTGCGACGGATTAACCCACCTTGGAAATTCCTAGTTTTTGAGTAAAATCCATATATCTATTTCGTGAAAACCTTGTGGAGACCTATTCATCTATAGAAATTTCCCTGTGGAGACCTTTACAATGTTTTGTTTCCTATTGTGTGCGTGTCTCCACAAGGATACAAATTTGAGCACTGCGACACTGGTTGTGGGGGGGGGGGGGGGGGGGAGGCGACGGTCCACAAATTGAAAAAAAGTTGAAGGTAGGGCAGGTAAACTATAGTTGATCTGCTGCTATCTGGACTGTGCCCCACTGTTTCTTGGTCGTGACTGGCCCCCTGTTGCTGGTCTCATGTGGCTGTCTTGGTTCTTTGGTGATGCAGACTGGCTGGTGGACCTCGCTTGTTTTAAACCCTGCAGGAGAGATACAAAAAAAAAGAGGACTAAACCCATTAGCACATGTATTACATTGTATTACATTTTATTTATTGTGTAATGTCTCCATATTACCACAAAGTGATCAGGCAGTCTGGGTGGTACAGGGAGTCAGGCATGAGAATGGGTGTTGATAAAAAATTAAAAAAAACGGGAAAAAAATTGTGTAACCAGTCCAACGGCCGGGGGCCAAGGGGGTCGCCTTAGGCCCCCTTGTGGGGTCCAGGGGCAGCGCCCTGGTGTGGGTCCAGAGGGTGAAGGCCCATGAAGCTTCTGGGTTTTGGTATATTTGAAACCTGTGGAAGGCTAATTTCGGAGATCAATTTCATACATGTAATTTCAATGAATACAACAGTAAAAGCAGCTACATGCATTTCAAGATTATGAAATCAAAGTAACCATCTGAATAATTTCATACATTTTAATTTTTTTCTCAAAAAGATTGCAAAAATGAGGCAAACCTGACCTGTCTTCTTGTATCAGCTCTCTGGTTTTTAGTTTGCATTATTTCATCTGAACTAGAACCAGAGAGCTACATGCTATTGATAGTTCGAAATTGATGATGCCTTGACGTCTTGCTTATCGTACTTAATTGCATGCTGCACCAATGCTTTAGCTCCACAACTGCCGTGCTTGATGGGAATACACCACCACTCACACCATGCTTCTCCGTGGAGTATAAAACTTATGGAAGCAGTCGTCGACCATGTGTTCATCTTCTGATTTTGCTTGTAAACTTTTGTCGCACCATGACCAATTCCATTAATTTTTTTATTGATTTGTCTATCTCCTTCGGATCGGCAGTTCTGCGCTCAACATACATGATGGATATCACACACATCCACATATACACGCACACTGCGTCGCGCTGCAGATTCGTATATAGAACGATCGCACATGGTATCTTTTGTACACTGACCTATGAAACGTGATGACGTCATTTGATTATGCTATGGCATGTATGGGGAAGGACGGCCCTAGCGTTACTGTGTGAGGCTACACAGTACCTATGCGTAAACTATCATGCTGAGTGCATTGAGCAAACTTCCCCATCAGGACTTTTGAGCATTTACAGCCGACGGTCTATTGTCCGACGATCGTTGACCGAGCGAGCACCAATTTTTCGTCGGTTCCTCAGGGTTTTCGTGCATGTAGTAATCATAGAGTTATGTTATAGATGGTAGTAGCCGTGTACATGTGTTTCAATGAGTAATTTATGCAAATTACTAAACACATTATATTGTAGGAGCTCTGAATTTATTGAAAGAAAAATAAAACGACGTCTCAACTTAGCAATTTCACTCGGAATAAAGGTGGATTTTCAGCTCCAGAGTGGTAATCCAACATTACCCCCTTACAACTCACCCTCCAAAATTTTATTTCAAATTTACATTGAACTCGAAGGCCACAGATTTGGAGGGGACAAAAATGGAATTATGTTTAAAACCGGAAGATTCTCATGCCTGTACAGGGAGTAACAGGCAAAATAGGGTTTTTTTTTGGGGGGGGGGGTATGGGGGCTAATAGGCAGGGTAGATTGGGTTGTTACATGGAGTAACAGGTAGGGCACTTTGGGAAAATACAAGGAGTAACAGACAAGGCAGTTTGGGGCAGTACAGGACTAAAGGATTAAGGGGCTGAATCACATGAGGCAGTTTTCACAAGCAATTTAAGTGGAAGGGAAAACAACCCCTTTGGTAAAACAGAATACATTTCCTTGAAAAATATTTTCAGAAAATGAAGCATGTTTTCACAAGTATCTATGTAAGAATCGGAATTCTGTAACCAACCCAAAACAAGACAGCGCAAGTCGGGTAACCTGGTCCTAGAGTGCACAAAATTATATTCAATCGATTCAGAATGGCTATTCACTGGAAGTCTTTCCATGCATGTGGCCTTCAAAATGGGCAGGATTTAGCACATTACGGGGTAATCCTATACAATAGCACTGCCCAGCTCTCTTCATCAGCCTACAACCATCACGAGTGACGGTCAGTCAGTGAGCCAGTCGGCGAGCCGGCGTCTCAGTCAGTCAGGGAGACTGGTAAAAAGAGGACACTAGGCTGACTCTCTGGAATCAGCAAATAAAAACCCAAATGTTGAGGACTTACCTGATAGTATCCCGTATGATAGCCACTCATGTACCATGACATCAGCATGGCATGCAGGGCCTCCTCGTCCCCTTGATGTACCTCTGGGGATATGGGCAGGGGTGGTGGAGGGGGTAGTGACGAGGGTATAGGGGGCACTGGCATGGCCAAACCCTAGGTAGAAACAGCAGGAGATAATTGATAATAGTATTAAATATCTATAAAGCCAATATAGATGGATTGCATTTGGCAGCCATCTTGGAGGTGTGTCTTTTAATGGTAATTCTTTAACAGTGGTGAGTCAGGTTGGCGTAACGGTACTTTCCTCGCCTTCCACCGCTGTGACCTGAGCTCGATTCCCACCTGGGCCAATATGTGGATTGGGTTTTCAGTCCCTGCCCGATTCCGTGGGTTTTCCCTAGAATATCATTCTGAGTTTTTCTCCCACCTCTATAAACTGTAATTTCTTCATGGGCCCCATGGAAGATCAGTGGATTCCACTAAATGGGCTACCCAGTTAAAATATAAATTAAATAAACAATGAATGCAACTCATGCATATCCATGTTGAACAAAAGCACACACCTTAAAGATGACCGCAGCGCAAGCGATTTAAATCTGGCAGTACTGGCACTCAAAACGTTACATCGTTATTTGTCTGAGCAAACTTGAATCCTCAATTCTGATTGATCAATCCATGGCAATAAATGTGTGACGTTATCCTGTATTACACGGTCCACATAGACATTTATCATGCTTCCAACATTTTATTCATGTTCCCTGTACTGAATGATAATGTTTTTGTGCAAAAAAGAACCAGACTATTTTTCCTTCCAGCCTCGCTTTGGTTACATTGATCTAAATAGGAAAAAATCAAATGGCTGCAACATGATAATGGTCTATTGCACTGCGTGTGTCACACTATTCTAAGATGCTCATTTTTTTTCTGCAGCATGCGCATGTAATAAGACAACAGCTGAAACATTAGCAAAGTGTACGCTTGTTGCATCTTTACTTTCCATCTAGTTTACATGAAGACAAATTTGTTATCCCACTCGCGCTAGTGGAACATGGAAAATGTAGTGTGTCTTTGTTCCACAGGTACATGCAATTCAGCCTTCGGCCTCGTAGCATACGAGACACAGAAAAACTAAATGACTCCACTTTTTTTGAAGAATCAATTCCAAGAAGTAAAAATCGCATTGCCTCAAGAATAGGTTAAACACACTTCAAAGCAAATTGTATATGGGAATTGTTCGTTTTTAAGAAAGGGATTACGGTTTTCCATGACCTTGCATTAGTAAATTTTCTCTGCACTGAACAAAGTAGATCACTAAAGCCCGGTTCATACTTCACGCGAAAGCGAAAGCGAAGCGAAATTCGTGACGTCAACAATACATTCGAAGCGCGTCCACCATTGTTGACGACATAAATTTCGCTTCGCACATGCTTTCGCGTGAAGTATGAACCAGGCTTAATGCTATAATAACGAAACAAATAATGACTGAGTGTATTCAAGTAACTCATGGAATAACCTTAGATTTGTCAGAAATAAGAAACTTTACCTGCGGCATGTAGCCACTTCCATGAAAAGGTGGGTACGGGGGAAAACCAGGAGGAGTGAAGCCGTGTGTCTGAGGAACAGAAGTACATACATACATGTAACAATCACATCATGCCAATCAAAACTGGATTATTGCAGACCTGTACTGATTGCAGTTGCCTATTATGCTGGGTTCGACCTTAACTTTTTTGTTCACTAGTTAGCCGGGCTACTGAAACGGACTCTTAACTAGCCTGCGGGCATTTTCAATAGCCCGCATTTTTTTCTTATCTGAAATACAAAATGGCGTATTTTCAGGCAATTTTGTCAGTGTTTTTAATAAACAAATCTAATAATTCAACCTTTTAAAACAGTTGATAAAATCAGACACAAATTGATGGGGTTTTCTTTCTGAATTTAATGATTTATTTCTTCCTGTACGTTCATCTTTGCCGTATCCCAATAATTTTTCACTCACCAGCCGGGCTCCTAAAGGAATAGTTTGACTAGCCTGCCGCTGTTTTGACTAGCATTTGGCTAGTGGGCTACCGCACATTTCGAACCCTGATTATGTTAAACGAGGCTTTGCCTCGCTGGCTATCGCCCGCTTCGAGGGTGAATTTAGGGGGTACTTATGCAATGTGTCCATAGAGCAGAACAAATGATGAAGCATGTTGGAGAGGACACTAACCATTGGGTGCGGTGGCCAGTGCATTGGAGGGGGCCCAAGCGGCATGAAGGACTGATGAGTTGGCTGCCAGTGATTGTCATGATGATGGGCATTGTGGGTATGACCCCTGACCTCCGACCCTGAGGGTGCAGGACTCTGGTTGTGGTTTGGATACTCCATGGAATCGTAGCCAGCCTGGAGATTTAAAAAAAAAAAAAAAAGAGAAAAAGATCATTCTATAAATTTAGGGTCCAAAGTGTGACTTTTTTCCCTGTCCCTGTTACCTCTAGACACAAAATCCTGAAATCAGGAAAAATCCAGACACAAAATCCTGAAATCAGGAAAAATCCTGACGCAAAATCCTGAAATCAGGAAAAATCCAGACACACAATCCTGAAATCAGGAAAAATCCTGACGCAAAATCCTGCAATCAGGAAAAATCCAGACACAAAATCCTGAAGTCAGGAAAGATAATCCAGACACAAAATCCTGAAATCAGGAAAAATCCAGGTATAAAATCCTGAAATCAGGAAAAAATCAGACACAAAATCCTGCAATCAGGAAAACTCCCGACATAAAATCCTGAAATCAGGAAAAATCCTGACACAAAATCCTGAAATCTGGAGAAATCCTTACACAAAATCCTGATATCAGGGAAAATCTAGACATTAATCCTGAAATCAGGAAAAAATCCTCACACTTCCCGAAATCAGTAAACAACCTAACACAAAATCCTGAAATCAGGAAAAAATCCAGACACAAAATCCTGAAATCAGGAAAAATCCTGACACAAAATCCTGAATTCAGGGAAAATCCTGACACAAAATCCTGAAATCAGGGAAAATCTAGACACAAAATCCAGAAATCAGGAAAAAAAATTATCCAGATTCCTGAAATCAGGAAAAATCCCGACATAAAATCTTTGAAATCAGGAAAAATCCCGACACAAAATCCTGTAATCAGGGAAAATCTAGACACAAAATCCTGAAATCAGGAAAAAAAATTATCCAGATGCAAAATCCTGAAATCAGGTAAAAATCAGACACAAAATCCTGAAATCAGGGTTGAAATTGGGAAAAATAACCCAGACACAAAATCCTAAAATCAGGAAAAAATCCCGACAAATATCACTCCTGGGTTAAAACTGCATTAATTCCGTACCTCAAAGTCTCCATTGACGGGTCGCGTCGGCGAGGCTGCCTCTGACCCTGCTGACATGAGGTCATCAAGGTCTTTCTCCTCCTCGTTCCCGTAGCCGACGAACGTGATCCAACACGTGGCTCGATCCCGGTCAATCAGCTTGATCATGGCGTCATATATGTACTCATCCTCTGTGTAGATTGCACGGCATCGGTCACCAACTTGCCACTGGTGTTACATAAAAAAAAGGCAGAGAGAAGCAATATTAAAAGTTATCCTCCGTTTGACAAAACTCAAAAACAGGTTACTATGAAAAGTTTTGATTTTTACATATATGGTGACACTAGCCCAAATGGCAAAAAAAATGCATAAGAATGTTTTTAATTTTTATTCTAAAGTTTCCTTTACTAAATTTTGAGTTAACAAACTTGGCGAGATATGATTTTTATTATTGTTAGCTATGTGAACTTGGGTTATGGACTTTTCAAATCTGGGCTTTGTGAAGATTGTCACGCTTTTATGGCAAGCTCAAATATTTAGGAAGGTTAAGGACATATACACTGTAACTTAAGATGAAACAAAAACACTTTTTATTGTGTGCGGGCTTCTGTTGCCTCAGTTTGCAAGCAAGGAAACACAATCAAATCAAATGGTTTTACAGAAAGTTAAAAGTGATTGATAATCCTAGTTTTGAAATAAGAAAACCATTTTGATGTCAGCACGCGCACGCACAATTATATATTCATTGTAATTTTTTTTATTTTAGGAACTTTTCACTTCATAATAAATGTGTACCCCCTCTGAACTTTATCAATATTGAGTTTGCTCATTTGTAACATCAAACCAGAAGCAACGTGTGTGTGTAAATGAAATGTAAACTGAAATTTATCAAACTCAAAAAGGATGCACTTTTTTTTCTTCAAATTAAAACAAATGGTTCCACTGGAAAAGGCTGAATTTTGTGATACTTTTTCTGTTCTTGCCAAAAAATATTCACAACTTGACTGGGCAATGTCCAATGAAATAGTTGTCCTTGTGTTTGTAACTCAACAAACGTGGATCTCTAGTTTCTCATTTTGGGATATTTTGGATCACAACACAAATCTTACCGTGCGTTTCTTCTTGTTCTTCTTGTGACTCCAATGCTTTCTTTTCTTGCGTCGGCCTGATCTGCTCGCAGACTTTCTGCCGCTCTCGGCTCCCCCACTTTCTTCATTACTGGCTCTGGCTCCGCCTCCACCCTGTAGCGACAATAACATACAAAGATACATGAAAAAAAGTTCCGCGCAGCTACTGTTTAGAAAAAAATGTTGCAACCTGATGCCACTTCCGCAATTGTGTACAAAGTCTAATGGAGAGTCAAGAAAAATTTGTAAGAATTCCCGAACAAAATTGGAAATGTTTCTCAGTCCCAGATTCATGTCTTATCATCATTTTTGCAATGACTGACCTTCATTGGATGATATAGAAAAAAGTGGCGGCAGGTTGCAACATTTTTTTTACTGTTTATTTTAGCAGCTGATCATCGATCATTGGACACTAGTGTGACCAAGGCTATCAGTCAATAAGCTAGGTACAAATAGGGCACTAGGCTGGATTTTTGGGAGAAACAAAAACAATCGATTCTTATGATTTGGGGTAATAATAGTAATACTAAATAGGAACACAAAGTTACAAGATGAAAACCTTGGAAAGCTTACCCTGATGGATTTGATTGCTTTGTCGTAGGCTTTGATCAGCGCTGTATCATCCCAGATATCTGACAAATCATTGTCATCACTCTAAAATGGAATTTGAGAAAATTTGAGTTTGTTTTAAAGATGAAGGGCCAAGTTTAAGACAAACAAGAGAAGTAAACCCAGCAGAACCCTGCCAAACGTAATGCAATGTAATGCATCAGCGATCAGGTGTAAAGTGTGTTGCATTTAACCTTCGATACCAGTGCTAGTATTTGGGCAGTTCTTAATTAGCTGGGTAACTGACAATAGACAGGGCAAAAACTTCTTTTCCGTCTACCCCCCCCCCCCAACATCCCCCTCCAACAAAGCCCCCCCTCCCACCCATCCCTCCCCCCCCCCCCCCCCCCCCCACCAAAAAGAGGGCTTTTTAAAAAAAAAAATTAAAAAAAAATAAAACTTGGTTCATATGAAACGAGGATAGCCACGAGTTTCATACCTTCTCTGTTCGAAAAGCTACGGTTTCACTGTTGTCGTTCATTGTCTGAAGTGAAAGAGTCAGTCTGCAAAGTATTTGGGTTCGGAAAGTTCCCTTCTTCGACCAAAGCCGCCAACCTCGAGTACGCGTGCTTGATTTCGATTAAAGTCGTGAAAATCCAATCACATAGGGCGCCCTCTTGTGGCATAATCCTCGGAAACCGACCGCTGAGTTACAAGTCCCACAATTGGATAATGTATTTGGAAATCACAGCATACAGCCAATCAGGGCAGTTCTCCAAGAGACTAAAGGAAACCTTCCCACAAGCCACCACGAAACAAAATGTCGCTGTGAAGTGCGGAAAAAGTAACTGTTTTCGCAGTTTCCATCAATTTTTCTGCTAGACAGTGATACTGGTAAAATTTTTGAACGTACGTGAGTAAAGTTTTATTGGTATTGAATAAAGATATTTCGTTTGATAGACCATACGATTACCCTTTAAACGGAAAAAACGGGGAAAAATGTTGCAAACTGACGCCACGTCCGCGATTGTGTACAAAGTCTATGGAGAGTCAGTCTAGAAAATTTCCGAAGTATTTCCTAACCAAATTAGAAATGTTTCTCAGTCCCAGATTCATGTAATATCATCATTTTTGCAATGAATGATCTTCATTTAGATGATATATGAAGAAAAGGTTGCAAATGTATGCAACAATAACATTTAAACAAAACACCTAGATTTATTAGTGACTCCGGATACGATAGTCATGATAAATATGCCCTAGTTTATCGTGATTTCACCCCATTCTATTGCAAATGTTGGGCGCAATCAGTCGATCTGCGTGATCAGACGATTGCGTTGCTCGATGGGTCAATTCTGTAGGATATCTCACTTTCTCAGACTTAACATGTACATGACTTACCTTTTTATAACAAAACCTTCAGAGTTGCGAATTAGAAAGAAAAGGGGAAAGAATGTTGCAGCCTGAAGCCACTTCAGCGGTTGTGTACAATGTCTATGGATATTTAAGAAGTTTTTAAAAGTATTTCCTACCTAAATTAGAAATGTTTCTCAGTCCCAGATTCATATCTTATCATTTTTGCAATGACTGACGTTCATCGAGATGATACATGTATATATATGAAGAAAAAAAAGCAGCGCCAAGTTGCAACATTTTTTGCACAATTCCAGAAAAGGTGTTCAACTGGGTGGCAGTGAGAAATCAACCAGCGCAACCTGATCGACCGTGGCACACATCGACTGAACGCGCCCAACACAACCATCACGATCATCAATGGCAACATGACAAATGTCATGAGACACTTCACCTTACTGCTGCTTCGCCGCATTGTCATTTTAACCCCGTCGTTGAAGTAGGCTACTACCAGACAGGGCTCTGGAGTGCTCTGAAACGTGCAAAACTAAATCAGGCCAACTTTACTCACAGTTTAGCCAGCAAATTTCTCCAAAATTCCACTGGGGCAAACAAAGAAAATGTCCTCAGTATTTCACCAACCAAGTTTGCAGACTCAATTCAATTTTTAAAGGAGACTTTTCTTCAATATTTTGCACATGAGAGGGAAGTCAAGTGATTTCAAAATGGGGCTAAATACTAGACTGGTACATGTCCAGCCATGGTCCAACTATTTGAAAAGACTGACCTCTTCATTCAGTGTCAATAGTCTGGTGGCTTGACTATGGAGAAATGTGTAGTAAATTGAGACTAGTTCCCGCTTGATGCCACATTTTTCTTGAATTCTTTTGGCACAGTTGATTGATGCAGTACTGAAGCTGTGTTGGACTGGTTGTTTTAGGGGCCAGTCTATTTTCTTGTTTTTCATGTTTTCAATACCTTAAGTTTTGGGACTCTCATACACAGTATTGAGAGTCCCAAATTTTTGGACTAGGCTACTATTAGGCCTGCATATCATTCACACTGGCAGGGCAAAATAAATTACTTTGCAACTTGCTGTAATATTTTATTTATTTATCTTTTTTGGTAATGCAGGCCTGTTCTACACTTCCTTAGATTTGTTCGTGAAACTTACAGGACACATTTTACGAACATTTGCCAAATTTAACCATGGCATTTCGTCCTGGGGAACAAGCTGGCAGAGCTACCAGCAGGGGCCGCCCAGCCAGCAGGGGAGCCCAGCGGAGCGAGCCCAGGCCAAGGCCATCACCATCAGCGAGCAGGAGCGCCTGATTGAGCAGAAGAAGAAGGAGATCCAACAGAAGATGGCCGAGAAGAAGAGGAAAGAGGAGGCGGCCAAGGGCGGGGCCAAGAAGGCACCGACGGGTGGTATTAAATTGTGAGTTTTCACATCAACTCGTCCTATATCGTTGGGTATTTGGATTTAGAAATTAAGCACCTTTCGTCATACATTAGCCCCATAAATGTGGCTGTGATACTGGACTACATACTTCCGTATTGACAGCCACAATTGCATGTATGCGGGCAAACTTTTGAACAATACTGAATGACAGGCAACAGCCGTACCCATGCACTTGGCCAAAATTTGATGCAAGCTAGTGAGGGCGCGATTTGCAGCATGACGTTTTCGTGAACAATGGCAGCCGAAAGTCGTCCGAATTCAACCCGAAATTACGGGAAAACTAGACCTCTGAAGGTGCAGAATTTAACGTTTTGTTGCTATTAAGCAGTTGTAGATGGCATTGTGTGAGTATAAAGTGACAAAGTAGTTGCGATTTCAAATTGATTTTCGGCTCCTCTAGCAACGGGACCGTCCACGCACAGGGCATATGGGCAGCTTGTGGCTGTCAGTACGGAGGTACTCCAGTATTACTGCCACATTTATGGGGCTAGTCATGTATATGAATCGGGAATGAATGTAATGTTAAAGAGACCAGTAGCTTTCAAAGTAAGATAAAACTAGGATATAAATATATGATCCTGTATGTCTTTATAAAACTCTTAACATTGTAGTAACATTGGGCGAGCTGCACCACCACCTGCGGCAACTGTGTCAACAGCATCACCAGCTGCTGCGCCAACACCAGCAGTCATAGCTGCAGCGCCAGTTCCTGCAGGATCTGTGCCCGCAGCTGCCAAGTCATTGGGAAACGTGTTCTCCAACGACGGCAGTTTCTTGGAACAGTTCCGCAAAATGCAACAGCAGAAGTCAGGGAAGAGTGAAGGTTAGTGTAAAAAAAATGACAAGGATAGAGTGAAGGTCGGCTTCAAAAAATATGAAAAAAAAATTATTTTAACAGCTGAAAGTAAAAATAGTTTTTGACTGCTGGGACGGCTTTGTTCCATTTGTCAGTCGGAAAGAGGGATTGTAAATGGGTAGGACTGTGTCGATAAAACTGAATATTCGATCATCTACCAAATATCGGAATAGCCTTCTTCTGAATTGAATATTCGAAAAATATGAGTGGTCCCGACATGCAAGAAATAACTGGGGATTTTGGAAGATTGAGGCTATATGCAATATTTACATGGAGGCAGTTGGAGGAGTTTGCAGGATTGAGGTTGCATCCTAGCAAAAATGCCTAGGGAGTTAGGGTTAATGATTGAATACTAAATTATATGAAAATGCACAGCTTTATAACTGGGTTTATACAATGTATATCATTTTCTCGTGCAGACACCAAACCATCCCCTCCCAAGCCAGACCTGAGTGACATCCCCCTGCCAGACTCCCCAAGATCTGCCCCTCAGCCTGTGGCCCCCTCTGTCGCCCCTGCCCCCGCCCCAGTACAGCCCATAGCTTTCAACACAGCGCCCTCCCACGCCAGAAAGTCAGCCCTGCCGGTGCCCAAGCCCAGCGCCTTCCGAGACTCGGACGATGAGGACGATAACGTTCTCGCAGCAAGTAAGTTGATTGTCCTCTGCGTTTGAAAAAAATTCCTGTGTTTCCTTGCCGCTCATAGGTTTTCTAGGTTTTGTAGTAAATTGTAGACAATTTTAAAATCTTACTGCTATTCTGTTCTACACAATGTGTATCATGGAAAAAAATCAATTCGTTACAAAATAATACAGCCCAAACAATAAAATAAAAATACAAACAAATAGCGTAACATCAAAAAGTACAAAAATTTAAAATCTTTTGTAACAATTAAACAAATTTAAACACAATTTTCGACAGATTTTTCTACTTTCTATAACCATCTTTTTGTAATCACTAGAAATTTTATAAAAACGCAAAAGTCACTTAAAAAGAACCTGCATAAAAATCAAAATGCGGAGCGAAATTGTTTATCGTTTCAGGAATTCGCCCTTTTGCAAGAAGTGTCACACTTCGAAATGTTCAATATGGAGAACTCAAAGACTGTTTGTTGAAACCGTTTGTCGAGATCCCCAAAAATGCACAAAATTGCTTTACGTGTGGCTCTTCCTGTGGGCGTTTTCCCTCCCGCCTCCAAGGCCGATACTCATAGGAGCCTTTAGTCTTACCGCCAGACGATCCTGAACTGCTGGCCACAATCCACAGACTGGCCCAGGAGGTCGCAGAGGGAGGGCTGATGGTCGAAGAGACAGCCAAGAAGGAGCACAGGGATGAAGAACTGTACAGGTGAATATAGGCATTATGGAATTAACGCCTCCTCCCCCTCCCCCCCCCCCCCAAAAAAAAAAAATTAAACAAGGAGAATTTTTTTTACAAGTTTGGGAGAATCAACAAAACTTGAAAGGTACCTCGTTTGTCGAAATCTGGTTTACAGAAATTTTGAGAAAACTTTCCTGAATTATTGTACACTTTGAAACAATTTCCTGAAAGTTTGTAAAAGTTTCAAAAAGCCCATTCAAAGCCCTTAATTTCACAGTTTATTATTTGTATTTTGAGTTCCGTCCAAAAACTTAATACCACCATACTTCCTACAAAGACACTCCCATGCGCACTTAGTTCTGATCTTTGTTTGTTTATAGAAAAAAAATTATACACAGAATAAGCATCTCGTATCAATGATGTCAAATTTAAAGGTAATATACAACATTTGTTTTAGCTGTAATTTTGAGAAATGGATGGATTTGGAGATCACTATTTTATAACAAATATTGTTACACTGACCTGTTTTCGGTTCACAGATATTGGAAAAACCTAGAAAAAAAATGTAGTTGTTTTAGTCTAGTTCCCTGAACCTACTTCAGACGAAACAGAGCGATTTATAGACGTCAGGAAATTGCCAGGAAAATTTGGTAAATTAGAGTGAAATATTTGAAAAAACACTTCAGGTTCTTTTTTTCAAACGATGGTCGGCTGACCATTTATTTAATAATGATGTATTTAATAATGATTTGGCAATTTTTTTTTTTTTTATGTTTGCAAACGTTGTATATCACCTTTAACTGGCCAGCATTTGTTTGATTGCAATTGCAGGTTTTTTTATTTCAGGCAGTATATCATTTTCTGTTTCTTTTCCGCTTTCTTTCAGTCATGTTTCACTACTTTGAAATGTTAGAGTTGACTTTTGATATCTCTGCAGGTTTCTCTTTGACCACGATTGTCCAGAACACAAGTTTTACCAGAAGCGACTTGTGGAAATGCGACTCGCCAAGAAAGTGCGTATCGTCAAGGAGACCAGACAAGCAGGTGAATTGAACTTTTTCTTTGGTTTTAATAATTGGGAATATAGGCCTATTTGTCTTGGTTTGAAGTTGTATTTTTGTTGTAATGAAATTGGATACAATTTTTAGGATGGAGTTTTTGCGCCAGGGAGATTTTGTTTTAGTAATTTCTCATGAGTGTTGAGTATGGTACAGTGGAACGTTTGGGAATATTGCAGGAAAGTAGAGCCACTTAAGAAAGTTTGAAGAACTTCCAAAATAGTTTTTTTATCAATTTTGTTGGCATTCTCTTTTATTTTACATGCATGTATAGCAGGCATGTAAGGCTTATTTGTGTGCATGTCCAGTTTAGTCCCTTGTAATTCCAATGTGTTCTTTAGTATGTGTTTTGAGATACATTTATTTCAATGCTGCCATAAAGGATGAAACATAATGGTACATAATCAAATTGACAATACATATACAAAGATATATTTACAATTGATATAAAAGTGAACATTGACTAAATGGCAGCATCTAGGTCCGGGGTGAAGCATAAGCTTTTGTTCCCCAGCCTATGGACAGACAGACAAGTGACAGACATACATGGAAAGACAGAGCACAGACAGTAAGACAGTAATCAAGGCCGTTATTATCCCTATTACATTGCTTTAGTATGCAATTAAAAAATGAATGTTTCAGCTACATTATATAAGCGTAAACTTTTGTCATTTTGTCTTGTAGCTGGGACTACGAATGAAGGAAGCCGCAAACGTAAGAGTCGCTGGATGGATGGGGGCCCGGGGGAGGGCGGAGCCGTCCCGCCCCCAAAGATCACCATCATCGCTCCCGGTTCAGTGGGAGGGGCTGCCGTAAAGCTGCCGGGAGTAGGAGGGGTCGGGGGGACGGGGGCCGGGCTCGAGGGAGTAGAGGAAAATGATTGGGGGTTTGGGTCAGGGGGTGGGGTCTCGACGTCCAGCCTGGGCAGCGACGTGAATCGCGCCGGGATGATTGGCACCACGGAGCTGAGCGCGGCACAGCTGAAGCAGCTGAAAGAACAGCAGGAGGTGAGGATGCATAACAATAAGTCATAACAAAAAGTCAGTGGTGGTGTTAAGGTGAATGTAATGGCAACTAGTGTGGAGATGTTGGCTGTCATCTTCGAGATACGAAGGACGAACTATACATATAATGGATAAAAAGTCCATCTCAAACCAATCAGTCCATCACAAAGCAATTTCAAGTCCATCACAAGTCCATCGCAAGCCTGTCACAAGTCCATCGCAAGTAAATCACAAGTCCATCACAAGTAAATCACAAGTCCATCACAAGTACATCTCAAGTCCATCGCAAGGCCAATCGCATGTCCATCTCAAGTCCTTCACAAATCCATCACAAGGCAATCACCAGTCAAAAAAATCACAAGTCATCCCGATCCAAATCAAGTCTCAAACAAACTGTGACAAGGGCATTCCTTTGTTATTGTTCATCTTTGTTACTTGTGACTGGTGGACTGTGACTGGACTTGTGATCCATCGCAAGCACCTCAACTGCATCCCTGCAAATGGTGGCACGTCACAATACATAGCCTTCAAACTTGGAAACACAAATGTTTCAGAAATTGGGAAAGATCCTTGTTTTTTAGACTCTCTTTTTGAAGAATACCGTTCAGCTGGTCAGAAAAACATCTAGAAACAAAACCCTGTTTTTTTTTAAGAATACCGTTCAGCTGGTCGGAAAAACATCTAGAAACAAAACCCTGGGTATTTTGGCTGGAATTCTTCCTGAATCCTTCAAAATCCACCACTTTGCAGAAAACCAATAGATTCCATGTAGTACAACTGTCAACAGGCATCGAGCCGCATGCGAGGGAATTGTGGCTCGGCTCTACCTTCCTCAATCCTACAAATTCCTTCAAAACCTTATGGTCCATTTTGAAGGATCTGGGAAGATTTAAGCCCAAAGAATTATCACTCGCCATCTTTTACCGGGACACAGATGCAACGCATGGTGGACTCCATGGTGAAATACCACAACAAGATAGCGTCCGCCGGCCGCAGCGCTGAGGACCAGCAGCAAGACCCCAAGAAGAAGAAGAAGAGGTACGAATACGACAGCGACGAAGACACGGAGGGCGGGACCTGGGAACACAAGCAGCGAACGAGTGAGATGCAAGAAACTAAAGGTGATTAGTCTAGCAAAGGATGCTCTGTTGATTCCTGTTCAAGGTATGGCCTCCATGCATTAAAGGTACTACATTGTATACAACATTTGCAAACATCAAAAAAACAAAAGTTCCAAATTACTAGGAAATACTAAGTGAATTATTGTCTCAAGCATCCTGTGAAATCGTGGCACCTGGTGTGCTGTCATTTTCAAGAACAGTGGAATTTTTGTATCAATTTCCAATGATGGTCTGCCAACCATTGTTGGGAAAAAAAAACTAATTTCTTTCATACACTGCCCCAAATTCAAGTCCACATTTTGTTCTGCAATCGGTTACACATCCGTGAATGAGTGCAAGCCAGCTAGTCTGGTTCCCAGACCCGACTATTCCCCAACGTCTATAAATTGGCCCTGTTTCGTCTGAAGTAGGATTTATTTATTACATTTCTTTACCCAGGGTATGCCCAAACACTACAAATGACTACACACATGTACAAATACAATACATAACAAGTACAGTGCAACACGATGATATAAAATAAAAGCATATGGAATGACTGTATGATTGTAAAGCAACTATTATACATATTGTACAACTATTACAAAGAAACATGTACAGTTTAAAACGACATTGCTAACAGGCTTTCCGAACAGCTTAAAGGTGAATTAAGTGAACATGAAGAAAAATATATCGGAAAAATATATTTCTACACATTTGCTGGTTACGGTAACGAGACTCCAGGACAGCTTTTTTTAGTGATTTTTTTCCCAGCATCTATGAACACTAAACTTTAAACAGGTCGGTGTATTAAACAATATTTGCTATAAAATACTAACCCCAAAATCCATCCATTTCTGAAAATTACAGCAAAAGCAAATGTTACCTTTAACAGTAAATGGTGCTTTGTGACCACTTTTGAGAGCTCAAGTGGCAGGGACAAACATGTAGAGTCATCGCAGGAAGACACTCTCCTAGTGGTCCTGCTGAACTGTGCTTTTGTAACCGTTGAGGGTGTACTTGTGAATCATTAGTGCCTTTAACTCCCCTGTGGTTTGACCATTCAAAACACCTCAAAATCTGGGTTCTGGCAAATTGGAGGACAAAAAATGCAGGACCTTTTAAAATCCTCCAGAATTTATTGTTACTGCGCTACCACACCTTTCAATTCCTTTCGAAAGGTATTGAAAGGCAACTTACTGAATTTGCCCACAGAGTTGCTTCACCTTCGAAAACCTTTCGAAAAGTTTCAAAGTTCCAGCACTATTTCACCTTTCAAAACCCTTTTAGTCAGGCAAATTTGAAATGTTTTGAAAGGTCTGATAATTCTCTGCCAACTGCACTGGGCATAGCAGGGTTGTAGAAAAAAAACCTAAATGCAAGTCGTCATTGACATTAACTAAGCCTTCCAAGCAGACTGCAGTTTAGGTTTCCACGGACTCGAGTGGCTGATAAGTCCACCGCTGAAAGCCCATCTTCTGTAGCAAATAAACAGAAAATCCCTGGTGGAAGGTTATTATTATGATGATAATTTCCTACTGGATTCCTCAAAAGTGCCCTTGGCTCTGTAGCTCGCAATCCGGAAGAAACCTGCAGAAGAAGACAGTATAGACCTTACAGTATTTAATTTCAAAAGAAAACCCCAGAAGAATATTCTGTGGAATACCCATGGATAGAATCAGGTAGGGACTGAAAACCAAATCCACATGGACCAGGGCAGGAATCAAACCTGGGCCATAGAGGCGAGAGGCGAGGAAAGAACAGACTGCGCCAACCCGACTTTCTGGAAGGCAGGCCTTTGGAGTTGGGTTCTTTGTCACTCTTTCCTAAAGGCCTTTTTAGTTCATTTCTACTTGCCACTAGTCATGCTCTACCCCTTCAAATAGTGCTTTAATCTAGGGTCTCGGAGGAAATGAAACTGTCATTAAACTTTTCTTTAGATATGCCTTTAATTACAAATAAATACAACTGAATCAAAGTGCGCAACAGGTGTAGATTCATCACTCTGATCTTCATCAAATACGTCCTTCCGTATTTCTCATTTTGCAGAGAGAGCCGAGATCTTGACCCAGATGGGCAGGGGCAAGCATCACCTGGGCGACTTCCTGCCGCCGGATGAGCTGGAGAAATTCTTGGAGACACTAGAAGCCCTGAAAGAAGGCAGGACGCCAGACTTCTCCGACTACCAGAAGTTCAAGATTCAAGCCGACAACATCGGTAAAAAAATAAAAATTGCTTTGGGTTTTTAACTCTTAATTTAAGATAATAAATGCACTTATTGTCTCCCCCACCCCTCCCCCAGGTCTTATGTTGGGGTTTGGCCACGTTTTTTTTCAAGCCCCTGGGTGGGGATTTTGGTCACTCATGAGCATTTTTACCATTGGCGCACTAGATGGAAAGGCAACCAGTTTAGGGTGCCCCACCCATGCATGTTAGTGATTGTCACTTAAAATTTGCACCAGAGGTGGGGATTTGGTCACTTGAAAAGGGACAATCCCCACATCTTGGGCGGGGCAGTTGGGGGGAGGCGGTGGGGGGGGGGGGGGAAGAGGGACAAATAATGGTGTGTTTAACAGTCTCTTTAAAAACTTGTGAACAACTAATGAACACACGCATACATCTTTTGCTCTTTATAGTATAGCTTTGATAGCTCAGCAAGACATGTTGTGGTTCGCTGGTTAAAAACCTTTGAACTCTTCTGAACAGGTTACCAGATGCTGAAGAAGCTAGGCTGGGAGGAAGGCAAAGGTCTTGGCTCGGAGGGTCAGGGCATCACTACGCCAGTCAACAAGTAAGTCAAACAAAGAACTGTTAATTTGCGTCCAGGAAAAATTATAGTTAACATTAAAGTCAGTAGTGAAAGTCATCATGAGTCAGTCACAAGTTAACCACAAGTGACTCACAAGTCAGTTAAAAGTAAACCACAAGTCAATCGCAAGTCAGTCACAAGTCAGTCAGGAGTCAACCACATGTCAGTCAGGAGTCAACCACATGTCAGTCACAAGTGACTCGGGAGTCAACCACATGTCAGTCAGGAGTCAATCACATGTCAGTCACATGTGACTCACAAGTCAGTCAGGAGTCAACCACATGTCAATCACATGTGACTCACAAGTCAGTCAGGAGTCAACCACATGTCAGTCAGGAGTCAATCACATGTCAGTCACATGTGACTCACAAGTCAGTCAGGAGTCAACCACATGTCAGTCACAAGTGACTCAGGAGTCAACCACATGTCAGTCACAAGTCAGTCGAGAGTCAACCACATGTCAGTCATAAGTGACTCACAAGTCAGGCACAAGTAAACCAAAAGTCAGTCGGGATTCAACCGCATGTCAGTCACATGTGACTAAGTGTACTTACAGTTCATTGGCATGGACCAAATTTCAATGGAGCTACTCTGCACAGCCCAAAATCTGCTAAGCACAGAAAGTATGTCATTAGCACAAGGGGGTTACCAGCTGAAGAGTCATTCCTTGTGTGCTGCTTGTGAATGGTTCTCGTCTGCTTTTTGCTTAGAATAAAAACATTCTTTCAACAATATTCAATTATTAACATTATCAATAACTGATCTGGTTGTTGCATCTTTTTTTTTTGCAGGGGCAGCGCGTCCACAGCGACCACCGGCCTGGGCATCGACAAGGCCAGCAACTTGACCAAAGAGGACGCGGAAGACGAGTTCTCTGCTTACCGGAAGCGGATGATGCTGGCTTACCGATTCAGACCAAACCCCCTGGTGAGTTGTAGAAAAAAAAAAACATTTCAGAAAAAATACCACAATTTTGTGGGCATGCTTTCATATGACATCGGACGTAATAACGTCTTGTTAAAAATGCATACCCGTGCTATTTTCAAGTTTCACCTCAAAAGTTAGATTTGTTTTTTTATTCAATTGCTATTTTTCTAGCAACCTAAACGTAATCCACTTTTGAATGAGACATCAAACGAACAAAATCCACCAATATTTACTTATTGAATTATTTCTTCACAAAATTCAAATTGTTGGTTGCCAGACAATAAGTTGGCTCTCGCATGGCGGGTTCATTTGAACTCAGAATGAAGCCATTTTTTCAGGGGGTTGAAGGTGACCGAAATTTGAGTAAATTACTTTTTCCCTTAAAACAAAGCATACAAATTGAAATTTTGTTTGAACAAAATCAAGTTCTTGAAGAGCACGGAGTATGCAGCTTTAAACAGTTCATTCTTTCTGTAACCAGAGTTGAGGTATGCAACTTTAAGCTGTTAAATCTTTTGCAAACAGAGTTAATGAATTCAGAACGAGGTTTGACAAGTTTGTTATTGGAGTTGGTAATCAAAATCAAAAGAATTAATTAAAGTGGTAATTTTCTGGTATTGTTTTGCAGAACAATCCAAGGAGACCATACTACTGAATAATTGAAGATGGAGGAAGTGCCAGGCCCAACTCAATATTTAAGGAGTGGATTTTTTTCCTCCAAACATCCAGCAGTTTTTAGTGATCTACACTACCTTGGCCTAACTCACAATACTTAGAACACGTTTAGTTTTAACTACAGTGGTGTACTTAAAAGGTAATATACAACATCTGCAAACATCAAAAAACAAAGCTACCAAATTATTTTGAAATACCTTACTTGACTGTAAGTGAATTACAGTCTCAAGCATCCTGTGAAATTATGGCACCTGGTGTGCTGTCATTTTCAAGACAAGTGGAATTTTTGTATCAATTTCCAACAAAAGTGGGCCGACCATCGTTGGTAAAAACTGACTTTTTGCAAATACTGGCCCCAATTTACCATATTTACTGAGTCCACATTTTGCTTGCAAGTGGTTACACATCCGTGAACAAGTGCAAATCAGGTAGTCTGGTTCCCTGACCTGACAATTCCCTGACAACTATAAAGTGCTCCATTTCGTCTAAACTAGGGTCAGGGAAAAAACTACAAGAAAGGCATTTATTTCATGGTTTTTCCAGCATCTGTGAACACAAAACTTGAAATTAGGTCATGGTAACAATATTTTGCCATAAATTACTAACTCCCAAATCCATCCATTTCTGAAAATTACAGCAAAAGCAAATATTGTACATTGCCTTTAATGTGGCTTTAGGATATTATAAACAATAGCTGCCACAGTACTGCCACCATAACCGAGGTGTCTCATATTTCTACAGTGATCGTGTGCCTGGATTTGCATACATAAAGACTTCACGGAAAGAAAAGCGAATGAAATAAAGTGAATGAAATATGTACATGTACTTCAGATTTTGATTTCTTCCAAAGAGTTCATTAATTTAAATGTATTGGTTTGATGGGGTTTTTTTGGTTGAAACTTATACCTTTTACATTCATGACTTCATAATTACTAGTCTTTAATAAGGGAATAAATAGGTGCTTGGCTGGTTTTAAACAAGTACGTTTAAAGCTGGCTAGGAGCCTGGATGCAGATAATTGCCTATAAGCCGAAGGCGTGTGTCATTATCTGCGACCAGGCCATTGGCCAGTTTTTAACGTACTTGTTTAATACCGGCCAAACACATACTTATTTCCATTCATAAATACCTTTCGGTCAAAAAGTCAAAATTTTCACAAATTTCAAACGATTTGTTCAACAATTTTAATTCATATTTGTGAAACACCTCTCTGGCCACGTCTATGGCATGTGCCTCAAGCGTGTAGCGCTTAAAATCTCCTTATATGGAAATCGATGTGCGCTGCGTGATGTGCCGCAGAATGCAGCGGTGCTTCATCGGCAGTTTAAAACAGCCCACGTGATGGGCTCTCAACAAATAGGAATGGGTAAACTGTCTCAGGTATTTATGAACTGCTGCATCAGATTGAATGACAGTGCAGCAAGCAGTTCTTAATACACATGCATACATTCAGTGTGCAGTCTTGGGTGGAACGCATAGATCTACATATATGTGACCTGTTCTGTCAAAAACAGACACTTCTGGGCAGAGGTTAAAATTGAGATATGGCTAAAACACACTGTGGGGGTGATTTTTTTTTATTTTCAAATTTTTACGTCTTTGTAATCCTGAACATGTCTAAAATATGCTATGAAAGTTTGAAACCCTCATTTGAACTCTAAATATAGTATTTTTGATGATTTGTAAAGGTATTTCAGTTAAAGAAATGTCTGTTTTGTGACGTTCGTGGCCATTTTCTCTGTTTTCTACTTTTCAACACAATGAACTTCAAAATAGCATAACTCTGCCCCGGAATGACCGGTTTCAAAAATTAAACCACCTATTAAAAGGAAAAAGAACATATTTTAACAATATGCAAAAATCTCATTTTTGACCTTATGCCCAGAAAAGTCTGATTTTGAGAGAACAGGTCACATATGATGTTACAACATGTCTGTAGAAAAAAGACAACAGGATTGTACAAATTGAAAGTGTTGGGAGACTGCACAGAAGTTAACCATCGCTAATCACACAGATTTGAGTTTAGTGTATCTGCTATGATTCACAGCACCTTTCGTATTCTGTTTTGTTTCTCCCATATTTAATTTTGCATTTTGTTCATGGAGAATTTGAAAGCTCACAATTTACTTTTAAGGGGCCATTGAGAAGTTGTTTTAGCTTTCATTTGTATGTCTTGCTTGTTTTTAAAATAAGGTTTAGGGATTCATTGTGTCACTTTAAAGTTATGAGTATGGAACTTTCCGAGCATGCTATCATTGTACACTCGCAGAGGCCCCCTTTAATGGCGACACCATTGTGTATGCTGTTGAGCAAAGCCACTGCCCCATGTGGGATTAACTGGACAATAGCTAACACAATGCTTCAGCCATTGATGGGGGCCTCTTGTGAGTGTGCAGTGATAGCGTCTCATAATGGTCTGCCTACATTAACATGTAGCCAAATGTCCTCACAGAACTTTAGGTGTTTTTTTAAAATCTATTTTGATTTCCACGGCTTTATAAGCTATATTCATGAATTTCTACTATGTGTAAAGTACAATTTTTTGAGAAGTAAATAAAACAATGAAAACAAAAATGAAAACAAAAATGAAAACAAAACTAAAAACAAAACATAATATCTGCAGTACATTTATTGAGTTCTCATATTTTTGTTATTGAATATAATATAATAATAATGTTGTGCTTAAATAGCGCTTTATACTATAAGGGCTAAAAGCGCTTCACAAACCCCTATTCATCAGGCCATGAGACCAGTTTCTGCAGCAGCTCGAGATCAGCGCATTCTGGTCTTTACCTTCACATGTACCCATTGATACTCCTGGGTGGAGAGGGGCAATTGTAGTAAAGTGTCTTACTTAAGAACACACAAGCCCCACAGTGTTCCCTGCCATGGTTTGAACCCACGTACAAATACCACGGCACGTGAGTCGAACTCCGTAACCATTGGACCACAGCGTTTTAATTGTTAATAATATAACAGCTAAAACTTGTCAAAGCTACAAAGACTAATTATTATGTCATATAGGCCTATTGGCACATTTTATTTGTACCTTCCCCTTAAAAGAACCCTGCTGATCTGCATCATAAAGAAAATTATTCATGCTCATGAGAGTGTACTCCTACTGTACTCGCACACAAAAAATTACCTGTGGCAAGGTACTCTAACACATGGGAATATTCTGCTGCTGAAATTTTAGATCTTTTTAAGAGGTAAATGCAGGTAAAGAACCACTTTTCTACTGCTTGGGAGGCTTCAGCATTTTTCTAATGCCTAGTTTGATAGCAAAAAGTCTTTGAGAACATCTGTTCCCATTGAAATCAGCTCGTACTCGCGAAAATGTACTCGTACTCATGGATACAAATTGCCTTGTACTCGTAATCTGCCATGAGTATAAGTATACTTATGGAAAAAGTGCCTTGTACTCTTAATCATGTCAAGGTTCTCGTACTCAGGACAAAGTAATCATACTCGTACTTATGGAAATGTACTCGTACTCATGGTAAAAAAATGCCTTGTACTCGTACTCGTAATCTGCCATGAGTATGAGTATACTCATTCAAAAAAAGTGCCTTGTACCTCTACTCTTGATCTTGTCAAGGTTCTTGACTCATGACAAAGTTCTCATACTCGTACTCATAGCAAAGTATTCGTACTCATACTTGTAATCTACCGTGAGTATGAGTATACTCATGGAAAAAGTGCGTTGTACTTGTACTCTTAATCATGTCAAGGTACTCATACTCATGGCAAAGTACTCATACTCATGGCAAAGTATTCATACTCGTACTCATGGCAAAATACTTGTACTCACACTCTTACTCATGGCAAAGTATTCATACTCACACTCTTACTCATGGCAAAGTATTCATACTCGTAATTATGGAAATGTACTCGTACTCATGGTAAAACATTGCCTTGTACTCATACTCGTACTCGTAATCTGCCATGAGTATGAGTATACTCATGCAAAAAAAGTGCCTTGTACTTCTACTCTTGATCATGTCAAGGTACTCGTACTCATGACAAAATACTCATACTCATACTCTTATTCATGGCAAAGTATTCATACTCGAAGTATGCAAAGAAATGTACTCGTACTCATGGTAAAAAAGTGCCTTGTACTCATACTCGTACTCGTAATCTGCCATGAGTATGAGTACACTCGTGCATCTACTCTTGATCATGTCAAGGTTCTCGTACTCATGACAAAGTACTTATACTCGTACACATAGCAAAGTATTCGTACTTGTACCTATGGAAAAAATTTGCCTTGTACTCATACTTGTAATCTGCCATGGGTATGAGTATACTCATGGCAGAGTACTTGTACTCGTACTCATGGCAAAGCACTTGTACACATGGAAATGTACAACACTGATGAGTACACTCTATCACTATATATTTCAAATATTTACTTAATAATAATAATAATAATAATGGCTTCTTGTAGAGCGCTCATGTCCGTCACAAAGTGACACTCCTGGCGCTTATTATTACCCTGGCTTTAGCACGGCTGCCAATTACGGCGCTCAAGCATTCAAGGAATTTCTTCCTACCAGGTACCCATTTACTACATCTGGGTGGAGAGAGGCAATCGTAGATAAGTGCCTTGCCCAAGAACACAAGCACCATGTTCCCAGTCAGGATTCGAACCCATGTACCACAGCACACGAGTCGAACACTGTAACCACTTGACCATAGCACCCTACTTTGTTATGGAAATATGTTTACCAGTGAACACTTTGCAAGCAAGCACTGGGATCTAGTATAACATCAAGGTTTTACGCTGATGGCACAAGCTCCTGGAGAAGTTGAAGGTTTGGGTCCTGCTCTTGCACGGCTTCCTCTATCAGAACCTGGAGGGGAGGAAAAAAAATTGTTCGCAGCTGAAAAAAAACCTTTACTAGTAAAAAAAAAAAAAAATTGTTTTTCTAATGGATTTTTTTTCGTCAAGGAATTGCAAATTTTTAAATATTGTTTGTGTGTTCCATGCTTACTGTTGTAAAAATCTCAAATATGCATGCAGTAAGCTGATATGTGATGCGATCAAGCTACATGAGTCGTTTGTCGGGAATTTTTATTTGGAGATACAGGCCAAAATAGGGCCACTTCATCACATCACTTCATCACATCTCTTTGTGTTCCGACTTCCTTTCACAGAAGTAATGCTGAGATTGTGCTCCTTTCAAATCTGTAATAAAAAATTTTTGACCGGGGTCGACAAACGACTCATTTAGCTTGATTGCATCACAAATGTTATTATTATTATTTATTCAGCATTAAAAACACATACAAACAACAAACATTCACAAAATATAAAAAAAAAAAAAACAAGAAAACAAAAACGAAAGCCAGAAGCATATGTCTGGAATTTAAAAAGTTTACCTAAAAAATGTGGCCCGAAGGCCTTAAATTCCAATACATCTGGCTACACACCAAAAAAATATAAATCTATAAAAATCTATAAAAGTGTATTAACAATAAACACAATTAACAATTAAGATTATCCCCACAATTAACATCAAAATACCACGATGATATCTAACAAGATGAAAATAAACCAAAAAAACTGGTCCAGCAAAAGGAAGGGGAACAAAAAGAAAAAAAATGTCCCCACATTAAAAACCAAAAAAAATGGGGCTTAAAAGTTGGCTCAAACTGTTGGCTCAAAGGCGCACCAACTAGACTGTAGCTGGTTTGAAAAAAAAAAAATCATATTAAAAATTAAACAAAGTAAGTGTTAAGCGGAATTCTATCTAGTTTTCAAGCAAACAGGAGTGTACATAGAAAACTTATCAACTTTTACTGTACATGTACTCTTTACCAAAGTGGACAATTCCTGGATTAAAAAAGGAAATGATATTAAAAAGTTCTAATGTGTAAACTCATGCAAGTGAATCTCACCTGGATAGCTTTTGTGTTTTTTTTGCCCAGGTAGTGCTGCATCATGTGATACCTTGCGACGGAGCGCCCCAAGTTCATCTTCTCTCCCGTGGACATCTCAAGAACCTGCTGGAAACACCCCTTAGCTTGCCTACCAAAAATTAAAATTAGTAAACTTTAAACCAAGACAAAATTCTTAGGAATGTTAGGAATTACAGGCTATCAGTGCCATTGGATATGCACAAGCAAACATCTTGTACAGGCTCACCTTGCATTGCCTTTGTGCTGTTGTAGGAGCCCCTGCAGTAATAATGCTACAGTGCATGTGGGTTGTAGCTTCAATGCCTCGCCGGTGGCCTCCAGCACCAGAGAGCTCCAGCGATCCTCACTGCTTGCCTGAAATTAAGAAGTGAGTCACTGAGTCACTGTGAGTCACTGAGCAACTGTGAGTCACTGAGTCACTGTGAGTCACTGAGTCACTGTGAGTCACTGAGTCACTGTGAGTCACTGAGTCACTGTGAGTCACTGAGTCACTGTGAGTCACTGAGTCACTGTGAGTCACTGAGTCACTGTGAGTCACCGAGTGTGTCAGCACTCTGACTCACCTTAGCTACTCTGAAAGCTAGATGGGCCAGTCTGAGTAACGGTACCAGCTGCTGTCTCTGTGAGTTGACCCAGCTCAGTCTGTCGGCTGACTCACTGTGAGTCACTGAGTCTGTCAAGTTACTGTCAGCACTGTGACTCACCTTAGCTGCTCTGTGAGCTAGATGAGCCAGTCTGAGTAATGGTACCAGCTGCAGTCTCTGTGAGTGGACCAGGTTCTGTTACTAGGCGGACTCACTGTGAGTCACTGCCGACAGTGTCGGTACCAGCTGCTGTCCTTGTGAGTAGACCAGGCTCTGTCTGTAGGCTGACTCACTGTGAGTCACTGACAGTGTCAGCATTGTGACTCACCTTAGCTGCTCTGAGAGCTAGATGAGCCAGTCTGAGTAGAGGTACCAGCTGCTGTCCCTGTGAGTAGACCAGGCTCTGTCTGTAGGCTGACTCACTGTGAGTCACTGACAGTGTCAGCATTGTGACTCACCTTAGCTGCTCTGAGAGCTAGATGAGCCAGTCTGAGTAGAGGTACCAGCTGCTGTCCCTGTGAGTAGACCAGGCTCTGTCTGTAGGCTGACTCACTGTGAGTCACTGACAGTGTCAGCATTTTGACTCACCTTAGCTGCTCTGAGAGCTAGATTGAACAGATTCTGTTACTAGGCTGACTCACTGTGAGTCACTGAGTGTGTCAACATTGTGACTCACCTTAGCTGCTCTGAGAGCTAGATGAGCCAGTCTGAGTAGAGGTACCAGCTGCTGTCCCTGTGAGTAGACCAGGCTCTGTCTGTAGGCTGACTCACTGTGAGTCACTGACAGTGTCAGCATTTTGACTCACCTTAGCTGCTCTGAGAGCTAGATTGAACAGATTCTGTTACTAGGCTGACTCACTGTGAGTCACTGAGTGTGTCAACATTGTGACTCACCTTAGCTGCTCTGAGAGCTAGATGAGCCAGTCTGAGTAGTGGTACCAGCTGCTGTCCCTGTGAGTGGACCAGGCTCTGTTTGTAGGCTGACTCTGCTGCGGCTGCCATACTCTCCTGCTCATACAGCTTGGCCAACAACTGAAATAACAAAATTTGAAAGTTTTCTAAAATGCCAGTTTAGCGAGTTTGTCACATATTCCCAATAATATGTGCTTATAAAGTGCACCTATCTTCCAATATTGATGTTGAACTCCTAAAATGGTGGGCAGTGCCAGTTATTGCAAGGGGCCTGTTTTTTTTGTTTGCAGGTCCCAGAGGGCCAGTCTAGTGTCATCTTTGCACCTGACTGACTGACTGACTGACTCCCCGACTGTCATTCGGGTTGTAGACTTGGGGAGAGAGCCGGGCAGTGCTAATGTATAGGATAACCCCGTAATGCCAACGAACTGGCTCAATCCCGCCCATTGTGTAGACCAGATACACGAAAAGACTTCCAGTAAAAGCCATTCTGAATAAGCCATTTTCAGTATTTCAACTGTGCATGTGCACAATGATGTGGGTCACTGGTAATTCAGGATAATCGAACGGTCATCGAAGGCACATGAACGCGCACGGATCCCGGCGCACGACGCTCGCGTGTTAATTACAAGCAGAGGTGCAAGGGAGGATAGTTGGCAACAAGGGATCACAAACTCTCGTCACAGATATCTCTATACCGACCTGCCACGCTGCCGATGTTTGGCGCGCCGTTCTGGAGATGACAGTCCTGAGTAACTCCACGCTCTGACTGGAGACGTGCTGCATGCACACCGCCTGGGCTTGCAGGAGCTGTAAGGCTGACTTGATGTGTGGTTCAGACTGGTACATCACCTCCAGCTGATAAACAAAAAAAGGAAAACATTTGGCAAACCTTCCTAACAAGCAGCCAGAATGGAAATGCCCATGGTGGCAGCGTACACTTCCATCTCTTACAGTAAACTGTCTATTTATTTCATGGTAAAATTTTTTTTATTGTAATATATCTTAAGTTACATGTAGCTACAGCATGACACAGATGTCTTCCAGCAATCACCAATCTCTTTAATTTGTAACCATAACTACAAGATGTACAGCTTCAAAACAATTTTCTATTTTGTTATATGAGACACCAGTATATGAACGCTGTTTTGTATAAAATTTCGAGCTGAGTTTGAAAACAAGTCACCATTTTTTTTAATGCTGCATTGTAAACTGTAAAAATATTGATAAAATTTATTTTTTGAAAGTACTGGAGCAATTTTGGAAAAAAACGAAACAAGGTAAATATGTCAGTTGGATGACTGTACAGGGTTGGAGTCTTACTTAAAACAATTATAACAGAAATATATCTTGTTTTTCTCCCTGAAAAAAGGAATAAATTGCTTTCTGACTGGATTGACCTGAAATATAAAAACCACAAAAGTTAGATGGCCTGAAATTTCAATGCTAACAGGATCCTTTTCAAAAGCAAAAAAGAGAAACAAATTTGGCCTCCTTCAGCCAAAAGAAGTAAATGTAGCTACCTTTCTCGTGAGTGCGTCGGCTCTTTGCAGCCTGCCCTCGTGCATCAAGCTGACAACAACTTGAAGCCCCGCCCACTGATGAATGGCCGCATGGCCACACCTCTCAGCTGATAAGAACAGAGAAAAAAAAACAGGTTTCACATCAAATTTTTGTTTCTTAATTTATGATGACCGAAACTATCAGTGTCAGTTTTTTTTTTACCCTTTCACTCATTGAAGTCCAACTTTTCAGATTTGAATTCAAGTATGTTGCCATGCAATGTTTCGTGTGGGAGGGGGGGGGGGAGCAGAGATGTTTAGTATTGGTATAACCTTAACAAGCATTTGGGACAAATCTTTCATTTTGATTTTAGTTCTAACAGCTACCTCAATATTTCTAAAGTGACCAGCGTTCTCACCCCAAGATTGCACGAATGTAGCCAGCTTGGAAGCCAAGTTGTTGTCTGCGTCATCTTGTCTGTTCTTCTGTGTGCTGTTCCATATACCATGCGATAGAAAGCTGGCACTAAGGGAAGCCCAATTCTCCATAGAATCTGTCCAAAAATAGAGAAAACAAATGTAAACAAGACACACTGTTTATTATACATCCCTCCCTTTCTGTAAGCAAATTCAACAAAGCCCTGCCATCAGTCGCATCATTGCAAGTGACTGTTTTTAACAGTTAAGTGCTCCCATGCCTTATACATAAAGCAGGATTGACTGGCTGTGACTGTTTACGTAAGTTGATACAGCTATGCTTTGACAGTAGGTGATTGATAAGCCAGCTGTACCTACAAGTTACCTCTTTTGTCTGTTGATGAAACTTGACTAGTCACAGTGCTTGAGAAATATGATCCGAGTGTTGGTGACTAGCCTGTGAGTAAGTTATTGGAGGAGAAGTGTATTGAATTTCTGACTGTGACTGATCGAACAGTAGCATTTAACAAGGCCAGAGTTAAAAAAAGGTTGACTATTAAATTCTAGTCTTTCCAATTAAACCACAATGGGAACATGACTACCTGGTTATAATAATAAGTTGAACAAATTTTTTTACTGTAGCAGGATTTGTACCTACAACCTTCGGATTACCGTATCGGGTGCTCTACTAACTGAGCTACTAACTAAGCTATCCAGCTCTATGTTGGCAGTTCCCCATTTTGTCCATGTCTAGCGCCCTCAAACAAAGACATTGACAAAATGGGGAAGCGCCAACATAGGGCTGATAGCTTAGCTGGTAAGAGCACTGGAACAGCAATCCGGAGGTTGCAGGTTCAAACCCCGCTCCAGTCCATTTCTTTGTTCAACTTTTAAAAGTTCTGGTTTCGAAAAAGGCCATTCTCTCACCCGGGTAGAGATGGACTGCCTTCTGAGCAGCACTCAGGCACCGCTGATGGGCAGGGGTGGACCCACCGTGCTGACCGACGGCCAGAGTGGCCAAAGCATAGGTTGACACCGACTCCTAGAATGAGAGGGTTTGGAGGCAAAAAAGTGAAGTAGGGGCCAGTCATGTTACGGAAGGACCTCAACTTTTCTGAGGTTTTACAGGGTACCTCGGGATTCAACCCTAAGTTACGGCTTGTTTGATTTTACATTCTTAACTTGGAAGTCGTGTTAGTGTAACCGTGAAAACTGACTCACTATGGGGAATCAACTCGACACAAAGAATTTAATACAAGACCAGAACAAGAACTATTTTATTAAGAAAAGGAGTTTAAAATGAAACAAACTTGAGACGAAAAACAAAGTTAAAACTATTATATAAAACTGAGATAAAAAATCCTTAAACCAGATGATTGTAGCAGAGCAAAAACACACAGGGCAGGCGTTCCCAAGAAAAGGGGAAAGAGAGGAAACTCGCGAATCAAATACAACTCTCTTCTATGCCGCTGGTCTGCTAAGTGAAAGATCTTTGGACTTACAGGGTGGCAGAGCACATGGTCTTATCAAAGGGGCTATTGTTCTAAGGGGTCATGTTACCGGGGGAGAGGGAAAAGTTAGTCAGGGGTACACACTTCTATGAAAGGGAAGGGAGAAGCTAATAAAAAGGGGTGATTTACTCAGGGGGTCTACTCCTATCCTAAAACGCTACAAGAAATACACTGAAAACTACAAGTTAAACTTGGCTCTGCCACACTAGCAGTAAAACAATAACAATAAATCGTAACAAAATCCCATATCTAACAATGCGGCACAGAACCTATCAATAAAAAGCAGGGATGTAGTCGAGTTCTTCACAAGTCTAGTCACAAGTAACAGTGGATGAACAATAAACAAAAGGAATGCCTTTGCCAAAGCTCCTCTGAAGAGGTTGTGAATTGAATTGAGACTGGATGACATTAGATTGATTACAAATTAGAGACTTTTCTCTCACCTTTGACACTTCTTTATCCTGGAGGGCTGCACGACTACAGGTGACTGCGGCCTGCAAAACATCAAATAAATGGAGACATTCAACCATCAAATTTCAATCAGAATTTGTCAAAGTTTTACTGGTCCCAGAGAGTCAGCATAGTGTCCATCTTATAGGATTACCCCGTCACACCAAATAAAGGGACTAAATCCGGCACACTGTTGAGACCGCATGCACGAAAAGACTTCCAGTGAAACGCCATTCTGAATCAATTAATATATTGTGTGCTTTGGGACCAGCTTACTATGCGTCCCTTGTCTTGTTTCACTCTTGTTAGTGGGCAATTCTGTGAATTCAGACGTACTTGTCAGACACTTTCATGAGCTGCTGTTGGAAAAGTATATGAGTAGAAAACAATTACAGACCAAACTAAGGTACCACCTCGGCCTTGTACATCATGTAGTCGGACATACTCAGAGAATTGGATTTTACAGAATTGTCCTATTATGACTCGTAATAATAGAACAGCATTTATATAGCGCAATATGAATCAAAGACTCCTCAAAGCGCTGTAGGCCATAATGCAATGGTAACAAATCCAAAGCCAGTTTACCTTTGCCTTTGCAGGTAGAAGTTGGAGAATAATTTCTGCCATCAGTCGCCACAGCTCAGGCAAACCGGGATGCCTGTAGTAGGTTTGAAAAAACCTTTGTCAATGGGTGACAGCTACACACATTTATATACACATAGACGCCAGCCGTCTGCATAAAACCGTGTTTTTTGGAAAAGTATGAGCAAAACGATAGTTGGCAGCGCGCATAACCATGCAATGCACGTTCAATGCGCCTAGTGTGCAACGCGCTTACCTAAAGACATGTATTGTACATACTTTAAAATGCATTCTTTTGTTTTGGCAAAAATGTTTTGTTGCTCAAAATCTGAATGAAAATGTTGGGTACGGCATTGTTTTGAATCTCTGTGAACCAGATTTGGTACACAAGGAATTTTTTTTACAATCGAAAAATAGCAGCATAGAAGCTGCGTCAGCTTCCGGTTCCAATGGTTCCAATGCTACTTACTGGCCAGTGGGCGTGGTTTAAACTGAACTAACGAACAGGATTAAAGACTCACCTTCCTGTTGCCTTGGCAACCTGTCTGCAAGCAAGTTGAAACTGACCCTGAAATTAAAAAAACAGAATGTTACTTTCAAAAGGGTTGCAACATAACACGTAAACAAATATTTTCCGTCCAACTCTGGTAACTTTAAAAAATTTTTTTTAGATGCTTTGGCCTAGCCATTTAATGGAACTGCTTAAGTACAAAAACGTGCTAAGCAAAGAGAATGTCGGCTAAGCATAAAAGAGTAACCAGCCAAATCTACGGCTTGTTATATTGACTGCGATGGTTCCCAGCTGACATCGCTTAAAATTGGCTACGCAATATTTTTATACCTGGATAGCGTACAGCACAGCCCCGGCAAACGCCACATCGGCCACGATGCCCGGCTTGTCTTTGAGTTTCTGCAGTTCAGCCACGGCAGCCGTGGCCAGGGTGTAGTCATCCTGGTGGACGCCCAGGGCCAGTAGGGCTAGGAGGCCCTCTGGTGCCGGCTCCGACTCCTGGGAGCTGTGGGATAGGGGGCGGAGTGAGGAGTTTACATTAATCACATGAGGTCAATGTGCAACAAGCCAGTTTGGTATCTCGATGAAGTAGTCCATGTCAAAGGTCATTCGGGATAAAATTGCTGACATTGATGATACGAGATGTTTTACAGACGCCCATTCTGCTTGTAATTAACACGCAAGCATCGTGTGCCCAGGTCCGTGCGCATTCATGTGCCTTCGATGAGCGTTCAATTATCCTGAATGACCCGTGACCCTTATCATTGTGCGCATGCGCAGTTGGAATACCGAACTGGCTTATTCTCCAGTGAAATGGATGTTGAATATAGTTGATTCATGCAAAATCATCACGATTTCATGCAACTATCTGCGGGAAGTGAATACTTCGGGCACTTGCAATATAATTTTTTATGACTACAATTGATGACACTCGTTTTTGCTTTTCTTCAAAGTATGGACTGGCATTTCAAAGAATATATTCATTTAATTTCTAAGTAATTTTATTAAAAGTGAGTAAATTAAATCTCCTTTTGTTAGACCAGTCACAGTCAGTCAAAACTTCAATCCTGTTCCCCTGCCTTTAACACAGGCTAGTCACCAACAGTCAGGTCATATATCTTGTAGGCAATGTGACAGTCAAATTCCATCAACAGACAAAAGCAGGTGACTGGTAGGCACAGCCGGCTTATCAATCTCCCACAGTCAAAGCATAATTATATCGGGTGTCATAACAATCACAGCCAGTCAATCCTACTTAATGAAGGCATGAAACACTCAACTGTTAAAAACAGTCACTTGATTTATCTTGACCACTGGGATGGCGTACCTACGTATAAAGTATGTCTACTTAAACTGCTTGTATATAGTTCTCAGAATAATACTTTGCAGCAATTTCAAAACCATTTTTTGAACAAGTCTTCATATTTTCCCCTCATATTTTCAAGATAGTTTAAGGGGGGGGGGGAGGCAGAATTCTGTCAAGAGGTTCTGTAGTGAGTCAGTAGAAGAAACTCGAGGACCAGGAAGAAATAATACAATGAATTTTAACTGCAGAACCTGCCTTTGGAAGAGCAGTGTTTTGGCCCGGTTGTTATCTCCACACTGAAATGCCACCATGCCGAGACACGCTAGCAACTGGGAACGGACCCCGCCGTCGCTGGCCAACTGTAGGGCTTGCTCGTAAGCTGTTACCATGGAAACCCGAACAAAAAAAAAGAAGATTATAATAAGACATGTAAGAAATTGGAACATGGCGCCGAAATTGGTCCATAATTCAGAAGGAACTTAAGGATGCAACATTATAAGAAAGGGTCACAATTAAAATAATAATAATAATAATTTGGGGACTAATCATCATTACTCGCGTCTGAGAAGCTGAATTGCGAAGGATGCGGCTACAACGTGGTCCAGCCGCTGGCATGTAAAGGCGCCTATGGCTGCCGGCCACATCGACCCATATATGACCACGGAGCACAGCCTGAGATTGAAAGTGTTTGATTTTTCCGGAGGGAGGAAACCGGAGGGCCCAGAGAAAAACCCTCGTGGCACAGGAGAGAACCAATGCACAACTCTACTCACGTATTGCATGTATGGTCCGCTGACGGGATTCGAACCAGGGCCACAGTGGTGAGTGGCGAGCGCTTTACGCACTAGCCACCCATGCCACCCTTTATGGGCAAATACTCTAAACTTCTCATTAACCTACACCATTAGAATGATCAAAAAGTACACTTTCATTTGGTATATGGTAGACACATGGGCAGAAAAAACATGCTTGTTAATGAGCACTGAATCACTCTGTATAGCCTACAGTGAGTTCAATACATGTAGCTTCACAGTGAAAATTTTGCGCGAGCGTCATAAATGTGAATGTTTTGCTTTTCCATGTAGCCTGATTTTCATGTTGAAAATTCCCCACAAATGGCATTCAAAACCTTTCTTTTCCATTGTCTGAGAAGTTACTGAGTAATTTGTACTTGGGTACCCAGGGTTTTTTGGGTACCCCGTTTCGATACACAGCTCTATAGGAGATTGCCACTGCTATAACTGACCCTGGTAGCTAGCCTGCATGTTCCCCGTCTTGTAGAGAGCTAGGGCCAGGCAGCAGATGTCTTGTAGGCGAATAAGGGGAGTGATGGCTTGAAACTGTTTGACAGCTTCCTCATAGCGCCCAATGGAACTGATAAAGAGAAAGTAGGATAGTGATTCATAAACATGTTACGAATATACTTTGTGTACAGCTGGGCTCCGGTCCCTAAAAACAATTAGTACAAAATGACACAGCCAAGAACACTTTGGGCAAGACGCTATCTCATTAAATATCTGGAATAAGGTGTAGAAAAAGTCCCTTGTCTTGTAAATTAGTCACAGGATTCTGTACGTTTCTCACTAAAATTTTCAAAATTGACCCCGTGGTTTTGTAGTTATAAAACAGTCAGACAGACACTTTTTTGGGACATACTGTATATAGGCCACAAGTACAGTGCAATTTTTCTTTTTCAGAGAAATAGGCTAAAAAAAATTAATTACCAAAGACTTCGGGCATGATTGGCCATGGCTAGGTTCAATCTTTCTTGATCGTTGCTATCATTCATGAGCTCCAATACTCTGTCCAAAAAACAAAAAACAAAAACAAAATGGGGGAAAAAAATTTTTTTTTTTTTGACCATTTAAAATATGATGCTTTTTCATAACAAGGCAAGATTTACCTTCATAACCAGCCAAAGACTAATGGAAAACTCTGTCTCTTTATTTAATAAACATTTTATAATAATTATTTTTTGTTAAATTAATCAAATAAAATTCCTTTTTTTTTCAAACTTTGATTGGATTATTTTGCCAAAAAAAATTACTCCACTCATGTAATTTTGGAGAAGTTCGCTAATTTTCCACTTGGAGTAACTTTTGCTGAAATAAATGACTCCGAACAAAACTACAGACAGTCATACTCTTACGATGACCATACACAGCCTCAAATTATATTCATCATATTCATAACAAGAATCAGTTAATACTGGGAATGAAATAATGTGTGTTTGATTTTCCAGAGATTTTCTGCAAATGTTTTGGGACAAAACATATTGGTTGAATGATTCTGGCTACATTTCTCAACAGAATACCTTGCGTAAGCCTTTTCAGCACTCTTGTGCAGGCCTTGTCGCTCCAGAAGCAGTCCGTACATTGTGTAAGCACATGCATCAGTCTGGACTCGATCTGAAAAGACAGATTTCGTAAAACAACTCTGCTGCTGAACAAACACAATCAATTTTTAACCAGTTCGCGCCGGATCACATGTATACACGCAAAGGTTTTGTAGTATTCGGAAGGGATGACGGAAAAACACACAGGAAGTGAGGCCAGAAATATCTGTCAGCGACCCGCTCGCAGAGATGCCAACTTTACAGACTACAAAATAGTAACGATTCTTCCTGCAAAGAGTAATGCTAATGTAAATACATAGAACAGTCAAGTTTAAGAGTAACCACAGTACTTTTCAGAGTAACCACAATGTTGGTGTATAGGACAGCTGGAAATTTCAAGAGTAGTATCCATGCCTCAAAATCTAATACTCCAAAAGAGTAATGGTTGGCATCTCTACGCTCGCAGCGAGCAAGGCCGGAAATATGAGTGCACTGCCCGAGGGTGATGGCTTCAACCCACCTGGCACTGAGGTGGAGTAAAAAATTATCCCAGGCCTCGTTCCATTCTTGTCAAAAATAATCCCAGCCAGAACTGGTTAAAATGCACAACCCCCCTCTCTAATTTAAAATGAGAGAAACACATCATATTCACTTTTTGTCGCCGACATTCCCATTTTCAAAAATTTTGTGAGTGTACAATTATTTTCTAGCAAATTCAAATATTTTGGACACTTTAGAATCTTCTTATTGCAAAAAAACATGGCTCATCTGCTGACCTGTGACCTTGTCCAGGCCGACTGTTGCCATGGAGACTGCATCCATCTGGACAATGTTGAAACGGTAGCCCTCCGAGGTCTTGTCCACGGAGGCATCCAGGAGGGTTTGGCAGACCCAGTGGGCGTAGCTGATGGCGCCCTCGCTCTGTCAGACAGAGAGAGGAATTGTCCGATCCAACATCAACTATGGCCGTGTCTGAATTACTGGCTACGGCTAGAAATTACGCACGTGCCTATGGAAGCCGCTACAGCCGCTTCCCATACAATCTTGTGTAATGTCAAGCCGTAGCCAAGCAAATTCGGACACGGCTTTAGCCGTAGATTGCAGACCAGTTAATAGGTCTCTCTCAACTGACGTCATTTCCTACAGACCAGGGCCCAATTTCATAGCGCTGCTTAACAGCCGACTTTGTGCTTACCGAGCTTCCATCTATTTCATAGGAACCATTAAGCAGTAGGCACAGCAAAAGCATGCTTAACCCCAGAAGAAAACTTTGCTTAAATCAGAGACGTAACAATAGAAATCTCCATATGTACACAACCGTTAGCATGAAAAAGTGCCTAAGCAGCAGCAGGATTTTCTGCTCAAGTAAGCACAACTTTTCTGCTAACTGTTGGGCCCCATTGGGCCAAGCAATGTGCATGGGCATTTTCGTATTTCGAACACATTTCAAGCAACAAGCGCATGTCTGGAACATTTTCAACACTGCGCAATGCGTGCTTGATTGCATAAAATACACAGTTCTCCTACAGAGATGGCCGTCACTGAGAGAGACCTTCAGACTGCCATAGACTTCAGTGATAATAACGCCCACTTCCACAAAAATCATGAAAAATACTTACAACTCTCCAAGGTGTTCAAGACGCACATCAAATTAAAGCTTATTTCATCATCTTTCATTTTTGTTCAATTTGTGGGTGGTTACCCGATGACTTTGGGGAGAAAATTTCATCCAAAGATGATCACCCCTAAAAGCAGTCCTGAAGTTCATCGCCATTTTAGACAAAAGGATGCCTATGCTCCATTGCAAAAAAGAGCAGTTTTAGGGCCAATTCCATCCGAATTTCACAGAAATACGAGCTCGCAGTCCTGTTCATGGCTTCCACCCTTCTTTTTTTACAAACCCTCAAGTTCCATCCCCCAAAATGCTCTAATAGCAATTGAGGGCATGCAAATCGTGATTCAAGCGGCGTAGGCAATTTCGGGCCTATTTACTGGCCTGCACCCTGTACCATCGCCCATGAGGCAGACACCGTAACCGCTGGAGCAGGCACTCCAGAGACAGAAGTAACGTCTTATGATTAAACAGTTAAACGTCAATGTATTGACTGTGTCCCTTACATGGGTTGCAAGCTCCGTTGTATGTCGGAACAAATCCATGGCCTCTTCTGGCGCCTTACTTTCAGCTACCAGGGCCTGTGGTATAGTATACAAAGGGGAAAAGAAAATGCAAAGTATGGTTGAAATCGTAGCTTTTGAAATAAATTGTACACCAAGTATTTCAGTTATTCACAGTTCATGGAATTGATTCTTTAACCCTCCTGCTGTCTGAACAGTCACAGACAGTCAAAAAATCAATCCTCTTCCCCTGCCATGCCTTTTACACAGGCTAGTCACCAACAGTCAAATCATTTTTAAAGCAAGCACTGTGACTAGTCACATTCAGTCAACAGACAAAATCAGATAAGTGGTAGGCACAGCTGGCTAATCAATCACCCACAGTCAAAGGGGACCAAGAATTAGTTTCAGATCAATGATCCACCACGTGAATTTCTAAATATGTGTCAATAGACATACAATCTTTGATGATATGGTTTTGGGAAACATTGAAACTCTGTGGATTTTTTGGTTCAAGATTATGCTGATTGACCAAATTGTATCAAATGGGGGCGGTATTCAAGCAACCACTAGACTGGTTCCCGTCCCTACATAAAGATAAAACTGTGTGCAACTATCCCGCATATTTAATGAGATAACTCCTTACGGAAAGAATTAAGCCGCTCCCCCCCCCCCACAAGAAAAGTTGTAGAGTTACAATGTCTTATTCCTACATAGACCTAACCTGTCCAATCCAGCAGTTGACATAGCTGGGTTCCAGTGACTGTGAGATCTTGAAGGCTTGATGGGCCAGCTCCACGTTGCCTTTGGACAGGTACAGGGCACCGAGGTTGGTCCACGCCACGACGTTCTAGATCAGAAAACATTCCAAAGCCCTTTTCATACCACACAAATCTCGGGGTTGACATGGGGTTGATGCAGGATTGACGCGGGGTTGAAAACTGCGGTGTTTCACACTTGAAAATTTACAACCCTGCGTCAACCCTGAGATTGATTTTGCCCAGGTTGAACTCAACCCTGCTCCAGACCAGGGCTTAGATTTTTCAACCCGGGTTGAAACACTCGTCCCAGGTTCAAAACGGTAGTATGAATAAAGCAGAAATGGCCTTTGTAATGGAATTTTTTTTTATGATACAATACCATCCAATATTGGCGTTGTGCACTTTCCAATAATTTAGTACTTGTTTATTCTTGACAAGCTGGTTTACCCGATCATAGATCGGGTAGGGGGTAGTGTTGGGGATGAAAATGTGGGGAGTTAAATGTAAATGGGGGATATAGTTGGGGAGACATGCAGAGAATAGCAATTTCTGTGGTGTGATCTGAGGCAATTTCTGATCACTAAAACCAATTTGAGGAAAAGATCATCTGTGAAAGTTTTGAGTTTTTAGTAATTGAATCAGCTACATGTATTCTGAGCAGTAGAATCATTATTGTAGGCTACAATATTTTTATTCGGGGAAGAAAAAGTGTGTGGGGGGGGGGGGGGGGGAGACCAAACAATGTCCCCCTCAAAATGTGTGTGTGTGGGTGTGTTCCTGCATGGCATTACGCCTGAGGACAGACAACAAAAGGAGCACAAAGGGGCCATTATTCCTCGAAGGAAGGTGCCTATTGTCCTCGAACGCAGGTTTGTGTGCTTAGTCTATGGGAGAGTGTTATATTACAGGGACAAAGGAAAACACAAAGCCAATCCTCGGAAGCATAGCAAAAAACGACTGGGTGGGTGTGTGTGTGTGTGTGTGGGGGGGGGGGTTCCCCCTGTCCCCCGTCGATTTACGCACATGATAATTATGTACCATGGCAACTGTCTGTAAATGTTGCTGTTGGTTTGTTAAATTGGCTTTTTGTGAGGCAGTCGCATTTGGAAAACGTAGTGAAAATGTTACTGTAGTACACAGGCGAAGGCTGGTTGTACAGTTTGACAATAAATCATAATGCAATAAAACGTGAAGGTGTCATTTAAAATGAAAATGTTGAGTGTTACCAAAAAATTACAAACGGTCTGAATCATGGAGGAAGGTCATAATTAAGTTTCAGTATTGGACTCTCCAACAAACGTAAACTTGAACTACTTACAATTTGCGAGACCGTCTGCGATTCAACTTTTATTCAAGTTGGTTCAACCATCTATATATAAGAGCAAGTTTTACTTGACCTCCGAGAAATGTTTCAAGGCTTCACGTCCGTGGAAAAATGAGGGTGTCTTCTTCCGGGTCGGACACTTTTTCGTCGATTTTTTTGTGACTTCGTTTTAAGATCGCGATATTTGAAGCAATTAATGCATCGATCCTTCGTTGACCCCAAACAGGCCCCCAAAATTATAACGCGACACTGAATTATACGTGGCGGGCAGCGAACTCACAACGCTCAGCCTTGGTGGTGGAAGCATGGAGCTGTAAACACATTATGGAAGCAACAGCACTCTACCACGCGACGTCACATGCTTGCGCTTCAAATAGCGAGCACCGTAGACCCAACCTCGTTTCCAGGGTGTGGAGCAGGCTGCAGTACGCGTTGCCATCGACAGTTTTGCATAGCCCGGAAATACTACGCAGTGTAGACTTTCGATTGGTCAGACTGCGCAAGGCATACTTAATGTATAGTCCTTCTGAGTATTCGTTGCACTCGGCGCAGGGGCGGCAAGCGAAGCATACGAAAGAATAGGGGCACTTGGTGGCCACGCACCATGGAGAAAAAATATTTTACCAAGGTCACACCAACCACAATTTGGTGAACGCTTTTGCAGAAGGGCCGAGTAGAACACGTAAACGAAACCCCTACGTTGACCTCGCTGACCTCGCACAGTCTAGACACGCAGAAAAGCCAGCACGGGGGGCGGCCAGGCAGTCAACGTGAAAGCGCAGACGACGGCAAATTCCTGCGCAAAATGCAGTCACGAAAAATAGACGAAACGGATTGCCAGTCCGTACTGAAATGTGCATATCAAGTTTTGCATGTGTCAGCCTAAACCCAACATCTAATTGGGATTTGCGTGCACCTGCACTTGTAGAAAAAATGTACAAAGAGCTTATTAAAATATTAAAATAATTTAACGAACATCATGTATGTATCAATATTATTTTTTTTAGGTAGTGGAATGGCTGATACTTGACAGACTTTAAAGAAGAAGTTTGAGCCAATATTCCTATTGGAAGCTCTCATATCATGCGTGTAAAGTGGCTTTCGATTTAAGTGTGGCATTTGACAGACAATACAACCACAAAACTGGTACGAATAAAATAACACCACAGACTTCTTTTTAAACATTTAAATTATATGCGAATCAAATATTTGAATATTCGGTATATTTGGCACATCCCTACCAAGTGTATCCTTGAGCCCCCCCCCCCCCCAAGAAGTTGTCAATCTTTTTTGATTGTTTGCTTGGGATTTTTTTTTTTTTAGTCCCATGATTTGACCTTGAAGATATTTATGTGGCCTTTATTTGAGTAGAATAATAGGGGTGTAAATGGTGCCACTAACGTCAAAATAGTCCGTTCAACCCCCCAAAACACCATCCCACCCCCCCCCCCCTTTTAAAAAAAATTTTGCCCTCCCTGCGGCCAAAATTTTGAACATTTTTCAAAAAAAAAATGCAAACTTCTAAAAAAAAAAAATTCTAAAACAAACTGTGAATTCCCCCACCAAGCCAAATCCTGGGTGCGCCACTGATCACCAGTTTTAAAGGTATTTGGGACCCTTTGCGGTTCAGAGTTAATGCAATTGTCTGTTTCTAGTTAGTACAATGGCAGAAGTGTCAGATTACATATACTTTATGCACCAAAGTTGCAAGAATTTGGGGGTATTTAAACATATTACTTTTTCTCTGTTTATTCAAAATAAAGGTCCTCTAAATATACATCGAGTTTCTTTGGCTTTCAAGTCGCTGTGAATTTATCAGATTTATTGCACAGAAGCTATAGAGGGAAAACTTTATATGAATATTCATTTTTATCAGATTTCTTACATTTGCCTCCAACTGAATGGACTTGATGAATGCGTGCTGAGCTAGAGCTGGGTTGTCCATGGCTGAAATAAAAATAACATTAAATTAAAGGGAACGTACAACATTTGCAAACATCAAAAAACAAAACTACCAAATTATTATGAAACACCTTTCTGGACTGTAAGTGAATAATAGTCTCAAGCATCCTGTGAAATCATGGCACCTGGTGTGCTGTCATTTAAAAAAAAAAGTGTTTTCTTCAATGGCTCAATTTTCCAACGACCGTCGGCTCACCATTGTTGGAAACAAAAAATGACTTCTTTCAAATACTGCCCGTAATTTACCAAATTTAGTTAGTCCACATTTTGTCTGCAATCGGTTACCCATCTGTGAATGGGTGCAAGCCAGCTAGTCTGGTTTCCTGACCTGACATTTCCCGAGGTCTATAAACTGCTGTGTTTCATCTGAAGTAGGATCAGGGAACCAGACTACAACAACAGCATTTTTTCCCGTGTTTTCTTTTCCCCCTAGAAATCTATTTTTTTTGGGTGACACTCAAAAATAGCACAAGAAGAGAAACTCTGATATCTGGTAATTTAAACAAGCTTCAAACTCTTAAACTTCTTTGCAAAACAATGGTGTAAAGATATCATATACACAGGTAGCTTTTTACGAAGATACCTTTGCTTGCTGCAATGACACCCAGTGCCGTCCAGCACCCATGGTTTGTGCTGTCCAATACCAGAGCTTTCTTTAAACACTAGCCAAGAAAAAAACCCCAAAAAAGGAGGAAAAAAATTAAATAGTCAAAAAGCGACATTTGTAAAATCAGTACAAAAGGTACTTAGTATCAAAAAATGCTTAGGAGTATACAAATACTATCTAAAATGATTAAGCACTAAAATGTATCAAGTCTTAAAAAGTAACACAACTATATGAACAATAGGTACTGTGACAGACCAAATGCTAAAAGTGCTAAGAACTAAGTCCTCTGTACTAATGACTATTCCTTAAACAATTAGTCCCTGAATTTCTCGAAATCATCCTTCCTGTTAACACTCCTAAACCAATCACTGAGTTAAAGTACTAAACATACATTTACTTCATATAGGTCAGAGGACAACCTATTATTGTAGGTCTTTGAAATGGCAGACAGTCTGGCGTTTAGGAAGTGTGAAAGAAATCTGGCTATTCTAATAACTAGGAATTGTTTCGAGGGAATTTAGCAGTAAATCTCACAGTTCTGCTGATCCATGAAAACTAGTCCCTGCTCATAACTTCTCTGCCTTATCATACCTGTAGCGCTCTGTCAGCCAGCTGAGTTGAGTTGGTTGTGTCGTTCAGCGATTGGTAGTAATAGTTCGTTCCCAGATCCTGCCACAGTGCGGCGCAGCTACTCTGCAAATGCAGGGCTCGGCCATAACACCTACGAGAGAAATATAAATGGTACTGGACTATCCCTATGATCTCAGCTGAATACAAAGAAACGTACCTTTAACTTCAACAAATTTTTTACTACAAATGTAACCCTTTAGTCACTTTACACTCCCCCCCCCCTGCCTATTACTCACTCTAGTGCCCGAAACCACCGAGCACTCTTATGAGTTTAATGATTCTTCAGTAAAAAAAACACAATGTAATACAATGTAGTACAGGTGTTAATAGGTTAATCCATTTCAAAATATAACAGACAGATAACTGGCAGTTTTTTTTTCTGAGAAAAAGCAGGCGAAGATACAACCTTGGTCAAGTAATGAAGACGTGCATGGGCAATTCCACATTTTCGTAACGTGAGTAACCGATTTTGTGCGTCTTGTTTATCATACATAACACATTTTTCTGGATGTCATCTTTGGTGCTTAGGTAGGTCTACATGTAGGTCTACTCTATCTACCATGGGGATAACAGTTATTAAACCTTTTCAGTAAGGTAATTACAGCCCAAGGAAACTCAAAAGTACATCAAAAATGTAACCGTGGAATTGCCCACATGCATACATGTCACATCCAACATAAATTTTGCCCAAACCATCAAATAAGTTTTTTGGGGGGACTAGTACCTGGCTCCAACAGAGAGTAACTGTTTCTTGTTCTGGGAGGTCTCCCCATGGAATGAATGGTCCATCAGATTGGCAGGAACTGGCACACTGTGGGGATTAAAAGATTCACTATTAGCGGACAAGATCATCATGCATGTATGTCACGAAACAACTACTAGTCAACCAATGATCCCTGAATGCACTTGCCCTGAAACTAATGTTGTGCATCGGGTCAGGTTGCCCAGGCCAAACTGACTCAAAACATTATAGATACATGTATAAACCAAATCCGAACTTAAAGCAATCTGAACTCCCCAAATCAAACCCGTCCCGACCCAACAAAAACTAAGGGAGAAAACGCTGACCCGAACTGAACGGCCACCAAAAAAAGAATATCTGGGTTGGCAAATCATCTTATATTTCATGAATACTGTTTGTGCCTGAACCTATCCCCATCATGGGTAGGTTCAGGCACAAACAGTAAAACAACTTTGACAGTCTGAAACTTCAACAGGATATTTTAGACGCAAATTTGGAGACAACTAAAATTGGGAAAAAATTCCCCAGTACTGTTTTTTTATTAAGTTGAATCTCCATTCCAAGCTTTGACCAAATGCGTTTGCCACAGATAGTGTTTTACAAAATATTGAAATAACTAACCTGATCAGCTTATCACTGAGAGGATGCAGCATTGTACAGGCATCGCCAAGCAGCTTCCAGACACAACTCAGGTCGGGTCGCAATGAGGCCGCTCTAATACAACACAGAAACAGAGTTGTAGATGACTCCATCACAAGTCAAATTACAAGTCCATCACAAGTCAATCACAAGTCAATCACAGGTCTAATCACAAATCAATCACAAGTCAAATCACAAGTCAATCACAAGTCAATCACAAGTCAATCACAAGTCAATCACAAGCTAATCACAAGCCAATTTTAAGTCAATCACAGGTCAAATCACAGGTCAATCACCAAGTCAATTACAGGTCAAATCACAAGTCAATCACAAGTCCATCACAAGTCAAATCACAAGTCAATCACAAGTCCATCACAAGTCAATCACAAGTCATCCCAAGTCAATCACAAGTCAATCACATAGTAAGGCTGTCCCAGACTAGTCTAGGTCACAGCGCACATATTTCTATCCAAAGGATTTAGAATGGCTATTCATTGGAAGTCTTTTAATTAAATCTGGTCTACACCATGGGCCCAATTTAGCTCATTCATTGGCTTAACGAGATAATCTTAAATGACAGCACTGCCAAGCTCCGGTCTATAACCAGTCTAATTCACAAGTGACATTCAGTCAGCGAGATAGGTTCAAAGATTAGACTAGGCTGGCCCTCTGGGACCGGCACAAATCAACAAAGAACCAGTCAGAAGAAACATTCATAATGCAACGTTTTAGTTGACAAACACTGATTTTTTTTAGGCAAAAAAATGTGAACATAAATATTGAGGGTACACACAGTCTTGAGTGATTGAATGTAGACTAACCACACTTTCATTCATAATTCACTCCTTACCGTGCCAAGACCTGTATCGCCAATTTGACATAGTCCACGGCTCTGCCATTGAAGTACTGATTCAGGGAGGATCTGGCTAGACGAACATAAGTCTCACCCTGACCTTAAGATCACAAGCGGAATAAAAAAAAATATGAAAGTTTTATTACCATAAAAAGCCATAAGTACAATGTAAGTCATTATATTAGAAGCCAAATTGGCCCATAAGGGCATGCCTTTACATATATCACAATAAATACGCAGAATGAAAGTTCAACGAAAGAAAATTTGCAAGAAAGAAATGAAATAACAAGACAAGGCACCCTATTCAAGCTGGTCCCAAGGTGCACAAAATTCTATTCAATGGATTGCGAATAGCTATTCACTAGAAGTCTTTTCATGCATCTGTGTACACAATGGGCCAGATTTAGGCCAAAAAATGGAAATGGGAAATGGAACACTCCATGGATCACCAAGGGAGGCTAGTTCTACTACACTACAAGATAAAGCAGTCAATATTTATTTTATAATATCTCTCCTACAGATACTGCTTGATTTTAACAGATAACTGATTAATTTAATCTAAATACAATTAAAAGGTACCAATATAAAATTGGTTAAAAATTAGCTTGCACTTTTCGAAACTACCCCAAAACTACCCCTTCACGAAATGTTTGAACCCAGCTCTGTAGCACTAGCGCTTGGGAACAATACGCGCAATGCGCACACCGGTATGCATTTGCACACATGTATAGCCAGTTGCTATGCGATAGTACTTTTGTTGCTATGCGTATAGTACTTTTCCAGCCGATGTATAGTCTGTTTTGCCATGCACAGCTAGATGTCAAAAATAGGGAATGCCATGTGACTCACTCTCAGCCAATCAAGATACAGAATCTGCGGGAGAGGTGTTATAACAAAAACTATGCCACAAATTGGGAGGCAACAAATTGTTGGTGGAACCTCTGAGGCAAACCTTTCAGAGCAGGGATGTAGTCAGGGTCACTGTCTAAGATGATCTGGTACTCAGACGCGGCCTCCGTGTACGCCTCGAGTGTCTGCTTAATGGCTGCGATCCTGTAAAAAAATATGTGGGAATAGAGTTTGCAATTTGACCTAAAAAACCTGCAAGACTTACGGGAATACAGTACACCCGGGCACCATGTAAAGGATCTACAACGTGTAACATGCTATTTTTTTGCATTTATTTTGTCCTGACTAGACTTATCCAGTAAAAGGCAATAAATTGGTTCTGTGAAAGAAAAGACAGCGGTACAATGTACAATATATTGAAATATTGCGAACTGACGAATATAAGAAAATAAAACAAACTCAACTTCAACTTCTGTTTAACTGTGAAAATACTTACTGAAATAAGCAATATTTGGCGCTTGAATCCAGCTGTAATAAAAGGAAATTTTTCCGTTACATTTACATGATTTGTAATAATAATAATACCTAAGTCTTATATAGCGCACATATCTACCAACAATTAGGTACTCAACACGCTGGAAATTATGTCTATTATTAGAGACAGGTAAATGAAGTACATGAGAAATATGAGAACCATTATGAAGCACCAAATGGTTTACGAGGTGCTGCGGCGCATTAAGCAGCCAATGCCAGAAACACCGGGGAAAGCCCCTTCTCTTAGCGATAAGTGTTACTGTTTTTTTTTAATGTGCATTATACAACACATTACGTCCCATCCGAAGGACGAAGCAATAATGGTAAAGTGCCTTGCTCAAGAGCACAAGCATCATGTTCCCACGGTCAGGATTCGAAATCATGTACCACAGCACACGAGTCGAACACCGTAACCACTGTAGATTGTACTGCGTCAAGAAATGCATCACCCAAAACTCCAATAATAACTTGGCTACAGGAATAACTTGGCCAAGGAACATCCGTTTTTCAAAAATTAAATTGCAATTTTTAAGAGGCAAGATCTATACTTTAACAATATTTTAAACACCTTAACTTCAACCTACTTCCCAGAGGTGTCTAGTTTTGTCAGGAAATGTCACATAGAATGACTAAAAATATCCATTTCTAAACATACAACCATTACCACAAATCCTATCTTCACCTCTTCTACCCAAAGCAAGGAAGGAGAAATAATGTCATTTCCCGAGGTCTATAAACTGCAGTGTTTCATCTGAAGTAGGATCAGGGAACCAGACTACAAGCACAGCATTTTTCTCCGTGTTTTCTTTTTCCCCTAGAAATCTATTTTTTTTGGGTGATACTCAAAAATAGCACAAGAAGAGAAACTCTGATATCCTTTCTTCACCTCTTCTACCCAAAGAAAGGAAAGAGAAATAATGTGCCGTGTCCTCACAAAATGAACATAAAGTCAGAAATTGTCGTTTTGCAATACAGTAGGGCAAAGCCAAAATTTGAAGGGGTGGTCAGTTTTTGTTTGTTTTCAAACAAACTTCAATCTGTCAGTCCTGTTCTATCTTTCCCAAATTTTGGAGTTATCAAAAATCTTTGAAGCCTAATTTTCTTCCCATTTTATAAGTGGACTGTTCATTGGCCGTAATACAACAGTGGGAATTTTAAATACCATTTTCTCAAATATAAGTATGACAACTTTAGGTGGTCCATATCCCAGTTACTGAACTCAGCACCCCTAAATGTAGGGGTGCTCTACAGAATCCAGATAAATATATATCTCAATAAATAAGTCTGTCTTCATGGTCATTTTGTGGCGCCGGGTCACAGTGGTGTAAATCCGTGCTGACGAGTTTGGGGGGGGGGGGATAGGTAATGACCAAAATTCTAAAATTGCCCGCTTGTGGGGGGGATGGACACAGCATGACACTAGGGGGCACTGTTCATGATACAAATGTACGTCTTATGCAAACTGGTGCGCTTACAAGTCATCAAGATGGTGTATTTAAAGCTTTTATGCTGTTCGTTGTCTATTTTTCAGTGGTTATTTCATACATTTGGGCTGTTGGAAAGTTAGACAATAACCTTAAAATCTGCATTTTTTGGTTTCTCTCCGCACAAATCTGGAGAGGGTGCATTTAAAGCTTTTGTGCTGTTTGTTGTCCGTTTTTTTTAGTGGTATTTAATACATTTGGACTGTTGGAAAGTTAGCCAATAACCTTAAAATCTGCATTTTTTGGTTTCTCTCCGCACAAATCTGGAGAGGGTGCATTTAAAGCTTTTGTGCTGTTTGTTGTCCGTTTTTTTAGTGGTATTTAATACATTTGGGCTGTTGGAAAGTTAGCCAATAACCTTAAAATCTGGATTTTTTGGTTTTTCTCCGCACAAATCTGGGGATGGGGATAATCCAATGTCCCATCCCCCCTGGTCGCAGAGGGGAGGGGGAGAGATATATCTTCCCCATCCCTCCCCCCCCCAGATGTACACCCTTGACATGTCACATATAGTACCTCTACACCCCTGGTGAATGCTTTCAGTGCAGCAGTGTAGCTTCCTCTGCTCATATATGCATCTCCTAAACACTCCCAACAATGCCTACAGACAAAAAACAATAGCGAAATGGGTTCAAAAGGTTAGAACCCTCAGGACTTGTCTGAGAGTTCAAAAATGTGATGGGATGAAACAAGATACTTCAGGAAGGAGCTCATCCAAGATGTTGAAGGTGTAGAGAAAATCCAAACACCTTTTCATCGGCATTAACAGATTTAGAAATTTTTTTTCGTGAACACGAATTTTGATGTCGCCAGTGAAGTCCCATAAGGCTTTCACCCTCTTTTTGTTTGATCTGTCACAGACAGTCAAAATTTCAATCCTGTACACCTGCCATGCCTTAATACACAGGCTAGTCACCAACAGTCAGATATTTCTTGTATGCACTGTGACAGTCAAATTATATCAACAGGCAAAAGCAGGTGACTGGTAGGCACAGCTGGCTTATCAATCTCTTACAGGCAAAGAATAGCTATATCAGGTTTCATAACAATCACAGCCAGTCAATCCTGCTTTATGAAGGCAGGGAGCACTCAACTGTTACAAACAGTCACTTGATTTAAATTGCCAGCCAGAGAGGGAGGGTTAATAAACCACATCAAACATGATATGAAATCCTTGTTTTCTTCTATTGTTAGAGTTGTTCTATAAAAATTCCTGAAATCGCTACATTTTTAAGACAACTTTGAAAACCTGATACCCACCTGTCTTTTGGATCAGCTCTCAGTGCCGCTTGAAAGCTTAAAATTTGGATACAAAATATAACAAAAAGGTTAGTGATTATCTTAATCTTAAAAGAGACATTCCACGAAAAACAAACTTTTAAAAAGAACAAAGTTGTAAGAGACATGCCGCATCCTCTCCGAGTGATCTTCTCTGTATCCTCTCCGTTTGCTTTTTCCAGGGTTTGTAGCATTGCCAATGTTGCTAGCATTGTGCCTTTTAGGCATGATACCTGGCTACACGGCATATACAGGTTAATGGCTTATGACTAGCACCCTTGAATAATGATAATGACTAAACTGAGGAACAAAGACAATGACTAAACTGAGGAACCGCCAACATAGGGCTGGATAGCTCAGTTGGTAATAATAATAATACTAATACTGAACATTTATATAGTGCTTTAACTGTCATAGAAAGTACCACAGCGCTTTACACAAAAATGGACGAAAAACCAAAAACCAGAAAACAGAACAAGAAATAAACCACATGCAAAATACATGAGTAAGTAATAACATATCAATTAAACAGATCAATTAAACAGATGGGTTTTTAGTTTTTTTTTTAATGTTGCAAGTGAGCGTGAGTGGCGGATGATGTAGGGTAAATTGTTCCAGAGTTTTGGGGCAGCAGCGTGGAAGCTTTTCTCTCCAGTGGAAGTGCGAGTTTTTGGTACATGGAGTAATCTGGTGTCAGTAGGTAGAGCACCGGAGCGGTGTTCCGGAGGTCACAGGTTCAAACCCCACTCCAGTCAATTTTAAAATCATTATAATGCACCTAGCCAGTTTCTCATTGTGCTTGATTGTTAATTTTTCAATAGTAACGCCAGTGCAGTTTACCTTGCCACAGCATCATTGTAGTTGGCCTGTTTGTGGTAGTACAACCCCAGCCTCAACCATGCCCATTTGGCTGTACCTGCCGCCGCGGCTTCGGTCACGTTTCTGTACAACTGTAGGGCTGCGTCCTACAGGAAAAGAACATGGCAAGTTAGTTATTAAAGGTAGGGCAGATCATTTGTCATTTGTGCATTTACTTTTTAAAAGTAGGGCATATCATTTGTCATTTGTGCATTTAGTTTTTAAAGGTAGGGCATATCATTTGTCATTTGTGTCGTTTGAAGCAACAAAAGTGCTCAAAGTCTAACAACGGGATCTCAATTTCAATTCAAAAGTTGTCAAGTCGGTTTTTGAATTGCGCCCGAAATCAGTATCCGGAACATGTTCTCATTCAGCCAATTGCAGCTACGCGATGTCACACACTGAACCGACGAATAATAGCAACCCTGGGGTGATGTACATTCAAATTCGGCCAACCGATCCCGCAAGCTTGTTGGTCGAGTGGTAAGACGTCTGCACTAGAAAGCAGGAGGTCCCACCAGAGTGATTGTTCCTCACTTTCACTCGGGGGGGGGGGGGGGGGGGGTGTTACATATTGAGCATTAACATTACTTTGGGAAAGTAATGGGTTTTTTCCCCGAGAATATTTCTGAATTGATTTGATGAAATTGGTGTAAAAACATCTACAATACATACATGTCAGTCTTCAAACTCACAAAGGAAAAAAAAAAATAACAGTCAATTATCTCAAAAAAAATTGGGGGGGGGGGGGGCAGAGATTATATCTCCCAATGCCCTTTAAGAGTTAAACTGTTACGTAGTCAATGAGTCAGTCATATAGTTTACCTCTTCTCCAAGCTCAATGCAAGCATCTCCCAATGCTGCGGCTGCTTCTTCATTCTGGGGGTTCAACTCGTACGCCTTCTGGTAACACTTCCTACCCTTGCTGAACATTATCATCACAGAAAACAACAAAAAGTCATTCGTAAATACAAAAGTCAGTTTACCCATTCCTATTGGTCGAGAGCCCGTCAAGTGGGTGGTTGTAAACCGTTGATAAAACACCAACTAGTTTTAAACACTTTATTCAACAGCTGCGTTCCACACCACTGCGTTCCACGCCACATCACACAGTACGTGCCGGGCATGCGCCAATCGCCATGAAATGATATGTTTAGCACTACATGCGCGAGGCACATACCATAGACATGGCCAGAGGTGAAATTGTTGAACAAAATCGTTGGGAAAATTGTGAATTCTGAACTTGTTTTTACCTTTTGACCAAAAGGTATTTATGAATGGGAACATTCGTAACAGCTCTCATTGGTTTTGTACATGTTTTCTAACTAAGGAGTCCTCGATTTGGTTCTTGTCCTCGATTCATTGATGATGTTGCACGTGTGTGTCCTTGATATACACCATAAACAAATGCACACTAACACACCGACACACAGAAGGAATACGCGATCGCAATATCCCCCTGTCTGGCTTGAAAACCAGGGGGACAAAAAGGAGTTTAAAGCCCGAGTCCATCATTTGCAGCTATCCAAAAAAGTTACTGGCGTAATTATTGTTGAAAAACATACTGGTTGAAAGATAGTAAGGGGACTAAACTCCCTGTGAAATTATCCCTTCTGGCAAGCTCTCATTTTGAAGAAATCAACGAAAGAAGGCATTTCCAATGGTGCGTCTTAAGAAGCGCCGTAGGAAAATATAAAATAGTAGTTCGTTTTGTTATTCGGCGCAGCACGCACAAGCATTGGAACGATGCACAGGCGCGTGCGGTTGCTATAAATCGTCGAATCAGTGCGCGACATCGCGTAAAGCTGCAATTCAAAACAATTCGAAACATGATTTAGCAACTTTTGATTTGAAATTGAGATCCTAGAATGCTGTTTTTCTCGGAATATGAAGCTGAAGCTGAGCTGAAACTTCATCAAGTAAGTTGTTCAGTACCCTTCTTTAGATTTTGAGCACTTTTGTTGCTTCAAACGAACAAAATGCACTAATTACAAATGATGGACTATAGCTTTAACTTTTACTACCATTGTGAGAGTTTTAAGGCGAGTTGATAATGAGCCGGTACCTTTTATCTCCAGCAACTTGCCAGTAGAAATGTCCCAGGTAGAGGAAAGTGTCTGAATAATATGGATCCAATTTAGCTGCCTGCATAAAGAGAGACAACAGTGACATTTTGTTAAAAACAAATTTGTGACCAGTGTGAGGGAATGCGCACATATCCATCGTCTTTTCCTCTGTCCCTATAATATAACACTCTCCCATAGACTAAAGCACATAAATGCACAATCGAGGACCGTTTCAACAAAAGATGAACGCTTGAGGACAACAAAGAATCTGACAACAAAGAATACACCATACCCGGGGTATGGGGTGGGGGGATGGGGGAATGGGTTGGGGAAGTAGTTGGAAGGGATGAGGTTGGGGAGGTTGCTCAGGGGGAATGCGTTAAATTACCGTAGAAAGCTAGTCACAATTACCTTCAGCAAGGATGCCAACATCTTGGACTTGTCCGCCCTTGTTTCTCTTCCCATCACCCAGTACACTTTCCCCAGCCACAAATGGTACAGTCCACAGTCAGGTGCGACACCCAGTGCCTCAAGAAACCTGGTTGAGTCCAAGAAATGAATGCGGGATTTAGAGGTAAGTTTTTATAGCAAATATTGTTACACTGACCTGTGTTTCTGTGTTTATGGATGCTGGATAAACCAAGAAAAAAAATGCTATTCTTGTAGTTTGGTTCCCTGACCCAACTTCAGACGAAACAGAGCAATTTATACACGTCGGGCAATGGTCAGTTCAGGGAACCAGACTTGCTGGCTTGCACCTATTCATGGATGTGTAAATGATAGCAAACAAAATGTGAACTAACTAAATTTGGTAAATTGGAGGCAGTATTTGAAAAAAAAAGTGTCATTTATTTTTTTGGGAATGATGGTCAGTCGACCATCTTTTGAAATTGATACAAAAAATCCACCTTTCGTGGAAATGACAGCACGCCAGGTGCCATGATTTCACAGGATGCTTGAGACTATTATTCACTTACAGTCAAGTAAGGTTTTTCATACTAATGTGGTAGATTTGTTTTTTGATGTTAATGCAAAATGCGGTACATATACAGGGTGACCCAAAAAAATGCAACCCTAAAACAGTTGCCTTTTAAAAACAAAGGGCTCATTGGATTTTTATGTTTTGGGTATCAGGTTAAAGCTGAGAGCTTTTTTCTTTCAAATACTGGACAAAATCTTGTAAATAGCACTTTGGGTTGCTGAGAAAATGCCAATTATGTAAAAGTCATCATTTTTCATCCTGTACACAATTAACACAGTAAGGGATTTTCACTGTGCCTATTTGTGCATGTCCTAATCCTTACAGACAACACAGCACATAATATGATAAGATTACAAATGAATTTGATGAAAATAACTTTTATTTTCCATCTGAACTAGTATCTCATCCTTTTCAGTCCTATTTTTTAAACCTTTTCAGCGTCATAAATATGTCAAAATATTAAAGAAATTGCACAAATGAAGGATAATTGCACAGTAGGCTTACAGAAACATGTTTCACTGTTTGAAGCTTTGTGTAACAGGATAAAAAAGACTACTTTTACATAATTGACATTTTCTCAGCAACCCAAAGTGCTATTTTCATGTTTTTTTTTGATCTGATATCCAAACATAAAAATCCACCAATCCTTTTTTTTTTAAAGGGACACTGCGTCCTGGAACAGCCCAATTGGGCTACAAAACGCGCTTTGAATGAACTGATGTTCATCCGAAAGAACATTTAAAAGTAGGATATAAACATCCAAACAACTATCCTTTAAAAACTGGGCATTTTTGTGTTATTCCTGTATTATGCGTGCGAAAACGACTTCAGGGTCCACTTTTGCGGGTCCACTTTTGCGACCCAAAAAAAGTCGAGCTGTTTGGGTGCTAGTTGTGATTTTAACCGTAAAGTGTTCGCCTTTTGCGGACGTGTAAGAAACCACATTTTGTGCATTGGTAATTGGTCACCGCTAGTCGCAAGCACAGTGCTGTATTTACACACACAATGTGTATATTGTACATTGACTGAAAACGACAGGAAAAGCGTATTCGTACTCCGTCGTGTTCCATGTGAACAACCAGGTTTTTTCCGTCTTTTCTCGGGAACGGTAAGACATTAGATTGCTTTCCTTTCAACCAGATGTTTGAAATAGGATAAGTAAACAATCCAAAACATGAATATTTCGGGGATTTCAGGACCTAGTGCCCCTTTAAAGGCAAATGTTTTAGGGTTGCATTTTTTTGGGTCACCCTGTAGATTACCTTTTAGTATTATCAGGCCCATAGCCTGATAATCCACTCACCTTTGCTCTGCCTTATCAAGCTGTCGATGGCTGAACATGATCTGACCCTGAAGTGCCATCACCTTATCATTATTAGGATCCTGGAGGAGAGCTTCTTGATAAAACTAAACAAAGAAAGAAGACAGATTTAAACAGTTGATCAAATTGCACTTTGCAGTATTACTGGGAATTTAGAGGAAAAAAAACGAGGAAATTTCAAACCACCCCAGACTTTGTACAGTGTTTTTTCAATTTGCAATGGCATTCCAGAGAAATAAAATGTACAACATTCACAGATAAAACTTCATCAGGTTAGTTGTTAAGCACCCATGTTTAGATTTTGAGCACTTTTGTTGCTTCAAATGATAAAAAGATATGCACAAATGGCAAATGGTCTACTCTGCCTTTAAATAAACTGCAGATATAACATGTATGCAAAACCTCATTCATTATTAAAAACCAATTTCATTTCCCATACCTCTTCTGCTTTCTCCCGATTTTCAAGGATCAAATGCGATGCACATATTCCACAGGTAATGCTAAGACGGTGTGCGTCATCCGGTTGCTCAAGTAACTGTAATAACCCCAAATAGTTCAATTTCAATCAAGTTTGTAACAATTTCAAAATCTGCCTTTTAAATACTTGAGCCAGGTTTTTTTTTTACCAGCTGTCTCTCTATGGCAAGCACAACGGACGTAGAGCGCACTGGTATGGTTGAAGGTTTGGAGCCTGTGGCCGCTTTAGTACCTTTTCTTTGTTTGAGTTTATTTGACACGATGAATAGCAAAATAACAATCAAATTCTGACCAAGAATGTGCAGCATGTTCCAAGGTAAAACAAAATCTGAAGACAAAATTAGAAAACAAATGTTGGACAAAACCTGAAGCATCTGAAAACTTTGTAAGTTCTCCCACCCACCCAAAAAGAATACATACAAAAGAGAATATCAATAATAGTTTCACTTTCAAAAGAGGTATTAAAAATATCTTATCAGCTATAATTTAAGTTAGGGCTGTGCATCAGAACTGGGTGCCCCAGTACCCAACTGCTGATGTCAGGAACCGGTTCCAGATTATGGAATCAGGTACCCGTAACCAACTTTACAAATTACTTAAAAACTTCTCAGACAATGAAAGAGAAAGGTTTGAATGTCACTTGTGGGAAATTTTCAAAATGAGAACTAGTCTACATGAAAAAACAAAACATATTTCATGTTTATGATGCTTGACTTAAGTTGCAGTTTTTACCATAAAGCTACAAAGCTCACTGTGCACACATGAATTGCTGCATTGAAGCACTGATTTGGTAGTATTATCGTGCGGACATTTATGAACCATCTGAACAGCAACTTCCCATATTTGAATATTGGGGTTGGCTTCCTTTAACAGATATCCAGGTACCCATGTCTAATTCCTGTACTACACGTAAATGCCCACTCCTACTTTAATTGACCTATCGCGGTAGAATCGCGGTAGAATAGCGTTCACGCAGCTTGTGAAATATTGCCAATTACACAATTTACAAATGGACGCGGAACGCGAAAATCTGAGACAAACATAACTTAGTGTACAAAAGCTCCAAAGGTTGTCTAAGGGGCGTGGCTAACTCGCAAACGACGATAGGTCACTTAGGGTTATCACTTACAAACATTTATAAGGCCTACTTGCTCCTGGAAACACAACTTTTTATTGGCCATGCCCACTCATGGACACTCTATTATCAATCTTAGTCCTCAATCAGAATGTACATCAAAATCTGGACAAGATTTGTGTCATGTTACTGCATGTGCAAAATTATCTTTTCATAGCTCAAATATTGACTTGTGTCCATGGAATTCGTCTTCCTCTCACTGTGCATATACCTTTCGGTTCTGGAGTTTCTGTGTGTTCTGACTGGATTTCAAATCACATGTATGGACTAATGTGTTTGAAACAGTTGCTTGCTTTGAACCATGTAAACACACTGTACAAAATCCATTGAACCAGCAAATTATTGACCCTCCAAACAATCCTGGCAGGCCTAGACAAACAATAGCAACTATCAGTGATGCTGATAACACTGCGGTACAATAATCCTTAACCTGCCAAACACAACACAGCATTGAACACCAGTGTATGAACAGAGGAGATGGGAGGTCATCCCATTGAACAATGCCATTGTTGAATTCTGCTGTACAGTTGGTGACCACAGACTCTGAGGCATTTTGGCCTTGGGATTTCTGACCAGAGGGATTAGCCAAATCTTGGACAATTAGAAAAAGTTCCATTGAAGATATCCACTGTTGTATCTTGCTAGAGGCATGCTACAGGTATTGACCACAGATTAGATTCTATTACTGACGACACTGGGCAGCTAGTCACTTTGGCAAGTTTTACATGTTGTTGCGTCTAGCAGGATTTCTAGCCAAAACACCCCAGAGAATTGGACTATTAAAGGCAGCAGTGATTGTAAACTTATAACACTCTTGAACGTCTGTAAACAAGATAAGATGGGTGGTCCTGTTAAAATTATCGTTTGGGCGTCGCCCCGCACATGCTCCACAGCCCTCCTCAAGTGCTTGAGCAGCCTCCCAAATGCCAAGATCTTTGATGAGTTGTACAGTATTGCATTTCTATTTGGGCCTGACCGACTGGATCAGAATCCGACCGGAGAGGAGCCTCAAGCTAGCCAGGCAGGACAGGGCAAGGGATACGCCTTCCCGAGCTCCATCTGTACCTACGAGTGGATCAAGGAGACCCTCCAGCAAGATTATCCCGGCGGAGAGTTTGTCATCTCCAAGGAGATCGTTTACTGTCTCAACCAAAAGTATGATTGCCTCCCGGAGGGTTACCGCCATGTCTTCCTGCTGCGACATCCAAGTAAGGTCTTCCCCTCCTGGAAGAAGCTCACCTATGGTGTCTTACACATGATGGAGTCCTCAACTGAGCTTCCTGCATCTGTGGATGAGTTTGTCTTTGATCAGCAACCTCCGCACCTACTGCCCCCAGGGAAGTCCTTCAAGGAGGCCTACGATCTGTACCAATACGTCAAGGAGAAGAAGCTGGATGTCGATCCAGTCATCATAGATGCTGACGACCTTATCCAGAACCCAGAAGGCATCGTTTCAGCGATGTGTGCCAAGCTGGGGATCCCATACACTGAGTCCCTCCTGACCTGGGACAAGGGTACAGACATCGTGGACACTTGGACTGTTGGCATCGCGTTTAAAAATATCATTCAACACTCTGAGGCCTATAAAAACTTCCGGAACAGCACTAGCTTCCGCCGACCAGAGTTGGAGAAACAGGCTACCGCAAGGCCTGTAGAATCAAGAGTCACCCCAGATATTGAGCGCTGTGTCAGCTTCAGCATGCCGTTCTATCAAAAAATGTACGAGCAACGCTTACAGGTAGACAACATTTAAGATATGAACTGGACTCCATGTGTAAACTGTAGATGGCACTTTATGACCACTAGCAAGAGTTCCAGTGGGAGGGACACATCGCATGTGTGCACTGATTCCTGTGCAATCTGCACGAAGAAGGCACCACTACTTGTATTCTGACCATGCACAAACCCTGTTTAAAGCTACAGTCCATCGTTTGCAGCTATCCAAAAAGTAACTGACGTAATTATTGTTAAAAAAACTTACTTGGTTGAAAGATAGTAAGGGGACTAAACTCCCTGTGAAATTATTTTTCTGGCAAGCTGTCATGTTGAAGAAATCAACGAAAGAAGGCATTTCCAATCGAGCTGCAATCGGCTCAGTGAGAACCTGTCTCGGACGCTGAGTTCAGGCACAATTCCAAACATGATTCAGCAATTTTTGATTTGAAATTGAGATCCTAGAATGCTGTTTTCCTCAGAATATACAGCTGAAGCTGAGATGAAACTTCATCAGGTTAGTTGTGCAGCACCCTTCTTTAGATTTTGATCAAGTTTGTTGCTTCAAAACAAACAAAATGCACAAATTACAAATGATGGACTGTACCTTTAAACAGAAATTTTAAAGTACAAATTTTAAAGGCAATGATTTTTTTTTGACGGCCTTGCGATTCCAAATGTTCACAAATCATCACCCTGAGTGTACATGTGTATTTTCAAATATTCTAGATACATGTGCATGCCTAAGTTGATTTTTTTTTTAATTTTAATTTTATTTTCATTTTTTTATACATGTACCTCTTGTATTTTAAAACAGTTCATTAGGGCAAAAACAAATAATAGTTCTGCTTCCGGTTACCCTGCCGACCCTAACATTATGATACGACCTTAAAGTTTTTATTGACAAGTTATAACAAAATTGAAAAAATAAAGCATATGTGAAAAAAACATTCAAATTGTCAATTCAATCTTACACAAAATTCTTACCACTGTCTGTATTTCTATGTCGTCGACGAAGAATGACAGGGCCTAAAATACTAACAGGATAAGCAAGTTTTTCTTTGCATTGCCTTCTGAGGCTGGCAAAAGAACATGCGGCATGCATGCAATACTGGTACACTGGTTCCCATTACTAGATTACAGCAACAAGATAATGAAAGGGGAGGGAGCCAGCATAGAACATGCTCAAATATCGTGAATGTAAAAGATTTCACGCAAAACATGTTGGAAATGATCGAAACTATCAACATGGTAGTATTATCGCACAAACCTTTATGGACAATCTGAACGGCAACTTCCGAAATTTGGATTTTGGGGTTGGGTTTCCTGAATGGGTACTCGGGTACCGGTGTTTTTGTTTCAATCTGTTACCCGGTCCTCGTACTACACCTGCAAATACACACCCATAATTTAATTGGGGTCATCCCTTACAAACATTGAGGCCTATTTTTTTTGGCAACATTCCTGGAAACACAAGTTTTTATTGGACATGCCCACTCACTGACACTCTTACCTTGAGGATCATAATGTACAATGAAATCTGGACAAGATTTTTGTGTCACTTATCGACCCTTCAGACAAAGGCCTAACCAAATGATAGTAACTTTTAGTGAAGCTGACCCTGTACATAAACCCTTGTTGTTATACCCTGCGAAATGCAACACGGCGCATCAGTTGAAAAGGTCTGTGTGCGACCTTGCTACATTGGTCAACACCAGCCCACGAACGGCCGGTTCTGGGACAATGGGAGCTTATCCCATTGAACAATGCCATTGTTGAAATTCATTTTGGCCTTGAGACTTTTGACCTGATGGATCAACCAAGTCTTGGACAACAAAAGCAAGGCTGAGTATACAGTGTTTTTACGCTGGTGAAGGGCAAACCTCATAGATAAAAGCATTAGTCCCATTGTTGAATTCTGCTGAACAGTTGGTAATCACAGACTCTGAAGCATTTTGACCTCAGAGAATTTTGAGCTGATGGATCATCCCGGTCGAGGACGATGGGAAAAAGTTCCATTGAAGAATTCTACTGTTGTATTCTGCTACAGTCGATGACCACAGACTAGATTCTATTAGGACACTGGGCAGGCTTGTCACTTTGTCAAGTGTTGCATGTTGATGCGTATATAAGGATTTCTAGCCAAAATACCCTGAGGATTGGACTATTAAAGACAGCAGTGACTATAAAATTATTACACTCTTGAACGTCTGTGTACAAGACACACAGATGGGTGGTCCTGTTAAAGTTATCATCTGGGCGTCGCCCCGCACATGCTCCACAGCTCTCCTCAAGTGCTTGAGCAGTCTCCCAAATGCCAAGGTCTTTGATGAGTTGTACAGCATTGCATTTCTACTCGGGCCTGACCGACTGGATCAGAGGCCGACCGGAGAGGAGCCTCAAGCTAGCCAGGCAAGACAGGGCAAGGGATTTGCCTTCCCAAGCTCCATCTGTACCTACGAGTGGATCAAGGAGACCCTCCAGCAGGATTACCCTGGCGAACAGGTCATCATCTCCAAGGAGATTGTTTACTGTCTCAACCAAAAGTATGATTGCCTCCCGGAGGGTTACCGCCATGTCTTCCTGCTGCGACATCCAAGTAAGGTCTTCCCCTCCTGGAAGAAGCTCACCTATGAGGTTTCAAAGCAGTTCTCAACTGAGGTTCCGGAAACTCTGGATGAGTTTATCTTTGATCAGCAACCCCCGCACCTGTTGCCCCCTGGGATGTCCTTCAAGGAGGCCTACGATCTGTACCAATATGTCAAGGAGAAGAAGCTGGATGTCGATCCAGTTATCATAGATGCTGACGATCTTGTCCAGAACCCAGCAGCCATCGTTTCAGCGATGTGTGCCAAGCTGGGGATCCAATACACTGAGTCCCTCTTGACCTGGGACAAGGGTACAGACATCGTGGACACTTGGACTGTTGGCATCGCGTTTAAAAATATCATTCAACACTCTGAGGCCTATAAAAACTTCCGGAACAGCACTAGCTTCCGCCGACCAGAGTTGGAGAAACAGGCTACCGCAAGGCCTGTTGAGTCAAGAGTCACCCCAGATATTGAGCGCTGTGTCAGCTTCAGCATGCCGTTCTATCAACAAATGTACGAGCAACGCTTACAGTTCGACAAGATTTAAGATATCAACTGTGTAAACAGTTGATGGCACTTTGTGACCACTAGCAAGAGTTCCAGTGGGAGGGACACATCGCATGTGTGCACTGATTCCTGTGCAATCTGCACGAAGAAGGCACCACTACTTGTATTCTGACCGAGCACAAACCCTGTTTAAAGCTACAGTCCATCATTTGCAGCTATCCAAAAAGTAACTGACGTAATTATTGATGAAAAACTTATTTGGTTGCAAGATAGTAAGGGACTAAACTCCCTGTGAAATTATTCTTTCTGGCAAGCTGTCATTTTGAAGAAATCAACGTAAGAAGGCATTTCCAACGATGCGTCTTAAGATGCACCGTTGGAAAGTTAGTTCTTTTTTTTATTCAGCGAAGCCCGCACAAACGTTGACAAGACGCACACGCGCCGCGGTTGCTATAATTCGTCAGATCGGTGCGCAACATCGCGTAGCTGCAATCGGCTCAGTGAGAACCTGTCTCGGACGCTGAATTCAGGCACAATTCCAAACATGATTCAGCAATTTTTGATTTGAAATTGAGATCCTAGAATGCTGTTTTCCTCAGAATATACAGCTGAAGCTGAGATGAAACTTCATCAGGTTAGTTGTGCAGCACCCTTCTTTAGATTTTGATCAAGTTTGTTGCTTCAAAACGAACAAAATGCACAAATTACAAATGATGGACTGTACCTTTAAACGGAAATTTTTAAGTGCAAATTTTAAAGGCAATGATTCTTTTTTTTGATGGCCGTGCAATTCCAAATGTGCACAAATCATCAGCCTGAGTGTACATGTGTATTTTTAAATATTCTAGATACCCGGTACATGTGCATGCCTAAGTTGATTTTTTTTTAATTTTTAATTTTATTTTCAATTTTTTATACATGTACCTCTTGTATTTTAAAACAGTTCATTAGGGCAAAACAAATAAAAGTTCTGCTTCCAGTTACCCTGACAACCCTAACATTATGATGTGACCTTTAAAGTTTTTATTGACAAGTTATAACAAAATTGAAAAAAAAAAGCTTATGTGAAAAAAACATTCAAATTGTCAATTCATTCTTACACAAAATTCTTACCACTGTCTGTATATCTATATTGTCGACGAAGAATGACAGGGCCTAAAATACTAACAGGATTTATAAGCAAGTTTTCTTCGCATTGCCTTCTGAGGCTGGCAAAAGAACATGCGGCATACATGCAATACTAGTACACTGGTTCCCATTATTGAATTACAGCAAGAATGATAATGAAAGGGGGAGGGAGCCAGCGTAGAACATGCTCAAATTTCGTGAATGTGAAAAATTGCATGCACAGCGGCGGCGGAAGGGGTTTGAAACTGGGGGGGCAGCACCCAAAAGGGGCACTTGCAAACCAAAAGGGGCACTTGCAAACCCGTGCTGAAATGTCGCCACGTTTTTTTCAACCGGACACTTGGCCTCCGTAAAATCAAATAGTGGTGGGGGGGGGGGGGGGGGGGGGGGCTCGTACCATCTCACAACATAGGGGGCGCTCTTCAAAACCAATGATTATAAACATACATTATGTGCCCATTTCCAGGGCATCTTGTATGGGCTTTGGGACTTGGTTTTCATATTCCTCGTTTATATCAAAAATATCTCTACTATTATTGGGAAATGGTTACTTCTAAGAAATAGTAAGATACTTTAAGGGCATTTTGGATTTATCTCGAGGGGACACTTTAATGCTCGAGGGGGCACATTTATGGCCGCAAAAGGGGCACTTGGAAAAATCGGGGGGGGGGGGGGGGCAAACGCCCCCCAGCCCCCCCGGTTTCGCCGCCCCTGGATGAAAGAATGTTGGAAAATATCAAAACTTATCAACATGGTAGTATTATCGCCCGGACCTTTATGAACAATCTGAACAGCAACTTTAGAAATTTAAATTTTGGGGTTGGGTTGCCTTAATGGGTACTCGGGTACCGGTGTTTTTGTTTCAATCTGTTACCCGGCCCTCGTACTACACCTGCAAATACACACCCGCAATTTAATTGGGGTCATTACAAACACTGAGGCCTACTTTTTTTGGCAACGTTCCTGGAAACACAACTTTTTATTGGACATGCCAACTCACTGACACTCTTATCTTAGTCCTTCATCAGTTTGAGGATCAAAGGGGTCGTTCAGACACCGTCTTAAATTCCCTTAAAACACCGGTTGAACTCGATTCAGTGTTAAACTTTCTTGCTAAAACGATGTCTGAACGCTTTTTTATTTAGACTGAATCGAGTTGAACTCGAAAATAAAACGGCAACTTAAACCCCCTTGGAGAGAGGGTTTAGCAAACAACCAGAACGAGTTTATCTTCTAGTACGATGTCTGAACGGTTTTAGCTAAAACGCTTCCCGGAGTTACGATGTCTGAACGCTTTTTTATTTAGACCGAATCGAGTTGAACTCAAAAATAAAACGGCAACTTAAACCCCCTCGGAGGGAGGGTTTAGCGAATAACCAGAACGAGTTTATCTTCTAGTACGATGTCTGAACGGTTTTAGCTAAAACGCTTCCTGGAGTTACGCAGTGACCCGGAGTTATGTAACGCCTTCTCCATGGCGCGCTTTTCTATTAAGCAAACAATGTCTGAATTCTCCTACCGTAAAAAAAATATCAAATTTCAAGTCCAATTTCCGCAAGTTTTCTGACCACAAAGTCCGAGTTTCAATCGTGCTTACTCGCACACACGATGCGATGACAAACGTGTAGATGCCAACGCAACAACCGCTAACCGGAGCATAATTATCATAATACACTAATATATTCAACTACCAGGAAAACCTTGGCATTGATTAGTCAATATTGCAATGTTAATATCCCGTGTATTTTCACGCGACTGAAATGTTGTGCGGGCAAGTTGATGTATTAAACCTTGAGTAAAATCTGTTCAATGACGTCTTGTTTCGAACACTGGTTTTCGAACAACTTTTCCGAACATTTTTATGTCTCTCTGCACCACGAAAGGTACAGAAAATAGCCCCCAAAATGTAAACACAAATGGTGTATATGTAAAACCGATGTACGATACTTCCAAAAAATGGGGAAACTGCCGTGGTGGACAAGTGACTGTCGTCATGTTTACCGGCGTGCCACGCTACATGACCGGCCGAGGCTGCGATGTCAAACACGGCATGGCAACACACATCACACGTTGAGGGGCTCAGACCACGTGCAGCGAACTGTAAAAATGGAAGAGTGAAGGCTCTTTTTAGCGCGCGGTTTTTGCCGAGGCGGATGTTCTACGTGACCTTAGAAACTGAGATAAACTGCTTCGAGTTGAACTTGCTATATACTTAAAACGATGTCTGGACGCTCGGTAGTTTTATTTTTACGACGGGCCCCCCGTGGTGAGCGACCGTTTTAACTGTTACCGTTTTAACTAACACCGTGTCTGAACATGGCCATAATGTACAATGAAATCTGGACAAGATTTTTTTGTCATGATACTGCATGTGCAAAATTACATTTTCAGAGCTCCAATATTGACATGCGTCCATTGGATTTGTCTTCCTCTCACTGTGCATATACAGCGTGTGTCAATAAAAACGCAGGATTCAAAGCGATTGTTTTTCTGAGAAAATTATGCTAGTGGTGTGCCTAATTGGATAAGGATTTGATTGTCCATAATTTCATCTTTGACAAGATTTTTGTTTGGTGGAATTTGGACTTTTGGTTCAAAAGTTATGACAAGTTTTGTGAAGCCCTTCTGAAGCGGGTTGGTCTGATTCAATGACCTTAACACAACGACCAGTTATGTTCAATGCAGGTATGCATTGAAGACAATGCATACCTGCAGACCAGAACAAAGCTTTCTTTGAAACAACTGATGATAAGTATCACTTAAATTTAATAACTGGACTATCATTGTTGGGGTCACTTGGGCAATTATTGACTAATAACATTGATTGTGGACTAAAGGATTATGTAAGCCTAATCCTGCCACACATATCCTTCTTTGTGATCCACAAATACTTTCACCTGTACTGAATTCAAACCTTTCATTGGGTATGTGTGATTTCACAAATCAGACCAGCTTGGAATGTATAACCCTTCTTCAATGTACTCTATCTCTGGACAGGATTGTCCAAATGAGATGGGATAAAAAGCATAGTGAAGAGAAGGAAAGGTACTTTGAAAAGAGGGTTAACATTATGATGAATAGGGGTGGTTTATATTCTTAATATTTTTGTTTCTAATCCTGCGTTTTTATTGACACACGCTGTATATACCTTTCGGTTCTGGAGTTTTTGTGTGTTCTGAGTGAGTGTCAAATCACATGTATGGTAACGTGTTTGTTTATTAAACATTGCCTTGCTTTGAAACGCGTAAATACGCTTTACAAAAAAAAAAAAAAATGAACCAGCAAATTATTGACCCTCCGAACAATTCTGGCAGGCCTGGCCAAACAATAGCTGATAACCCTGTACATTAATCCTGAACCTGCAAAACACAACACAGTGCATCAGTTGTAAAGGTCTGTGTGACCTTGCTGCAATTGAGCGGTCAACACCAGTGCATAAACACTGGGTCAATGGGAGATTGATTTCGAAACTGTAACCGATGACATCATGGAATATTAGAGCGCCCTCTAGCGGCAGGTTGAAAAATGTCCAAAATGCATTTTGAATAGATGTCTGTGGCGAAGTTTGCTGTAATCTTTTGAAAATTGGTATATATGATGACCTTCATGCAAACAACACATGTGTGAAGTTTGAAGCCGATGACGTCATCAGACCAGAAGTTACAACGAAAAGACTTTTTGTTCTTCAAAAATCGCTAAAAAAATCAATCGTGAGAGATATAATCTTAAATTGTCCATTAAATGATAGATTAAACATTGGCGTCAATTGTGCCAGGCGTGTGGCTTGTCAAATTGTTCACACACACATGACCCGCCGCCGACAAAAATACCCTTACGGTAGTCCGTCGCTCAAAAATTCAATGAAAGCGTAGAGCTGGGTGTGCATGAGTACACTGCATTTACAGGACATCCATTG